AATTAATGCTTGAACTACTGTTTTTATCCAATGAATTGATATTTATTTTTTACTACATAACATACAGCAAAGTCCCTCCTTGACAAGTAGAGAGATTAAAGATTTTGATGGGAATACCTTTTCGGTTCCAAGGTATTTTGGCATCTTTGTTTTGTTCATTTATTTTAGATTAAGGTGACTCTTAGAGATGTTTATATGGTCTTAGTCATATTTTACCTGTGTTAAAGATTATTTGTCTCTCTTTTAAGAATGGTCGTGACCCCATTTACATAGACAAACTTTTTCAATTGAGGGACGATCCAGTGACATTATAGTGCTGGTTGTACTTGTCTCATTCTTACAATAACTTGACTGCTCACAAGAAAATGTTCCGCTTAAATTCATTAAATAATTGAGATGCTGTTCTATTTTGATTTAAGAAAGGCTTTTTTTTACTCCCATAGAAGCTTGCCTAGTCATCAGTTGTCATGTTGAAAGGAAAATTGGATTGAATGCATCAGTGTTAAAAAGCAGAGGTCACATCATGGCTGACAGTTTGATTTGGCTGACAAAAGGAACAACAGAGTTTTCATTCTATCAATCATTCTGCAGCAGTTATTGCCCTAGCTGCAGAGTATAGTTATGTGAGAATTTTCATACTTGTTATAGGGAAAAAAGAATTGTGTTATTTTGTTGGTCGTAGATGGTGTTTTATGAGATAATTTCAGTTTGGAAAATTTTTACAGGGGTATGACAGAGCCTTCCATAGATCTTGTATTGTGAAGGAATCGCGAAGGAAGTAAGGGGAGGGGTGCGAAGAAGTCTTTTGTCTAGACTGGTTGATGTATCTGAAAAATACATGAAATAAACCACATAATATAACAGTAAACTACCACGATACAAAGAAAAAAGTATTTCAATACAGTTACATGTCATGCTCACTGTGAATAGGGGCCTAATATTCTTCCAGTTGCTGAAAATTTGCAGGGAGTGATCTCATGTCATTTTCGTGAAAACCAACTATTCATAGGGCCCAAAATGTAAGGTAATAAAGTTATCAATTTATGACACAAATTATCAGAAATAAATGTTTCATTTTTATGGGGGGAGGGGGAGAGTAAGTGGCAAGGGTAATAATGAAATAAAAAATATATAAAAGTCAATCGCAAGTAATGATAGTATATCATAATGACTTCTTCTAGGTCTTGACAAGTGACCATCTTTAAACAACAATCAGTATTGTGAATTGGTAAACTTAAAAAAGTAATTAAGAAGTATAAAAGATGGAATTCATCTGATGTCAATATACATATCTTGATAGAAGACCTCCATTGCCAAGACCTTCTTAAAAATACCAAACAGGTTATTATCATGTTTCCTACATTACGTTAGTTTGTTATATGATATGGGTAGATGCGGGTTGTTTTTAAATTCATCAGCAAATGAACATGAAGACTGATTGTACCTAGGGGAAACAGAATGTTATTTTGTTTTTCCCTGTCACAAAATTCAGCATATGCAACCTTACGATTACGTGTCAGAAAAATCCTTACTTTTTGCAATTAATTTTTCCCCAGAAATTAGTTGGATTGCAGAGTTGACATTCTATTGTTGTTGTAGACAGCTAATTAATTTTGAAGAAAACTGGTGTAATCTTTGATTGTCATCTCTCCAACTGCATCTCTTATAATATTGTGACAAAGAACTCTGACAATGTCTTTTGTGAAACATAGAATCTTCTCGTTGTCCAATGAATTTTCACCAATAAATTATTTTTTGGTAGAACTCCTTTTTCTTAGGCATTTAATGTCATAGTCTAGAGATTTTAAGGAGGTGAATGTTAGATTATATTGTTTAGATGCATAGAGCTGATCCAGATACAAAATGTATTTGATGAATAGTTTGTCCTCTTCTCTGATATGGGTAAGGTGTGATATTTGAAATTGATCAGTTTTGAATGTTGCATATAGGCAAGAAAATGTTTCGTATTCCTTGCCTGAGATGGAGGTGGTTTCAGGGAAGGCTACTGCTTATATTGTCACATTTAACGTAGGCAAGACTAATTTACATCACCATCCAACAATAGAAAGTTGTAAATCTGTGAAATATGAACTTGTACATTCATGAGTAGATGAAGTCTTCCATCTTTATCATATCATCTGATAGATGGCTGTATACGTGGGTAATAGTATCTGATATAGGGCTGTGGTTTTCAATCCTTATAGAGGAACTTTGAGGCAGGTACAAAGAATGATTCAATGATAAGAGGAGGGGTTCTCTTATTGGGGGGGGGGGGTGCATTACATCTCCATTAGGCCCCAAGAATGGATAATGTTCTTTTTGTATGTAGTAATGATGTTTATTACTAGACAGATTATGTTTAAGCATACATTTTTTCCCTTCCTATTTTGACTTCTTATTGTGGAAGTTGTCCTGGTCTAGCGGAGTAAGATAAGACATCAGTATTGTTTATGTTGGTACCCGCCCTTCCTTGGCAAGACCTCCGTTTCCCCTTAACACTCACACACAATGTGTGGCTTATAGGGATGGGGAAAGTAATGAAGTTGTTCACCATGAAACTGCCTCTGACATGCTAGCCAATACAGATATGAGGCTGTCAGTGCATAAAATATATCATAATATAGACTGGATTGACTGCCATATATGTCGACCAGGCACCTTATGCCCAAATGTCCTGTCTAAAATAAAGTTGGGATATGTCTTCTCTCTGTACAGCCTGACTGGTCTTGTTTCTTTTGTATTTCTTTGTCTGTGTAGACACTCAGTTTTAGGGTTTATTAGAATGGTGGTCATGCTTTTTCAATTGGGTTGTATAGCAGTGCAGTGTTTTACACATCTTTTTTCTTTTGTCATGGCCAGATGATTACTGTGTATTTCTAGACATCAAAGGCACCGCGCCAGCCTAGTTAAACCAATAGAAGCACTAGGCAAGGATCATATTACATTGGAAGCTTCATGCTTAACATGTTGCTCTAGTTTGTTTACTAGTGTATGGGTTTGGTACATGCGTATGGCAGGAGGGGGGACTGCCTTTCACTTCCCATTTAGACCTGGAAAATGATGTACTTTTTAAAAAGGCAGACAAACCATTAAGAAACCTACTCCTTTTTTTTTTGCTAGTTAACCGTATAGAGTTTTTGTTTTCATTTTTTGCAAAAAAAAAAAAAAAAAAAAAATTATCAGCATTAATTTTAATAAACAAAAACCTTTGTCTGAACTGAAACATTTAACATCTATTTTACCTCAGCAAAAAATGCTGTTGAAGCTACCACTTCAACAACACTTCAATCAATTACATCATTTAAACATAGACTAATTAAATCATTTAAACTAGTATAATTGATTTTATGGAATAAGTATGGAGGCAGTAAATTTTGCCATGTCTGTATTAATCACTTAATCTTAAATAGATTTTATTCAGCCCTCCCAACACTTGTAGAAATATGGTGAGTGGATATTGCATTGAGTCTTTCGGCCCAAGCCTAGAAGCTTGGGGACCAGTGAAGACTTGCAGGTCAGGGAAACAAAAGGTCACTTGCCTTCAGCGGTGCTTTTGATCTTTTTCCCCCTTCCCAATGTTGAGGCAGTCTCCACATTACTAATGCCTATAATCACTGATAGACTGACTTGATTATCTGATCACTACTGAGATTTCTTAAATGATTTTCTTGTTGTTCTGTCAGCCTGTGTTTTTTATTTAGCTACAGTCTAGTTAGATTAATTCTCAAAACACCCTGCCTGTGAAAGATGATCGATAATTGATTATTATCTGCCAGAGGAATTGTTAACAAGACAATGATCAGTGTTAAGTGCCAAGATGAGTTTGATATATTGTAGCTGTGGTGAAGGGGGATTCTTACACAGAGTTTTGTGTTTAATGTTGTTTAAGGCAGGCCTGTTTTAATGGCCTTAAAAAATATAATGTATTGAGTTAATCATATTACTTTGATGTCCTTTCATTACGTAGAAGGTTTAGAGTATGCTGCCAAATGAACTAATGTGTAGTTCTTCAGCATATTTATTTTTTGTCTTACTATTAAAGTCATAATAACTCTTCGTTTTGGCCAAAAATTGGATTTTCCTGGAAAAAACGGCAATTTTCCCGTACTTACCAATGGCCAACGACCCCATTCCTGCATTCAAAGTTAATCCAGGGTTTTTTTCCTAAACGTACGGTTTTTTGTTAAAATCTCTTAAGAGATTTTAACTGACGAAGCTCTCTCTGACATTGCAAAGTCACTGGTGACCTACTTAAAACCGTGGGAAATGCAGACAACAACAACACTATATAAGACTCGTGAGATATATTCGTCTTTTTGTTAAAAATGCATTTATATCCACAATGTGTGCCATTCTGGGCTTTTCGTTATCCGACGCACTATACAAAAACTCGCAACTTACGTCTGNCTGATCACTACTGAGATTTCTTAAATGATTTTCTTGTTGTTCTGTCAGCCTGTGTTTTTTATTTAGCTACAGTCTAGTTAGATTAATTCTCAAAACACCCTGCCTGTGAAAGATGATCGATAATTGATTATTATCTGCCAGAGGAATTGTTAACAAGACAATGATCAGTGTTAAGTGCCAAGATGAGTTTGATATATTGTAGCTGTGGTGAAGGGGGATTCTTACACAGAGTTTTGTGTTTAATGTTGTTTAAGGCAGGCCTGATTTAAAGGCCTTAAAAATATAATGTATTGAGTTAATCATATTACTTTGATGTCCTTTCATTACGTAGAAGGTTTAGAGTATGCTGCCAAATGAACTAATGTGTAGTTCTTCAGCATATTTATTTTTTGTCTTACTATTAACTATTTATATATCTCCAATATTTTTTCTTTTAGTCTAATCAATAATCTGCACTACGTATGAAGAATAATATTCAGTTCTTAATTTTTATATATGCATCTATCTATATGCAAACTATTGCCACTTTAAATTGATACAGTTTTGAATAAGCAGATGTTTAAATTCACCTGCTTCCTTTGTGTTAATTTCAGGCTAGCAGTAAAATGCCCATGGTGCAGTCCCACCATGCTGGTGCCCTGGGGCCTCTCATGGTGTACAGCAATGACCACCCATTTTCCACCCCACCACCAGCTCACCTAGGCTACTCACCTGTCTCAATAGACCCTAAAACAGGTAAGAACTAACCGTGCTTGATGGTTAAGCTTGCTTATAGTGCCACGTGTGAAATGCTTTGAAACTGGAAAATTTTGCGAATGGATGTATCATCGAAATTGTAAACTGCCCATTATGCATATTTTGTTAGTTAGTTAAATGGTGGCTTATAATGAATACAGTTGGGTAAATAATTACTGAGATTAAAAACATTAATTGGTGATAAAAAAAAAATGCACTTTGGTTCGTGACCGAAAGTACATGATAACTGACTGTTAAAGTTCAAATTGTGACCAATGAAATGATACCATAAGAATGGACAGTGACAGGTTTTAAGAAAAAATTATAGTGACAAGGTGAGAACCTGGAATTACCAGGCTCAGGGATAATTGCTGATAGAAAACCTCTAATTGGAATAGGGCAGTAAACTGCGACTGTCAACATGGTACGAGGTGTCAGTGGACATAGTTAATAGATTAAGCTGACCACTCTCCAGAAAATGATATTTCCCAAGCTATTTAACTGTCACTAAGAACTTTTCAAAAGAAATCATCGTGATAGATTTGTTGTGAATGCTAAGGATATTTTGAGGTAAGATGTAAAACATTTTTGTGCCATTGCCTCACTTAGAAGTGAAAGCTGTCAAGTGATGGTAATATTATGGCACATTTTGATATTTTGTCTCTCTGTCACAACATGCCCTAGAGAGAGAAAGAGAAAAAAAAAAACAGACAACTGAGACTAGTGAAATCATTACCCGTCTTCACTGGGTGGCAGTTGATCAACTTTCCTGCCACATATGTATGTTTTAACAGTGATGTAATACATGACAGATCTAGGTGTGAATCGAGTGTCAACATTTACTGTAGTAGCCTGTTTCCCATCACAAAAAATTACAATGAAAATGTCTCCCTGCAGACTCAAATATGTCTGTTATCAATTTGAGGTGATTTATTTGCTGAAAATACACATACTTGTTGATGTAAAATATTCATCTCTTTGCCTGGATTATTGACCATCACCTCAGAGGAAATGATATGATGTTATTGGATTTATGGGCCCTTTTAATGTTCTGCAAACAAAAAGGGTATAATTCATTGGGAGAAAGGAGTTGTACACTAGTCTGCATACAGTCTGCACATAATGTATTGGCCTAGTTTGCAGCTTTCAATAATAGTCAAGGAATCATTATGGCTTGAGAGAAGCCATAAATCCTGGCTGCTGGCATTTTGACAGGCAATATCACTGACAGACTGGCTTTTGAAGCACACCTACTATTCAGGGGAAAACCTTCTGTATTGTGTTCAGGTTTGACTATATAGAGGTGTTCCGCATACATTTTTTTTGGCAAATATCAATGTTTTGGCATATGTCGGTCTCCTCTTTTGTTTTTCCTTTCTAACACCACAAATCCAAGTGCCCTTTGGGATTTATGATGCGAACACTTCTTTTTTTGTCAAGCCTTAATGGTGGTGTTATAAATAAAAATGGTGTTTGAAATACATTATATGTTACTCAAAATTGCATGTTGAACTGTCAGTGAAATCAGTAGCTCTGCATTTACAGGTGCAACCATCAATAAAATCAATTATTCAAGTGAAAGAATCATTGATTTTGCTACCTGTCGAACTATTGAATGCCACTACTTGTATTTGACAGCCTGGAAAAAATGAATTCAATACTAACCCTTTGTATGTAATACCAGACATGATACTTCTGTATATGTGGTTCTCAGCTGCTCATTTTGTATGTTGTCTTTATTTAAATCCCAACCTTCACAGTACACATTTTGGATTTTTATATCATTTCTATTATGGTTCATGAAATTTACATTGTACTGAGATTGTTAATATGAAATGACAGTTATAACTGGTGTTGCGTGGAAAGCTCATCAGTTTGAAACGAGTGACAATTTGGAAATGTAATTAACCTTAGTGTCAATTTTTGATAACTACAATGACAGTTTAACTACATGTAAAGTAATTTGGCTTCCTATTGGTTTTTGTAACCTATTTACTTGGGTAATTGAAGGTCTTAATTATGGTTTTACGTATATTGCTGATATTAAGACACGCATTTTGATGTGTTCCAATTTTTTTTTTTTGTTAATCATTTCTAACTCAACATATTTTTTGCGTGAATAATAAAACGTGACTCATATTACCCCAAAAACATAAATGTAATAATAAATTGATAAATCCCAACCATAATATGAATATATCATTAATTTAAATCCAATTTAAATCGCAGTCATGCTTTCCTAAGATATGTATAGGCCATATATGATATTTGTACAATTTTTGATTGTTCCAGGTTTGCCAAGGCATCCTATGTATGCACTCCCCCCACCACCAGGGCAGTTCCCACTCTATAGGCCAGATATATCTCAAGTGCAATGGTAAGAGTTTGCCCTGTCATGTTTTTTAGAATTAAAGCACAATAACATGATGTCATATAATAAAGTATATTTATCAAGAGAAGTGGCAAGATCCTAGTGGTGCTGCCAAGGATGTCATGTATTTTAGATCTGGATAAGACATGAAAATAGAATGCTTGTGTTCAATATGATCATGTTTGAAAGTTTGTGTGTGTGTGTGCATATGTGTGTATGTGTGCGCCCAAATGCGTAATGGTACGTATGATAATTTTTTGACTCTTCCTAGATAGGACTTGCATGTATGAAGAATATCAATAATGTGAATTTTTTGGGAGGTTACAAAAAGATCATTTATTTATGTATTGCATGTACACATTTTATGTTTACCAGCACATAAATGTCCAAGTTACAGAAGTAAACATGCAATGATATGAATAGAACAAATAACTTAACCAAGGAATATATTTAAATAGATTGAGGGAATACATGTTTTGTGCAACATGTCATGTGGAATATTTTCAAGTTTAATTTGCTGTGGGGGGACAAAATAGCGAGTAGAAGAATTTTACTGGTGATGTTGTTTTTCCTCCAAGGCAAGGAACTTTTGACAGCAAATGTTAAATACACAGTTTGCAATTCAATTGACCTTTGGCTGTGTCCTTGCCGGGCTGCCCAACCTAAAACAGACCTAGATTACACGTGTTCTTCTGGCCGCAATTCAGAGTACATGGTACCGCAAGGCGGCCGTGTTCTTTTTCATTTTTTACGCAACTGGTCTGCATTAGATGCAGCAGACCTCTACTGCTGTGTAAAGTTCAAATGCAAAATCCTATTGGAAGTACAAACAAATGCCAAAACAAGCTAAATTTTTAACACTAGAATGAGGTGAACATTTTAACTTCTTCTAGCAAGGATTTGTAAAGTAACAATGAAAACTTGGCCACACATCTTCTGCAGAAAAGAGTTTAAAAAAGCAGGAGGCTGGTTGTTAGAAGTGGTGTATGTTTGCCATGTTAAACACGTGTTGAGCCCCAACGTGAACAAAGCACTGCAAATCCCTGGAGGGATATGAAGAGGAGAACTTGTTTCTGACAACACACCTTTATTTGTAAGCACTGTGTGTTGATATCCACTTTAGGAATAATACATTATTTGCAGAAAAAAGTTTTTACATGGCAATTTTGGGACTTAACAGGGAAGTGGGATCGTAAGTTAGTAAAGTGAGAAGGCTTCTCACTGAAAACCCCGCTTCAAAAAGATGAGTTTTATACCCCTGAGAAAAGACTTTCAAGAACTGATTAATGTTACTAATTCTATGTAATTACACAAATTTGTCGTGTTAATTTCTCTGTTACTGTCTGAAGCTTATCTTGAATATNTTGTTTTTTTTGTTAATCATTTCTAATTCAACATATTTTTTGCGTGAATAATAAAATGTGACTCATATTACCCCAAAAACATAAATGTAATAATAAATTGATAAATCCCAACCATAATATGAATATATTATTAATTTACTGTAATTTAAATGGCAGTCATGGTTTCCTAAGATATGCATAGGCCATATATGATATTTGTACAATTTTTGATTGTTCCAGGTTTGCCAAGGCATCCTATGTATGCACTCCCCCCACCACCAGGGCAGTTCCCACTCTATAGGCCAGATATATCTCAAGTGCAATGGTAAGAGTTTGCCCTGTCATGTTTTTTTAAATTAAAGCACAATAACATGATGTCATATAATAAAGTATATTTATCAAGAGAAGTGGCAAGATCCTAGTGGTGCTGCTAAGGATGTCATGTATTTTAGATCTGTATATAAGCAGATTTTATAAGACATGAAAATAGAATGCTTGTGTTCAATATGATCATGTTTGAAAGTTTGTGTGTGTGTGCGTATGTATGTATGTATGTATGTATGTATGTATGTATGTATGTGTGCACCCAAATGCGTAATGGTATGATAATAATTTTTTGACTCTTCCTAGATAAGACTTGCATGTATGAAGAATATCAATAAAGTAATTTTTTTTTGGGAGGTTATGAAAAGATCATTTATTTATGTATTGCATGTACACGTTTTATGTTTACCAGCACATAAATGTCCAAGTTACGGAAGTAAACATGCAATGATATGAATAGAACAAATAGCTTAACCAAGGAATATATTTAAATAGATTGAGGGAATACATGTTTTGTGCAACATGTCATGTGGAATATTTTCGAGTTTAATTTGCTGTGGGGGGACAAAATAGCAAGTAGAAGAATTTTACTGGTGATGTTGTTTTTCCTCTAAGGCAAGGAACTTTTGACAGCAAATGTTAAATACACAGTTTGCAATTCAATTGACCTTTGGCTGTGTCCTTGCCGGGCTGCCCAACCTAAAACAGACCTAGATTACACGTGTTCTTCTGGCCGCAATTCAGAGTACATGGTACCGCAAGGCGGCCGTGTTCTTTTTCATTTTTTACGCAACTGGTCTGCATTAGATGCAGCAGACCTCTACTGCTGTGTAAAGTTCAAATGCAAAATCCTATTGGAAGTACAAACAAATGCCAAAACAAGCTAAATTTTTAACACTAGAATGAGGTGAACATTTTAACTTCTTCTAGCAAGGATTTGTAAAGTAACAATGAAAACTTGGCCACACATCTTCTGCAGAAAAGAGTTTAAAAAAGCAGGAGGCTGGTTGTTAGAAGTGGTGTATGTTTGCCATGTTAAACACGTGTTGAGCCCCAACGTGAACAAAGCACTGCAAATCCCTGGAGGGATATGAAGAGGAGAACTTGTTTCTGACAACACACCTTTATTTGTAAGCACTGTGTGTTGATATCCACTTTAGGAATAATACATTATTTGCAGAAAAAAGTTTTTACATGGCAATTTTGGGACTTAACAGGGAAGTGGGATCGTAAGTTAGTAAAGTGAGAAGGCTTCTCACTGAAAACCCTGCTTCAAAAAGATGAGTTTTATACCCCTGAGAAAAGACTTTCAAGAACTGATTAATGTTACTAATTCTATGTAATTACACAAATTTGTCGTGTTAATTTCTCTGTTACTGTCTGAAGCTTATCTTGAATATAATGAGGTTAATAGTTTTAAATCTGAAAACAAAAGAGAGGAGGCACAAGTCATTTACATCACAAATCATTTCCACACCTGCATAGTAATGCACACATGCAGCTAAGAAAGAACAAAGAGGAACATCAGGTGACAGACAAAACACTGAGTCCTCTCTTCCACCAGATATAATATACCAGCATGAACTGGATAATGTTCAGTCAATTTGTCAGTTTTGTATCGGTAAGGTTAATATATACTTTTTTTACATAAATAAAATAAAAATATGGGCAATATGGGAGAAGGAAAGTCATAGCAACAGAAGTTTATTTTTATTGAAATTTGTGACAAAACAGTGTGGCAAAGGTTTCCATTTCATAAATGAACTCCAATGTGTGGTTTTCTAAGTTGTTCATTCTAACAACAGCATTCTCTCTCTCTCTCTCTCTCTCTCTCTCTCTCTCTCTCTCTCTCCGTATGTTATTCTTTTATGTTCTAAGAATTCTTATTTGAAAACAGAAAAATTCTAGCCATAGAGGCATATCATTTTGCTTAAAAATGTCTATTCTCACAAAAGATGGGATCACTCCCAAAAGAAATAAAGAAATAAAATGTTCTCTTGTTGTCTTAGGAGCCCTCCAGGCTATCCCATCACCACAGCAGCCTTTGGTGGCCATTACCCGCCATCACTCAGTACTGCAGGGACTTTCTCAAGATTTACACATCCAGGCTTCATGCCGCCCCACCCTGGGTTCCACCCAGGTTTAACACCTCCGCCCCTCCTTACTACGGGACCAAAACAGGAGCACCCACCACAATCACAATCACAAGAGAACCACAGGTAAGAAATATCTGCCTCATTTCCATGTGTGTTTTCCTCTAATTGGTACTATTTGTATACCTGAATTTTTTTTTAAATAGATAGATGATGTTTTGGTTCCCAGTATTGATCTGTATAATTCATAATACATCAGGTAAGATGAAGAGATAGTGCCTGGATCTGTTTTTCTTTTCATTGTGTCCTTTTTGTCTAGAAAAAAAACAGAATTAGAAATATACGGGTTCAGTAAGAAAGGGCAAGTTATTAAAATGAAGACTTTTCAGCCATTGGTAATTTAAATCATAGGGGAGGTGTTTAACATTATGCTGTCAATTAACCTGTTTTGCTTGCTTTTTTGCAATTCGACAAAGACAAGCTAAAAACACAGCTTTCATCTGATATGGCACTTGAGATTAATGAGAAATATTTTACATTTGTACATATATTTTAAAATATAAGCACTCTAATGGCCTTTAGTTGGGAATAAATTGACTCAGCGATTTTGACAATATATTTTTGCTGTTTGGCATGAGGGTGTGCTGACGTTTCTTGGCCCAGCATATGTGTGTTTGACATAGCCAGCACAGGTGCTGGGTTCAGTAATTCTTCCATCTGCTTAAAGTTGAGATCTGGGAATGCCTGCTCCAATCCCTCTTCATTTCCCATACTCACACTAAACAAGCTCTGGTTGATACCCCAGTAGGCTGATACTGCACAGTGTAATTCATTGGAGAAAAATACACTGATGATGTATTTGTAATAGCTGATAAGTTTATGAACTTTTCATTGTCATTTCCCTCTCAAGATGGCTACAGACAGTAGAACACATTGTCATGTAGCATTGTTGTTAAATGGAGTGTCACATACAGGTGATGAACCAATGCTGGCTATACCAAAACTGCTGCAGAAAGATACAGGCAGGTATTTGATAGAATGATGGGTGTCAAACCATTTATGCTGACAGGAAGCAGAAAACCAATCTTATGATAATGATGGTGATTCTAGTTGAGAGAAAGCAATAAATGCAAAAAAAATTCAGGCACACGTGTAATATCATTCATTTCACATTGGAAAGGCGGACCAAGTGATTATAGCCACATCATCATTATCTCCACAGCTGAAATATTCTGAATATTGTGTTGGTGGTCTAGTTTTCACTACAATCCCCCCAGTCATGTCTCTTGGTCATTACACCTGTCGGAGAACCCACTGATCAGATAACATGCAAATGAGCCTCATATCATTACATTTATCTTGTTTCAATGCCCATTCTGCAGTGCCCTCATGAATCTATGCTGTCTTGGGCTTTGGCAGATGGGTTTTGTACCAGTGTCATCAGTTTAATGTTTTGGGTGCTGCTGTCATTAGGGAGGAAATTTCATTAATAATTCCTGCTGCCAACTGCACAACTATTAATCTTTTTTTCGTCAAAGCTAAAGCAATAAGGGAAAATGAATGCTTTGCTGGGGTGGTAGATATTGATGTTGTATGGAACTGGAGAACTAAAGACAGGCGATTATCACTTCTCACTTAATTACCTGAAAGAAATAAACCACCTTATTTGCATTTATGTAGTTCAAACAGTTCACAGGGTGTTATTTATGATGGCCTTTTGAAAGGTGGAATTTCGTATGCTTCTCTTTGGTCCATATCATTCCATGAATTTAATAACATGTTGCTTTCGGCTAGTTGATGAGGAGGTGTCAAAAGTCTCTTTGGTTTCTAAAGTAGATTCTGAGGATGATATGTATGAAGGGGAAATTATAGGAATACCGTTGAATTTAGCAGTCCAATCTTTAGAGCAAGCAAGCAAAAGGTTTTTTTTTTACCAGTAGGTGTTCAGTTTTATATATGTTTTGTTTATCTAAGGTAAGTAATGTCTTGTTGAGAATCCTCTTAAATTCTTTTCAAATTTATTTTATAAATGAAGCAGTTTTCCTCGCTTGATGAACACCTATCACAAATTAGTGTTTGCTATTGGGTATAGAGTTTAGTATGTAAAATGACAAGTCTCTTTCACTGAGTGTCACACAGAAAAATGCTGTAGCTGTGCCACAGAGCTACTTAACAATTATGCTTGACCTTGGGCTCCTTGAATTCAAAGTGATCTTGTTTAGAAGAATTTTGTTTTAAACCATAAACAAGACATTGTGCATTGTAAAATAATCTAGTTTTCTTATTTTTTTCCTTTTGATAATAGGTTTTCTACATTTTTAGAGTCAGTGGTGACTAATCTTTTTGTAGGGTGTTTTCCTGTAAAAATAACTAATAAACACTTATGAAAACCAAATTAAGATACGGAAAAAAAGATTAAAGTAAAAGGTTAACATACACCCCACCCATCCACAGAGTGCTTGTTATAAAGTAACAGAGGCTTAAGTAAAGCTAAGGAGGCTTAAACAAAATCTATTAGAATCAAAATTGAGTAATCTTCACCAAAGTCTTGATGTTGACCCAGGAGTCAGATCTGGTAACTTAGTTTTCTGCTGTTGTGTTTCAGGCACCAGAGCTTACATGAGCAAGGCAAGAGCAGTCCAGATGCAAACGAAGCCCAAGAAAAGAAGAAACCACATATCAAAAAACCTCTCAATGCATTTATGCTTTTCATGAAAGAACAGAGGGCCAAAGTAGTGGCAGAGTGCACATTAAAAGAATCTGCAGCAATTAATCAAATTTTAGGTAGAAAGGTAGGTGACGCATAAGCTGATATATATATATTTTTTTACAAGGGGGGAAATAACTCATCCGAAGATGAAAGTCTATTCTGTAATTTTAAGTGATTACTTTGTGATGATCTTCTGTTATGATTGTGTGATAAATGATCGATTTGAAAGTCATTCGGTGAAGGGATCATATGGCCCTAGTATTCTTTGTGTGACAAGGAAGACACTCACATGCATGGCAATATCCATGATGACCTTACATTTGGCATCTGTGTATGGTGAAAAAACCACTTTGGAAGATTAACGTGAAATACTAGATGTTCAGTTAATAGATTTGATTCACCTTTGTTACTTTGTATGTTGCCTTTTGACATTGCAGAGACCCTACAACCTTACAGTGATCTTTTATCTTTTGTCATGGAAAACATGCAAGATTTATGGGCATGAGGAAAGGGGGGGGGGGGGGAACAGATGCAACTTTATTTTAAAAAAAATGATGAAAAAATTATTTACTATTGAAGAGCAACAGTGACAAAGCTAACATTTATTGAATGGGGAAGATGTTTACCTTGTCATGTGCAGATTATTTATATCCACTGAATTGTTATCATAAGTATAGCAGTGGTTACTAATCCACTTTTCCTTTCAATACTTCACCCCTCTGGTGGCATAGATTGGATAGATCTGAGCTACAAAATTACTTGATAGCTGTCTGATTTAGAATTTTTTCTTGAACATTTATGTCTCTTTTCTTCCAGTGGCATGCACTTGATAGATCTGAACAGCAAAAATACTATGAAATGGCCCGCAAAGAGAAGGAGCTGCACATGCAGCTGTACCCTGGCTGGTCAGCACGAGATAACTACGCCTGCCACACGAAAAGGAAAAAGAGGAAACGTCAGGAATGTCAGGGAGAAAAAGGTAAGGTGTTGTTAAACTGACCAGATATTAATTCAGTAACAGTCCGGTATTATTCCATATTTATCTTATTGGGCTAACTGGTGTTCAGTCATAGGGTAAAGGTGATGGAATTGGGGTTCATGCTCTTGAAGGACCTTGAGAGGGGGATAGAGATTGGGTTGTAGCTGGCACAGGATAACAAGAATGTGTGGCACAACATTGCTCCCCCCCCTTTCCCCTTTTCACATGCATGAGATATTACCCTATGTTGTAAATAAATTGAAGTTTGCATGTTCTGTGGATTCTTTATTTTAAAAAAAGTAATGGTTTATTGCTGGTCTCGTAGGTAGTGTTTCAGGGGTTTATATACTAGTTCAGGCCTGGGCTGGCTGAATTGCCTTTTTTAGCATGAGGCCTAGAGCAAGTAAAAAAAAAAACATTCTTATGACATGCATTTCAGATTGCAATAACCCAAAGAAGTGCAGGGCGCGGTTTGGAGTGGACCAGCAGCATCAGTGGTGCAAGCCATGCCGGTAAGTGCCCTGGCTCTGCATGCCAGTCTGGTAGCGGAGGCTGATGCAGAAAAGTTGCAATGACGGCACTTCCGAGCTCTGTCCACCACCCACACTCTTATGTACATCTCTGTTTATTAAGTGGAATGATTGTTGTGCTTCTCATTTCCCATGTACTGAATTGATAAAACACCTTTTCAGTATCCACTTCCAATCTTTGAAAGATAACTTGAATGAGACTTATTTATTTTCGTATTATTCATTTGTTTATTTTTTGCAAAAGCAAAATAAATTTCTTCCAAAAACATAAATTTACTTATTAAAGTGGAAATATAGAAATACACTGACAGTTGCCATATCTGTGCTGTGATTGGTGGACAGTGCTAGGGGACTCCATGATGGCTGCCCAGACCATGCAGGCCTGTTTGTCATGCTGTATTCACAAACTGGATCATGTCAGTCATGCTTGTGGCCCCTCTGATCCCACCATGCCTCTAAACTTCATCTTCATGTTTTAACTGTCACCAGACAGACAAATTGTGTGGTGGCTCTCGTGTTATCCTCTTTTCTGTGTAGTAGGCAAAAAAAAAAAATGAGAGGAAATCAATCGGTACTTGACAACAACGTGGATTGACAACATGACTAATAAACAACAACTACTACTACAACTTCCAAATCATCAGTCAATCAATCAATCAATCACTCAATCAACTTCGACTTTTCTGCAATAGCCTTCTCGTTTCAGAGATGTGCATGACAAAGAGAGCGAACAATGTCCAACTCAGGTCTCAGATGCGAGCAATCCTTCGACCACTGACATATCTTATAGTCAGGTATAGCGAATGGTTCCACAGCATGCTGCATGTCAGCTCCACCATATCTTACTGTATTATTATTATTATTATTATTACCAAATGGTGCTTGTGTCCGTTATTTTAAGTTGGAGGTGTTTGATCTCTTCTTTCTTGCATGCACAGGTCTGGCCCAGCATGATGGAGGCTGCCTTGCAGTGGGCGAATATTATGTATGCATTTTGTGTCATGAATGCAGCCGCAATTACAGGAACGTACTTTAGTACTACAAGTAGTTGTGACTTTGATTTGATTGTATTTTTGGATGTCATATTTGACATGTTGTACTCGAGTATTTGCATGACAGCTGCAAAATGTATGATTTTTTACATTTGTTTATTTTTTTAATTTAATTTTTATTTATTACTTGCTTTCCGTGGCATTCATACCAACCAACTGCATATCCATATACAAAGTAGACCTTCATCATGTGTTCTTGGGGCTGTGAAGCCTTCTCTGTTACCAAATTTTATTTCAGAATGGATAAAAAAAACTTCATAACTACAGGAAGCCCTTCTGTATCTACTAACTCATAAAAAAGAAAAAAAATACTTGCCCCGTATTGGTCGTCGCCAATCCATAGTTGCTGCTGGTGCTTGTTTTTCCTCTACTTTGCATGGTGTTAAGTTGTCACTAATTGGGACACAGGCCAGTAGAGCTTGGCTGTAGATCTCTTACTTTATTTAATTTTGCAACAGTATTTTAGGGGGATGACACACAACATAGTGTGGACTTACGGTGCATGGTGAAGAGTGAGATTAGATTATTTTAATGCTAAGTTTCATAATATGTACATATTATATCCTTGTACATACTAGTTGAATTATCATTATTATATTCTTATTTTAAAAATGGGTTTTGTACTACTTTCTTCAATTTTGCCACGTGCAAGGCATGGGCAATGCTCTCTTCATTTTAAAATGGTGATCTTTTTCTTCACTATTGAGAAGTTCTTATTACATGTATTTCTTTTTACAATGTGCATTCTATTTTCACAAGACTGGATACTGAGAAACAGGCAAGTAAATGAGAAAGTTGATGTGGTTTCATAAATGAATCAGTTTTTCTTTTAGTTGTACAACACTAACATATGTTTTTTAAATACCACTGCAGAGAAACTGGGTATGTTGTGCTTTGGCGCCTTGTGAATGGAAGGCATAAGGCAGGCTGTACATGCATATAATATCACTTAATACTTATTGTTTAATTACAGCCGAAAGAAGAAGTGCATCCGCTTCCTGATGGGAGATGATGAAGATGAAGATGATGATGATGATGAGAATGCTAGTGATGCAGAGGATCAAGCAGGAAGCGTGCCTCACGTGGACTCCACAAATGATCCAGAGAATACCAACAGTCCAGATCAGTATGGACATCACTCAGACAATAACTCAGACAGTGACCAGGAGATTTTAAAACACAACAGTGGAGACAATGAATGCTCTAGTACAAACACCCTAGTGTCCCACCACCATCATCACCAAGATGCCCTGCCAAGTACTACAACTCCACAAGTTCCTTCCTCCTCCACTTCTTCGTCAACGAGTGAAGCCATAGCCACATAACACTTACATGCGTATTACGTACATTTACTACAGCATGGACATCATGTGAGCTGTGCTCACAGACTTGATCATCATGTGGAACATGGTGGAGTGTTGTATTTATCACTTTGGCCTGGAGACTGAGGTCAGTCAGAGTGAAACACAGATGCATCTGAAAGAATCTCTTGTTCCGTGTACAGGTGAATCAATATTATTCCACAGAGGCCCGAAGAACCACAAGGAAAAATGAAAATTTGGGATATGTAACATTTATGATGAAACGGAATTTTCATATTCACTGTGGTGAAAAATACTGTTTGTCAGGTTTACTGGATTCCAGAATGAAATGCCGGAATGAAAAAAAAGAAAACTGATGTGTTATCCCATCTTGTAGGAGCACCTGTATGTGTTGGGGGTTTTGCAGTTAGTTCCATCTGGGAACATAGATTTGAACTTTTTGCAGACTAGACTGGCAAGTTGCCCTGGAAATTGAACAGTTGCTTGGCTCATAGTGGAACATTTATTTTTGCCAATGGGTTAAACGAATTTGAAAAAAAGTTATCATTCTTTTCACTAAATTGTCATCGATATATACTTTTTTTTTCATTTTTGGTGAAAAAGATGGTAAAAAAATTACTTTTTATTTGTAACCAGTGTAAAACATGAATGCACCGACAGTTGTATTTTCAAGTTGATCTCAGGTGCCTATGTTTAAAAGTTCTTCAGTTTGGTCCTCTGTGGTTTTGGTTCCACACCAAAGATGTGCAACTTGTCATGCAGAAATTTAGATTTATTATTGTTGTACAGTGTAATATAAAATGTATTCTTTTAAGAAAGAATCTTTTCCTACTCAATCAGTGTAAAATTATTTATGCATGTGTCATAAAATTTATTGAAGCTAGAAGTAAAAGTTAAGTACCCTAGACAAATTCTTTTAAACAGTTGTACATTTTAAGGAGAAATTTATCATTTTGTATAAAAGCATTGTAAATATCATTATTTGAAAGTTTGCTGTCTTCAGAGAAGTAAAATAGCATCAAACTTGTTCACTGTTGCTGAGATAATAGACAAAGCAATTTTGTCAATGAATTTCAAAATAATTTTTGTAGTAAAGCATGCTACCACCAACTCTTTATCTTGTCACATTTCTGTTTAGAAATATAGGTGCTAATTAAGCAGTATGTTTGCCTTGAAACCTGCTGTGTGCAGATTATGGAGATGAATGGTTACTTTATGCAGAGTTCATTGAAATGATAATCAAATTAAGATGTTAGACATCTTTTATTGTTGTTTTATTTGTTGTATATGGAATGAAATTATACAAGTATCTTTACAGTCTGAGAAACAAATTGATGATTAAGAAGGTTTTTAGAGTTACTTTTTTAATAATCAGCAATGTTTTATAATCAGAACTGCATTTTAAATGGTCAACATTTAGATTTTTAACTTTTCTTGGTTAACTGCTTCATGGAACAATGAATGTCAGTGTTTTAGAAGATGTATTTTAGTAATTATTGGTGGCTTAAATTAATTTGATACGGATTTGATAAAGCATACACTTCTGTGATGGTATCACAGGACACTTGCACAGCTAGATTACTAGTGCCTTTGGTAAAGCAAATTTTCAGCTATAAAATGATTTTTAGTAAAAAAAAAAAAACTATTTTCAGCTTCTGCATTTTTATTGTGAATACAAAGTAGAAGTGCCTTAGCGGCGCTTTTTTTAATTTTTGGAATTTTTTCTCCACCTCTTAGTTTGCATCAAAAGGGTAATAATGATATTTTTCTGTGATGTCTCTAGTATGTGTATAGCTAGAGTTAGTGCGTCGTAAACCTCGTCGAAGCATATCATTAGCAGTGGTTAGAGAGAAAAAAGTCCTGTTGCCTTGGCAGAATTTTCAATATTTTTATTGCCTGTACAGACTGTCTCTGTAATAAAACAATCAAAGATCTGATTATATTAAGTTACTAACGTGTTTAGTTGTTTTTCTGTTCATCATCATGTAAATACATAATTACAAATTTACAGAACGTGATATAGCAGAAATTAAAACGAGCAGACCAATATACTTGGCGTTTTTTTCGCAAGTAATAAATTTGTAAGAGCTTTGGCAATTTATTATTGATAATTGCGTCTAAGCTAAAATGGATTTTAAACAATATCAACCATTAACATAATTGTCCTTGTTATGAAGTTATTTTTGGTTTGAAGCGAAGCACGCTGCGCCATACAAAATACGAAATATGGACTTCGATGTGTTAGATGAGAATTGCTTATCAAAACCAATGGCAAAGCTATCGTTTTTTCTACGATATGAGTTCCATCCCTCAAAAAATCTCTACAGCTATTATTATGGGAAAGAAATATTTTACAAATTATTTACTATAAACTTGAAATTCCAGAAGTTTTCAGATTTGGTTATTTCTATTTGATTCAAATGATTGTAGTGTTACATATTGCAGTCTCAGAAAACACCGCAAATAGATAAGAGCTGTATAAAAACTGTTTGAAATTACTACTGCAATAAAAATCAAACACTGTTCAAAGTTTCTCAAATTTCTTCTGTAGAAAATAGAGGGTCATTTACAACGTTTTATACTAAAGGCCTACTCTTTATTTTTTACAAGCCTTCATGATTTGAAAATCAACACAATAATAATAATAATAATAATAATATACGCCACAATAAATATCAATCCTGCAAGTGTGCTAAGAGCAAATTTCTGCGAGATAGATAATATTAGTATATATGCTAATATAACTTTTATTTCAATTTACCATTTTTAGATAGTAACTAAAACGCACACTCTTAATTGTTGCCCAAAATATATCTCAATTCTACAATAATAAAAGTGCCTTTTTCAAGTGTTTGATTAATTTATTTGAATTCTTTGACTCATTTACAAGTAATTTCCATATGCCATCGGTTGTAAAACTGATTTTGCAAAATTAAATATTTCTATTTTAATAGAATAACTTATTTTCATTACGATAATAATTCTGGTATGAAAGAGAACCGAGTTGACGAAACGACGATGGAAACACGCCCCTCAATAAAAATGAAGGAATATTCAGTATCTGAAAATAAACGTCGCTTGTGCATTTAGAAAATTCTTTGAAAATCGCGATTAAAAACTAATAAGGTCTACAGTAAAGGTGGGAGATTACGTTGTCTGACGGACTTGTGTGGCATGTACACGTACAGTATATTTCATTTTTTCAAATAGACATTTCAGGGGATTTGATCGTGGATTTAAAAAAATTTCCATTTTCTTTTGATCTTAAGCAAATGTCTCGAGAGGATATTGCAGGAATTATTACAGGAATCCATACATCAAGATTCGTGGAAATCATCCAAGATAGGCCAAAGTCTCGCAAATTTACATGCATGGCAGATATCTTGGGATTAGGAGGAGAGTGAGATCAGACTAACTAGAATTTATGAATTTTTGTGATTGTTTTTCCCCTAACTTCCAAACATCAAATTTGTCTATCGCAAAAAAGTACGAAGTCAGCATGTTTTGCATCTTATTTCTTGTATCAGTAATTGTTTTCTTAGACGACATTTCCGGCGCTGAAGTTAACCGCACCTCATGCGCACGTTTTCCAGTCTTGTATGACGTCATGTAAAATAAAGTTCAGAGATAAAAAAATGGTAAAAGACTGTACTCATAATTGATCTTGGAAATGCTATTTAGCTGATACCGCCCTCGCGTCACACATTCCTTGGTACAAATAATAGGCCTACTGCTTGGCAACATTGCGCACATATGGAATTTGTAGATATGAATCTATTTGAATACTGGTCACTAAATGTGCGGTCGTCTGGCTTGTTTTGCAAGTTAATACGGGATTCTTTTTCAAGACTGGCACTTCTCAAAATTTTAGAGATTTCAGGATTAGCTTATTTCAAAATGTAAAATCGTTCCTTTTTTTAAGGATGATATCAGATCAATATGTGTCCCCACTAACCCTACCTTGCGTATGTTCAAGATAATCAAATTGTGATACAGTAGTGCTTCCAAGCATCGTACCTGACTTTGGTACACGTTCTTTAAATAAAGATTTCCTCAACTTGACAGCGAGGGTTCAACATTAATTCTCCCGGCATGCTAAATATATGAGAGCCACCGCAAGTTCGGCAACTTTTAAGAGGGGTAATTCTCGACTTTTAACCACGATCTCTTAGCTAGAGCTTGCTCCATTACGAGCAGCATTTCATTTGTCAACAATTTACAAATAAATAAAAAAATAACAAAAATAAAAGTGCTTTTAAGTAACGAGTTTATTCACAACAGCAATCTAAGAGCCCCAATTTTCAAGCACATTCTATTTCATCATTTGGTATAAGATACACCCCCGTATTTCAGAGTATAGATACTCTTACCAACATAACTTTACCTCAAAATTGTTAATTATGCTAAACATCTACACTGGATTATCCTTAATTTCAAACGAGACACAATTTAAAGTTGATTTTAATAATAGAATGACCTGATTAATTTATAATTATGTCTGTCACATGAATACAGAAATATGTAGGCAAAAATAAAGTTTTTGTCCAAATACCAAATCCATGCTTGGCATTTGGAGATCACAAAATCCAATCATAGTTTCCTGTTGTCGTGTATACAACAGCTTTTCATGACAGACGACCAAATTGTTACAGCACTCAATAGAACAGCCTGGTATAGAAAAGACATCAGTTTTCACAAGTCAGTGACAGAGGTCCTAAATTGTCAGATAATCTTTACTTCACCCCAGTGATACTTAAACTTAAGACTTCCTATTATGTAAGTTAAAGAGATGTACTGAAAGTGATTTTGTGCACAAGGAAAATCCAAACAGAGAGCAAAAGAGAACAGACTCAAAACTAAAAAAAGGTTAATACTTCAAAATCACCAAATTTTTTTTTCAGCCACTGAATGTTGTCAGCAGTAGTTGTACACAAAATTGACTTTTTCATTAAAATATCCAGATGCTGCCTATTCAAAATCATTTCAATCTACTTTCACAAAAGGCTACAATTTGGCCGTCTCTGAACACCTTCACAATTTCACAAAGTGCCACTTGTCGACTGAAAAGAAGAAAGGACATTATTAAATATAGCAGCATATTACTATCAGACTTAGAATCCATACAAATGTGTATGTGTGTGCACACACATGAAGTCCATGCAATAAAAAGTAGTTAAATAACAGAAACAGTTTATATGTAATTCATTTGTGTGAACATGACTTCAAAACTGATGCACCTGAACCCAAAGTCATATTTTAACAAATGAGAAAGTGAATTAAAATGAGGTGTTTATTACTATGGATATGTAGAAAATTCATTAAATATTCATCATTCCACCTAATGATCTTTACTTTACATGAAATTGGTCACCTTACCTTCAGGAGAAATAGGCTGAGCTGGCTGCTGAGGAGGGCACTACAAAATCATAATAATAATAATTCAATTAATTTCTGTTCTGGATTCATTTTACTTAGCATTTTATTGAAACTTAACAAAAAGAGTACACAAAATCTATTAATCTTTAAAATACCACCAATCAATTAAAAGCAAGGCCATTTAAAAACAAATCCACAAACCAACTGTTTGGCATAAATAATTGTCTGCTGTAGAAAGTGGTGAATTATTTTTACTTACTGCCTCCAGTACTTTGTTTGCAACATCTTGTGTCATAAGAAACGGACTTCCAGCAACAGTTGTATTTTCACTAGAATAAATGCATGTAGTAAGAAATCATTTCACCATTTAACCCTTGCTGACATTTTCAGGAGCACAGCACTGCAACGTTTCAAAAAATCTCTTTTGCTATTTATTTGACTGTGTGTGTGTTTATTATAATTGTTTTTGGAAGGGATGCCTTATGGCTACATATGTTTATAGCACAACCACATTGTTAACGTGAAATACAAAATCAGAACTTGATTATGGCTTCTCATGGAAAAAGTAACATACATTTGAAAACCTACCCCAATCTTTTAAATAGGAACACTTACCAAGTCAGTTCCCCTGAATCTGTCTGTTTGGCTACCATTTCCTTCCAATGTTTATTTGTGTCTTCTATAACCTTTAAGGCAAACTCCTAGAAAATAAAGTCAAGGCATGCTGATAACATTTTGACATATCTACTGCATTCTAAATTTGCATCACTGACATTATCGGCCGATTTCATAAAGGAGGTTTAACTAAACCTAGTTTAAGGCTAAAACCTAGTCTAGCAAAACCTGGTCTAACTCAAGACCTAAATTGCATTTCACTAACAGTGTACAGTAGGAAAGCCAGAAAACCAGGTTTAGCTAAACCAGTTTTAACTTGTCCTTGACCTCCTGTTGAATGTAACAGGATTACAAAGACAAAGAAATCACTGAACTGTGTCAATCAGGTAGGCATAAATGAATAGATGACACACTCTAGCGTTGAAGCAGATAAGTTGTGTATCTCATATGAGAAAAAACTTTGGAAGTAAAGAGCACGTGAAAATGAGCCGAAAGAGAGCGGAGAATTTTTCTGCTAAAGAGAAGGGATACATCTCAGAACTAATAAAGGAGAAGTCCAACATCACTGAATCAAAGAAAAATGATGTCACATCAAGTCAAAGAAAAAATGAGGCGTGGAAAGAAATTCTAACAATATTGACAGCACATTTTCCACAAGCCGAGAAAAGAACTGAAGGGCAGGTGAAAGACTTCTGGAAACGAGCGAAAATAAAAGCTAAGAAAGAATTTGCAAATGTTAAAAAAGCTGCAAAAAAGACTGGAGGGGGTCCAAAAGAGGTTGAATTAAGTCAAGAAAATCAAGCAGTGATAGATCTTTTTTCCAAGGTACAGAGTTAAACCTGGGTCTGACCAGGTTTATTTTTAGACTTGGCCTGAGTCCATAATCCGGGTATCAAAAACTTAGACCTCAATTATGAAACACAAACCTGTCTAGACCAGGTTTAGAATGATGTTAAGCCAGGTTTTACTAGACCACTGGTCCAATACTAAAACCTCCTTCATGAAATGCAAGCAATCCCTAAACCTGGTGTAAACTCACTTTAGACCAGGTTTAACTTTAAACCTCCTTTATGAAATCGGCCGTATGTGTTCATACTGAACTTATGTAAGATCTTTTCTTAAAAAGCTGTTACTTGATACATAGAATTTTTAACTCTGAGAAACAAGTTTAAATATGTTGTTGCATAAATTGTCATATTGTGCAAATCTTTTACAGTCATTGAAATTGATTTAAATTTCTAAATCCTTTTCTGAATTTTAGCAAGAAATATTTTCTGTGAAATCTAATTTTTCAGTACTTTGATTGTTTCATACTTTGTTCTTGGCTGCTCCATTGAATGCAAACTGGTTCTCTGGTTTTCCATCAGGGATTTTGTAAATTCTAAACCATTCAGTGGTAGCCTATAAGACCAAGACTGGGGTTACAACAGCAAGAAAAGCAACATTAAGAAATGATTTCCTCACACCACAGTGTAATATGACAACTACCACTTACAAAATAGTAACAAAACAACTAGAAAATAATAACTACACAAAAACCAACGTTAATATTACTGATAGAAACAGAGAGATTTATTTTAAATAAATTCAAAGTTACAAACCTTAAGTAGTCCTGGCAAGTGAGTTTCAACATCATTTATATCTGTAGAAGAAGACAAGACACCATTTGTCAACAATCAATATGCATTTTGGATGTGTGACATTCAAGATAAGACTGTGATAATATTTTAATGTCATGCTTTGTAAAGTTAAGGTGTACAGTACACATGTCATTGATTTCCAACTTGTTTAAAAAAAGTTTGTCGAATATTAATTCTGTTACGTTGTAGCAGACAAAGAAATCACATTGGACAAAACAATCACCATTCAACTTGTCGGCAAGTGGGTCATTCACATCAATTGCCATCAACTTCCAATCAGTCTCTCCTGAAAAATAGCAAAAAAGTTCACAATGTGCTTATTAACTGGAGCCCCTAGAAGGGGGGGGAGTAAGAGATGGAGGGAGGGTGCTTGTGAGGTACAATAACAGTTGAAAATACTTAAATGTTGCATACAGAAATAATGGAAATTATTTTGGCAAGCAGCAAAGAAAATATTGGATCTGTAAATTAGTCTTAAACAAGTAAAAGGTATTAGAAAGATGAACTAGCAAAATAGCCAATGAAATATTCAAATACCTTCATCAATCAGAGCAAATGTGCCTAAGACCTTCACTTGCACCACTGCCCCTCTTTTGTGGACCTGAAAAAAAAAAGAAAAAAAAAACCCATTAAGTCAACTAAATTCATTCCACTAATTCAGAAATTATGGAATTGATAAAGCAGGCTGGTTGGGTGTTAAAGTAATTAAATTTTTAATAAATTTATCACACATAATCATATGATGACAATCAAACTGAGTATTGAATAAATTCAGAAGTGAAAAGCAGAGCAATGCAAATCAGGGCCCAGTTTCATAAAAGACGTTTATTTAATTAGCACTAACCAGTGTATAAGCCTAACCAGTGGATAAATTCTCCTAACACCCATTAACTAAAAGATGGTTAAAATTGTGTTTCATAAACAGCGTTTAAACAGCCGGTTAGTTAATTGTTAAGTGCTTAACTGGATAAAATATTTAAAGGTCATTTAACGAACTGGCTGTTTAAACACTGTTTATGAAACACAATTTCAACTGTCGTTTAGTTAAAGGGTGTTAGGAGAATTTATCCACTGGTTAGACTTAAACACTGGTCAGTGCTAAACGTCCTTTATGAAACTGGGCCCAGGTGTTTTGCCTGGACTTTTCCTTCACATACAAACTTGTATGTGGTATTGGGGGTACACTAAACATTTTTGTCAGGGGCCTTTATATAGGCAATTTATATTCAAACAACGAGTAACAAAAATAGTAATAGATGGGAGGGCTACTACAAATTTTTATATGCTGTCCAGTCTTAAGATAGGCAGTCATCTTGTCACACAGGCTGTCCAAATTATGGCAGGATGACTGGTTGTCTAAACCCAAATGAATGTAGATCAGTCAGGTTTCCAACTCTCTCCCAAATTTTTTTCCAATAGATTTCATTATGATTAAAAGGCTACATAACTATCATCAATTCATTGTTCATATCTAAAATTGTGTATTCAATTTATAACTCACACATAGTGTCCTAACATTTCAAAATCAACACTCATCTCACCTTGTATCCAATTTCACACACATCTATGGGATCATTGTCACCTTTGCACTTTGTGTTCTCATCCACATGAGCAGGATGCTCCCAGGTCTGAATTGAAAAATCATGTAATATTGTATATCAATACCTTAAAAATTTATAGTTTCACAATAAATTCTATTAAATATTTAGACAAGCCCTGACTCCTATGTCATCCTCTTTTGTCAACTTCCTTTCTGAAACATTAAAATCCACTCATTTTCCTGCTACGATTGGTTGAAATATAAACTGATAAAGAATTAGTTACAACAATTCCATTGATTTTTATATCACCTGTGGCAAGGCGCCATAATTCCATATATAACCATGATGTGGAAAACAGTTCTTCACATAACGAAGCTTGCCTTTCTTCACATCTTGCTTAATTGGATTCAACTTCTCCTTTGTGGCAATCTGAAACAATAGCACAGAAGTGATTAAATATTTTACATCACCTAATTAATAATTCACAAGCATTAAGATATATACATATGTAATACCAGTTTAGATGATAAAACAAGTGATGTAAATTAATAGTTGCACATATGTCAGTTGAAAAGCAGGCACTAGTAAATTATATTTAAGAAAATTTTGGAGGTTATATGCCAAATGTATTTACTTCAAACACAATGAGTGTCAATTCAAACACAATGGGTGAAAATATTGTTATTCCTATCAGCTGTATGATTTGTAAAATGACAGACTGTATTCTATTAACCATCTAATACAAGTAACAATTATTAATGTTGCAGGTCAATATTGCATTTGGTCAATCAAGAACAGCAGATTTGTACAAAATCTGAGCACTGGGCCATAAGCCGTATTGATTAATAACATCATAGTGTGAATGTCTCTTAAATGCTCACAATCAAATTATCACTCATTTTTCAAAGTATAGCAGTAGCAAATGGTAACTAGTCACAGCATAGCCTTCATACCATTTCCAATGAACAAGCTTATCTTANCATGTAATACCAGTTTAGATAATAAAACAAGTGATGTAAATTAATAGTTGCACATATGTCAGTTGAAAAGCAGGCACTAGTAAATTATATTTAAGAAAATTTTGGAGGTTATATGCCAAATGTATTAACTACAAACACAGTGAGAGTCAATTCAAACACAATGGGTGAAAATATTGTTATTCCTATCAGCTGTATGATTTGTAAAATGACAGACTGTATTCTATTAACCATCTAATACAAGTAACAATGATTAATGTTGCAGGTCAATAGTGCATTTGGTCAATCAAGAACAGCAGATTTGTACAAAATCTGAGCACTGGGCCATAAGCCGTATTGATTTAACATCATAGTGTGAATGTCTCTTAAATGCTCACAATCAAATTATCATTTTTCAAAGTATAGCAGTAGCAAATGGTAACTAGTCACAGCGTAGCCTTCATACCATATCCAATGAACAAGCTTATCTTAGGCAAAGTTGACCTTGATCTATAATTGTTGACACACAAAACATACTTCCATCTTTACTCAAGTCTCCTGTGACCCCTTTGTCCTCACTTCTCACACACGCACACTCACAGACATGCCTGAAAACAGAACATCATGAATACAGCACAAATCCAATGGATGAATAGACCAATATATAAAGCACGCACACAGATTAACCATGCATACGTGCACATTCACATGCACACACACACACACACGTACCTCCATCTTGGCATTCGTCCATCTTGGAACCTCCACCACCATGTTAAACACTGTCTTCTCTGCATTACCGTACAGCGGAATATCATGGAATGGGGAGATCAAACCCTGGGGGCCCTCTGAATCAGAATAGAACAGATTTGAATAGCTTACTTGTTTCACTTCCAATTACAATAACAGCAATTAATTTTTTCCTCTGTATCCTTACTGACTCAATACATGAATATATTTCTTACACTCACCACTTAATACCACTATTTTGAGAGTGATATTCAAGGCTGAAAATAATACTGAAACTATGATAGACATCCAAGCATATCATTAAGGATGTTGTAACCCTTTATTATCATCCAGATACGGAAAATGAGGTTTTCCCTGCATCTAATTATGCAATAATGCATCTGTCTTTGTGCTGATTTAAGACAATAAAAAAACCCTCGAAAATATAAAATATTGGCGTTTATATTTATTGTTACAATGCATAAGCATAGGCAACTCAAAGCTTTAATTGTCAATTTAACACCCATTTTGAGGAGAGATAGCAATTGGTATGGGGCATAACTTCATCCTTAAACAAGATTTCATCACGAAAAGTGGCAGAGTTGACCATGAGTGTATGGGCTACAATCCCATAGAGTCATTTTGGTTCAAATGTCTTAGTTATGGAGTTGTGAGACCGTAATTACAGATTTTCAGTAAACAAAGGCATTATTTTGCTTTTTTAACAATAAAATCAGAACTAAACATTTTAAGAAAAATTGCTGGCAGGATTTTGTAGTACTAAATGTGCCATTAAATCGACGTAGAAATGGTGATTGTGGGTGCTCAGGTAAGGGAGAAATTTGAGAAACCAATTTTTCAGTTTTTATCCCAAAATCGCAATTATGACATCACCCTTCGTATGACATGTGTAAATCAGGCCTGTAGCCAGCAATTTCAAAAGGGGGGGTTCTTTTTCTGAAAAAGTGGACCCTTTTCTATAAAAATTTCATGTACCTAGATCAAATTTTACCCAGAGTGTACCTTTTCCCAGCAAAAAGAGCAGTTCTTTCGAACCCCCCCCCCCCCCTTGGCTACGGGCCTGGTAAATGATTATTTATTTAGTCACTGAACACTGAAGATTTATCTATTACCCAAAAGAATGTATGTAAGGCAGTAAATAAGGAGTTTTGGGCAAAGGGTGACAATATCCTCAAGTCATGTTAGAACACTAGGCAAGACAATTTTTCTGGTGCTTATGCACCTCAAGTCTCTGGCAGGCTCCTGTCTTCTGGTGGGATTTCCATTGACAACTATGTTGCCTTTTAACACCTATTATAATATAATATGAATAACCATGTATTATTAAAGAGATCAATATTTTGCTATAATGCTGGACTTCCTTCAGGCTGTCTTTGGTGGATTCCACAAAAATGGGGCATGTTTTATTACTAGAAATTGGATTAGAACTTTTTCAATGAACATCAAACAACCAGCCCTAATAGAAATAAATACTCTGCCAACAATGTGGAGAAGTAAGTGCTGCATGCTCTATCACAACACCTTGGTACACATTGCTGTTTATTCACATATAAAACTGCACTGTATTTCTGCCCAATGTTGTTTGCCCACAGCAGGCAAATCACTGGCCTTTTGTTAATCAATGTCTATTAACTACGTCATAGTGCCCACTGTTCAGTATTAGTTGCTGTTCACAATGATCTAGATGTGGTCACTTATACAACCACTATAGAATAATTTACTTCCATATTAAAGAACATGTTTGAGGGTACTTTTAAGAAGGCACTCATACATGTAGAAGGTAACTCCTGGCATTCTGGGCTACTGACACACTTGGGATATCAGTTCAGAAATCAGTTCCAAACAAATAATTGCCAAGATTTAAAAAATATTTTACAAAAAACATTTTAATCACTCTATAATCACTCTGATGCCATTCTGCACAAATATCTGAAACTATTATTATGTGTGCATTATTATTTTCTTATCATTAAATATTCCAAGTAGCTACTGCTACAGGTGCCCTTAGCTTATGTGGTCTTCCGATGAGGTCACTTAGTCTATAACTGTTTTTAAGTTAGCACAGCTGTGAACATGCCTGTAATCTGCATACATTATATACCTGGTCAAGCTGATGCATAGAAAACAGGTGACAGACACAATGAAAGTAAGACATGAACTTAGGTGGGCGTGACAGCTTATTAAACATTAACTGAATTAAAGGACAACATGTGTTTTGTCATATCAATTCAGAGAACACTATCATTGATATACAATACAGAATGCTGTCACTGATATGTGATGTACTTTAGACCACGGTGGAAGTGAAAAACAAAAGACTCAGATGTGGTGTAACTCACATAACTGCATGTCTCGCATGAATGCGTTATAACCCACTAATGGACCATGGTCTAAATACGCCCTGCCACATAATCTTCACTGACTTGGGGTCTATCTATTACATAATTGGTGGGCTGATGGAGGAACAAACTGTTACATCATTGAAAAAAATCATTGCTTAGTACTGATACTTTCTACACTTCTGCAATAAACAGTCTACTGGCAAAGATATAAAAAGGTTTATTAATAAATAAATCGATTATAAGAGTTGCAAATGTAAAAGTTTTGGAGTACTGTGGTAATATAAGCAGAAATGACAACAAAATATTATTGTTCACATCCAAGTACAGTTTGTCACTTTTGCCCCCCATATATTATTGAGGTTTTTTGGTCATTTGATCCTAACTTCCAAATATTTTTTTTATTCATATGGAAATCTAAGAAAGTCTAATCCCAAAAATTAGGTACACTTGAAGTTAAAAGGAAAAGAACAATGAGCTTCCTTCATAGCCCTGAATTGCCATTTTCTTTACCTATTCAATGAGGCAATATTTAGACTTCTATGGCAGACTATAAAATAACAAACATTCTAATTGTATCATCATTAAATTACTGATTCTGTCAACTTGCAAACTAGCCAACAATAACTGATGTGTCCTAAGATACTGGCCGCATGGAAGATTTAAACATGACTAAAAATAAACCCTTAACATCTTGTCTTTATTTCTACTTATTTGCTTACTTTTTCCTTTTATCTCTAATCTTTTATTTGACTATCCATTATTAATATGGCAACAAACTAACCAGGTTGAAACCTTAAAATTACAATGTTGAAATGAAAATTATATTGTTACAGGATTAAAGAAATGGGACAGCATGCCAGTAAATATTTTCACAGACCTGACGTTATGCAATTGTGTACTTGTCTGATAACTTTTTAATCTATTTAACCAGATAATATCAGGTGCACTTCATGGGAATTTGATACGAGCTAGAAAAATACAATGTAATGCCAGTTGCTAATTTAATATTAATCTTTTTACTGAGAATTGGCTTAATATGAAAGTTAATCATCATAAAACATTCTGTGACAATCGCACTTAAAAATAGCAGAAGATATGCTTATCATACAGCAACTGTCCCAGCTGCCTGCCCTCACTAGAAAACTGTAGATACCGAACTTTGGCATCAGGAATTAGAAGATATCTGATTATAATTTAACGACAACAATTAATAATTGTTTAACCGTCACCCTTATAACTTATAAAAACCACAGCCCTGTACTAGCAACTAGCATGTCATGTCTGATGGCACATGGAGACAAAGAAAAGACCAGTTGAAAAAAGATGCAATGTCTACAAGTGAAACAGAATATATATTGTGATATTCTACCAAAATATAATAAAGAGGACAATATCAAAATGAATGAGGATATTTACTTGCAAAGTTTATATTGTTTTCCTAGCCATAATAAGATTCCAGTGTTGGGGTTGATTTTTAAGTCTTTGAAACCATTCCGCATGAGTTATGACAGTCTGCATTAAGTGAGAGTCTCCATCGAGTTAATGCACATTAGCTAGTTGGACATAAGATATTTTAGCCTGGTCATAAATGACCAGAATGACTGTTAGACTGTCCCTGCCCCTTAAAAAATTGAGTGTTTTATCACAGAAGAAAGTGGATAGTCCTGTCATAACTCTGGATGCATACTTAGGGCAAACAATCTATCCCTGTGCATTTACATCATACTAACTGGAACTAGAATCGCCTCAGCTATCTCTTAATAATATATACATGTAAACAGTCTATTTGAAAAAAAAAATGCAGTCATTTTCATTTAACACTGAGGCATTTAAAAAAAGTAAATCCAAAACAAAAATCAGTCATTAAAGTGACAGTGTCCATCACTAACTGGAATAAATCCATGGCGGATGCACTTGCTGTTCTTACCATTAATTTCTGCTGATGATGCTTTAAACAATGTATACAAGTTGAAAATTCTAGCTGATTTATGGCATGATTTAATGTTCAAAAGTCAGGAACTTGTGAACTAGTACTTATCAATGACAATGGACTGCTTGTTACATGTACGTCTAACCAATACGGATATTGAGTCCTATATCTAACACAACAGCAACACAACGCTAGCACTGTATCGGGGATCGGGGACCCTGTTTCAAAAACGTTTGAATACTGAACTCAGTGCTAAACACTTGTTTTATTGTCAACATTCATTTTAACAACAACAAAATATCAATAAACAAGTAGATGATGTCAATCAGCAATAAAATTGACAGATTGATACCAAGAATGATCTTCAAAGAGAATCATCACTGACATCAGTGGCACTGTCACTGAACAACCGAGCAAGAGTGACCCGATTTAAATCTCAAATTTACTCACTGAAGAACATCCTGTACTCAAGGGAGTTCGGGGCCCCACATTCTACTGTTGTAAAAGAAGACATTCTAATTATCTGCGTGCAGAGAAGACGTTGTCTGGACCTCAGGGATTTCAGAAAAGGCGACTTCGGACAACCTATACGCCCAACGCGCCACAGGATTGGCCAACCACGTTGCATGTGTTGACTTTCGCCGGTAACGGAAGTAGTAATGTAACAAATGTAGTGCGCAGGTGCGAGCAACATTCTACGCGCCATCTATTGGTAGAGAATCAAACTAACCACCTTCTGTACATATACATCAGGTATTTTCAACCGAGTCAGGTGCGTCCTTCAATCCAGAGGATACTGTACAAAATACAAACAACGTGGCTTTGATTTTTAATATGGCTAGCTTATGCATTGGTTGTAAAATCACTAAATTTTTATGAAAAAACTCTTAGAAGTTAAATAAAGAACATTGGTTCTTGACATGATTTACTACAGAATCATTGCATTAGGGGTGACACTTTTTTTTTAGCTAGGAGAATATATGCTGACCATGAAACACGAACGATTATATGTAGCACGCGAAGTGTTTGTTAATCCAGGAAGGCCGAGTGTTCTTTTATGTAGGACTGTTTTGTAATATAGACATAATGATTGAAAATATTCGGCAAAACCCTTAATTCGCCACTATAGGACCCTCTATTGGTTCATTTAAATAGATGGAAATGGGTCTCTAATCTTTTATCGTTTTTCACCTACTTGATTAAAAAGGGGTTAATAATGTAAAAGAGAAGAAGATGCATATTTCAAAAATAAAAGTTTGTTTAGCTTTTTTTTATTTTTGTATTTCAAAAGTATATATTTTTAAAAGAAGAAATTCAAACAGTGAAGTTGAGTAATTAATTCTATCTATTCAATATGCTTGTAAGAGAGAGAACCCGAAAAAATACTTTTGACCTTTACAAGCCTGCTGTAAATATAGCTACAACAACGAGGTTATTTTTTTTAATACGCCTAAAATAGAGAATGTGAAATCATGTTTTGTATTGTATTTAGCATATACATCCGATGCACTGAACTGAACATGCACACACACAAAAACACACACAGCGCAACATATTTATTTTGGTGCACGTCCCATCTAGTCCGTAGACTAAATGCGTTACTTCCAGAATTCTTATCAAAGCACCTCCCCTGTATGTCAAGGCTGAAGAGCACAGCTCAGGTCTCCATTCTCCCAGACAGAGGGCATTTGCGATTGCTGTCAGGTAAGCTCTTAGTTTTAAATTCTCACTTAAATTAAAATGAGTAGCTAGGGCATAGATGGTTTCTCATGGGTCGCCCCACTTGTTATGTGCTTTTAAAGGAGTGTGAGCATTGTTTCTTCAGTGGATATTCCAACTGGAGAAACAAAATGATGATGATTCCTGACACAAACGTTGACAGTCATGGGATCTAAATGTGCCAGCCTACATGTATGTAAAGCCAGCATGTCCTCCCGCATATAAAACAGACATGTCGTAGAACTTGTTTCAGAACTGTAACGCACTTTGAACACATGTTTAATCCAAACAGACCTACATTTTGTTCATGTAGGTCATAAGGCCTATGTACATAAGATAATAGAATACAAGGGCATTGTAAGACCCATCTTGTTATTAAGCCCCCTTTACACTGGACGGCGTCCTTTTCTGCGCCCCGCAGTACGGCCCTGTTTGAGAGTAAAAAAAAATAATAATAAATAATTTTACGTGCCGACAACTGGCCGATCACTGAGCATTCATTTTGAACCAAAGCGATGCTTGTGGCTCCTTTCTACGACCACAGCGATGCCAATTTCATGGTCGCACAAAGGACACAGAAAGAACGCCGTCCTGTGTAAAGGGGGTTTAAATAATATCATGCAATATGCATCATGATGCTGCCTGAGCGAAAAAATATATCAAACACACAGTGAGACTTTGCTTCAGTGTAACTTGTAATCTGAAAGCCAGGCGATATAGAATAACGACTTATAGATATAGTTGGAATGTATTTCTAGAAGACCAGCTGAAACCTATAAGGAAACGTCGCCAAATTTGTAACTAAGATCTAATATTCCGTTTATTAGATCTTAGTTTGTAAGTACAGTAATAGATTAAAAATTATTTGTGTAAAACATGACTGGATGACTGATCTGGTTGTCAAATTCATTTGCGTTTTGCACATGCACATCCAGATTCGAGACTCGGTCGGCGCTCTTTAAGTTTCTTTGAACAAACAAAAATTTTAGTAAATTAAGTTTATATAGACTGACACACAACGGTGTCTTGGTGATAGGAGCCAAATTAAAATAAAACACATAGGAACTGTATTGTATATGTATTCACTTTATGATCTAAAGCAAACCAGGCCCATTAACATGAAAAAAGGGCAAAATGGTGTATTCCATATCCCCACTTAAAACTTCAAATAGCAGGACCTAAAAAAAGACGCAACATTTATTTTCCAGAAAAAATAACCTAAAAGCCTATCATTCGATCTTCATTTTCTCAACCGATTCGTATGAATCGTGTCTTTTCTACACGGCACATGAGTGTCTATAGCAAAGTTTATCTTATTGATTTGACAATTTATTTTCTAACTGAATGTCTGATCCAGCAAGTGTTAAAGGATAATTCGGACAAGACAAAGAAAAGGAACTATCAAAAGGGTTCTTAATCCTTAGTCTTATCTTCTTTCAAAACATATCCGAAGATTTGTAAGTGCTAAGCCGTGCCTACATAAAAAACAAACAAAAAATTGTTGCCATGTAATCATATCCACTATATGTTTACGGCACATGGCAAAAGCACATCAGTGAGTTGTATTAATATTCACACGCATGTTCTGGTTACAAGGAGACTATTTATTATCCATGCAGAAGGCCCACAGGAATATTCAGCCGAAGCCCTTAAATTAATGTTGATAGCGAAATTAAATTAAATTTTAAAACAAAAGGACGAATACAAAATATTCTGTGAAGACGCTTATTATTCATAATTCGACGATTGTTTTTCTATTATCTATCAGCGATATATTATAATTTTCTAAAATAATTTCCTGAATAGGCTGAGTGGTCAACTTTGAAAAGTCGAGCGCGCCTTTCTGTACTCGTGTCTTGCCTCCCACCCCCTCTGTCCACCAAGTAACCCAGGGTCATAATGAAAAGTCAATTTTGCCTCTTGAAAAGCGTTTTTCACAGCGTTTAAAACATTGTTTTCAATGTGACGAAAATGTTTCTTTGGAACGTAGCCATCACGGAACGATCTACAAATAGAAATAAGTCGTGGAGTGCTCAAACGAGAGATGATACTCTGCATTAGTTCGCTTCTTGTTTCTATTTCATCTTCGGTGGGAGAATGGAAAGTTACGATGGATTCATTGGGTGTGTTAAACCCGTGGCAAACCTGAAAAGGGACGTTTTTGTACAGTTCGCCACTTAAAGATTTCGGAGTGGTGGTCATACAAAACCCAATATCGGTTAATGTTTTGAGCTGATCGTAGGTCATAACTAACAACAGTTTTACTATCTTCTTCACCCGCGTTCGTGATGACGATTTTAACTGCGAACAAAAAATAGCACTTCGCTCCCGGAAGAATGAATTAAAGTACTTCCCCACTTGAGAGAAGGTCGCATTCAGTTTTAGCTTTGAATTGCAAAAGCTATTTTGACTATCACTGTCTTCGCAGTTTCTCATTATTGTTTCAATGATTTTTGTTAAAAATAAGTCAGAGACGCGCTCATCGTCTGTATTCATTGGGCAAAACGTCATAGAAAGAAGCGTGTCAAGAAGTTCCACCAATTTCCAATTTATCTTTGTTTGCAACAGAGGATCGGCTCCGCTCTCACATCCAAAATAATCCTCGTCAATATCCAAAATGATCGTCTCCGATTTATCTATCCAGTTTTCTTTTGTAAACTTTTCAATAAACACTTGGTCCATGACTTCCTCAGAGATATAGGACGTCTCCACTTTGCACCGACCTGGGTCCAACTCCACAACATCAGTTCCTCCACTCAGATAGGCGACTTCCTCGTTGAAGTAAAAACAAACTCTTCTGTTTGTATCGTCCGGCTGAAAAGTTTAAAGACAGATATTGCATATATATGAATTTCAGTAAACTTAGTTCAAAACAAATCATAATTCACTTAATATTCTTCCTGACATACAGGTATCGCAGGAAAATGTTGACATCAGGTACCTTTATTTGAGGGGGTTAAACATTTCATTGTCTGAATTATTAAAGATAAGTAGCTTCTCAGGGGATTTAGACATCAGGTATGATTTTGAGACATTTTCAAACGAGTAGACCAACAGTATATACATGCACAGAGGGTGAAACATATAAGAGCACGCGCCATTACGGGGACCAACACTCCTCTTCGGAACTACGCGCTGTTTGACTTTTTTGAAAGAAAAAATTTACCTGGCATTGACAGAAAACTTTTGCAGTACTAGCTTCGTCTGTATTAGGAACGAACCAGCCGATCTCGGTAACGGTTCTTCTGTAGAGGCCAGAGTGGTTCTGACGATCCCATGATGGCCATACCCACACAAACCGATTGAAAAGACCCGACATCACAGCCTCCTGGAAGGTAGAGGTATGTCCGGTTATATCCAAAATGACCACCACGTTTTCAATATAGGCTACAGTGTTTGTTTGAGAACAACATCATATAATAACAGTAATATCACACATGTTTAATAAAGCTATAATGCTAATCACCTGTCTGAGAAATAAACAGTTCAGTGAACGACTAACAAACTTACAGGCCGACTGCACACCGATCAACCAACAGCTAGTTAACTTAAAGAAAAATAAGGCTTTTAATATACAATCATTAATACTTTTTAAGGAAAAAAGTTGACTAGCACTTACTACGACAAACACATCATTTTTCTGCAGCATATAAACGAGTTCTTTGGGGGTTTTAGGCCACCGAAAGAATGGGTACTCGTCGTAATAGTCGGGCGGAGCCTCATCGCTGTGACCGTCTATGTGAATCTGGAGGGGAAATGATCACACAGGTCAAAGAACATGCAAGAGAGTCTAAATGATGTTGAAATATTTTTATATTTAACTAACCAGGCAAAATACATTTAAAATTACGACGACGACAAAAAATCGCTCTTCCTTGTGACAAAGAATACATAAATAAATAAATAAAAAAAATAGTGTGCCGTCCTCCCCCGTTTTTGTTCATTTGATTTAGTTCACCTTTCAGTTCATGAACAAGATAAATGCAAATGGTTCTGAAGTTCAATGAAGTGCACACTGCATAGATGTTTTTTTGTCCAATATTCTTCGAAATTCTGTAATCTTTAACACTGCAGCCACACCTTATATTTTCCGTGTCACTGTATAAAGTTAAGTGAAGTATGTTCGTGAATTAAAACAGAACGTGACTATCAAGGAGTCGATCTATTGTTTCCTTGAAAGAAATTTGTGATAAATGTATCAGGTCATTTCCAAGTATGAATCAGGTAGATAAGAGATATAATTCGAAACCATTACATTTTCATATTACAAAGTGCCACGGTATAATGACAGTGACAGAGTGGAAACATATCGTCTTCGTTCTCTTCCTGCCAAGCTGCGTCTATTAAGTAAGGATATCTATCGTTGTCATTCTTGATACATGTAACATCGGAAGCATTTTGGTAGGCTTATTCGTGTTAGTTAGGCAGATTAAGCTACCACTCCCACGCACACACACACACACACACACACACACACACACACACACAGATTAATATACCTGAAACTTTATGTGCGCTCAATCTATTTTAGTAGACTTAGAATATGAAAACGTGGCAAGCACACATGTTATAATACCTGTATATACAATCTAAATGCATGTCCTTCTAGTAATTTACAGAATGGATTTAGGTACCTCACACAAATTTTTTTATACAAATTGAACGGACGTACAATGGGCAGTTTTACAAAACTTGAAGAAGTGTGCATATAATTATAAGATATACATCTATACAGCTTAAAATAACCTTTCAACACTCACCAATGTATTTCCAGACTGCGGAAAGCTACCCGCTTCAGCTTCGGCAAACCAGTAACGCAATACTGAAAAACAGCCACCGTATATCTTGAGTTTTGTATTATCATGTTCTTTCACCTTGCATTTTAAAGGATCGGTTAACTTGTTCCTCACCGCAGTTCAACACTTCTTTATTGATAAAATGAAACAGGACTAAACTTAAAAGAAATTATCTTATCAACTATTGGTTTTCCAGCGTATTTTCCATGTTGAGAAAAGCCCTCCTTTTTCTCAAAAAGGCTATTAATCCTTATTTTAAACGATTTTGTATGAAGACAACTAATTTGACTTTTTTCTACTGTATACGCGCATGTGCAGGTGCACCTTAAGAACAGTAGGATTGCTGTTCATATCAAACTGGACATTACAATACACTATTTGGAAATACATGTACATCTTTAACACTATTTTTCACCTGTTTGCGTTCCTCGTTTTAGATTATTTATAGTCACACATCATACTAATTTTAGACATTGATTGTCATGGGATCAATTGTGTTTAAGAGTTTTTCATTAATCCAGGGAGACCTATATTTCATTTTGATTATGGAAAAAAGAACGGATGCAATAAAAGCCACTAAAACTGGAACTCGGATAACGAATAAGATATATTTGTATTTACAAAAACCACAGTTACCCCGCTATATCTTTAAGTAAGATTGAAATGTTAAATATGGCACCGGGGCGCTTTAATTCATAAGTCGGTTAATTTTAATATAGAACCCCAGTCCTAAGTATGCCCACGGTTCACTGAGTACCTCATCTGAAGGACATATATCAGCCTCGATGGTTGTTTAAATACCCTTGTGTAACCTTCGTTTTGAATCAGTAGCCAGATTGAACCGTCATATACCTCGGTAACGTGTATGTTATGCGCTGTGGATTAGTACTTACGAGCTCGAGGAAATCGATGAAGAAATTCATGAGATGGTGTTCAAAGCCACCCCCGCTGCCTTTACTGTCAATTTCTACAGCATTTATCGTTTAGTTAAGCCCAGTTGCCAGAACCACCGTTTGGACAGATACCTTTAAACACACTTCAAAATTTCATTTATTGCAGATCAGACTATTAGATATTTTTCTGATTTCCCTATCGTTACTGTAAAATTGGTTTACATGCGTTCAACAGGGCAGTGACCTTATTCATCTACCTAATAAATCGTGGAGAGAGAAAAAAAAGCCACACAGCGAGATCCAAATAATCGCACTAATGATTGGTAAAATACAGTTTCCTGATAACTCGAAAAACCAATAATTGATAAGATACTTTCTTTTAAGTCTTTTCATATAATTAATTTAGTATACGTGGCCGGATGTCACACTCTGACGGACCATACGAGCTTTTTACTGAAACGGAAATTAAGAGAAATGCCAGAAGAAATATGATTCAGTGTTGTATTGTCTACAGGAACATGGAAACCAATAGCTGTAGTCCTGTGATTCATAAATATGCTTATTACGTGAAAACGCCAAATTGTTACAGTCTTTATGATTTCCATCATTCTTTCTCTCTTTATTGCTCGTTTAATAGAATAAAACATACATATTCATGCTATGTCTTTTATTTATTTATTTATTTATTTATTTATTTATTTATTTATTTATTGTATGCACAAGTAAATCCAGGATATCCGGGAATCATCCTCTTCCCACAATTATATGTCTTGTGTTCTTTTTTTTTAATTCAATTTTAAAATATGGTTCTGTGGATTTCAGTAGATTTCAGTAGATGGTGGTAGGCGAACAATTCTGCACTAAGTAAGGGGGAGGTGCACGCTCTCACTCGCTCCCCCTCGCACCCCTCTACGTCCGCTTATCAATAAGTATATTCACTTAAAACCTGTACAAAAATCAATATTTCCTTTATCAATGAGATGCCTTTATTACAAAACCTAAACCATATTTTCTAAAAACGGCAGTAAGATAGTAAAAAGCATGCAATGCTCCGTAGATAGATTTCTCTCACCTTCATGATGTTCCTCGAACACGACCACCTTTACCTCGGGCGTGGTCATCCTAAACCCCGGGGTCTGCATGAGCCAGCATGTCACCACCACAGTTAACGCCACAACAAAACACAGAAGACCTAATTGAAAAGCTATGGAAGATTTGAGCAGTCTGCGAACCGCTCGCATACCCATCTTCTTATCTTTTCGCCTCTTTTTTTCTCTCTGATTCACGGCACAAAATCACTGTACATTTAAGCCCATTTTATCTGTTATAACTGGTGTCCAATTCACCTAATGCATGCTGTCATGGATCTTTACGCTAGTTGATTTTCCAGTAAATCATGAGTCGTGACAGAGATAGCATCGGGGATTCGATTGGAATATGTGGATCTCCAATAGCTCATTTAAAGAGCAAAGATACAATTTTGATGCAGAGGCACATTGGTATTTTGAGATTTGTCCCATCTTTTTGTGTCTTTCCTTCTCATCTCAGCAACATAATTTCTATAAAATATCCGAGTAAGTCTAACTGCCTTTTTATATAGCATTTGCATTTGCTCTGCAGCAAGGCACTCGAGGTCTACAGTATTTTTCACTTGTCCCAGGATTGAGGGAATAGGGGTTGGCTCCTGCACCTTGTAAGAGACATTTTAATGTGCAAAACTGCGAGGCAAATGAAAAGACCTGTGCCCCTCCATCCCATCAACAGCAAAAGAGGCAAGGAGAGAGAGAGCGTGCATTTAGAACAGATGATCCACGGAGTAACTGATCCGCCGACTAAATATGGCCGATCCCAACTGTGCCGCTTAATCCTCTGATGGTCACCCCGTCTCCACACGCGCCATTAAACTGATTGAATCGCGGCTCCGAGGTTTAATTGCAAAGCCAGTGCAACGACGGCGCTTGTGGAGACGGGGAAGCATTCAGAGAATTAGTCGGCGCTGCTTTTAAGTAAGTTGGCCATATTTAGTTCGCGGATCAACTTGTTCTGAATGCCCCATCCGTTTAATGGTGCGTGTAGAGACGGAGAGACCATCAGAAGATTAGGTGGCTTACTTTTAATTGGGATCTGCCATATTTAGGTCCTGGATCAGTTAGTCCGCGCACCATCTGTTCTGATTGCGCTCAAAGAGAGAGAGAGAGAGAGATAGAGAGAGAGAGAGAGACAGGGAACCCTTGTGATTTACATTGCCTTGCGCATCTAATGAGTAATAATGTTTAAATTACCGTGAATATATCATGCCTAGTGGGTCGTACGTCTCTTGGGAGTTTATCTGATCTATTTATACAGGGAAGGAGCAATAATTCAAATACCAAGAGAACAATTCTATGTTTTAGCTTTTTAGACAAGCGATAAGAAGTGTAGACCTGTGTTATTCAATTATAGAACATTGCCCTAACGTGTTGAATGTCAATCTATTTTTCTAGGAGAGAGAGAGAGAGAGAGAGAGAGAGAGAGAGAGAGGCATATAATTAAGATGGATGTTTGTTATTTTTCGAGTTGGAATGTATGGAACTTTATATAGAAAATTATTTTTGTTTCTTATCTTTGTTAGCATAATTACCAGCAGAAAAATGTTTAAAACGTGAAAAAGTTGAAAAGGATTTTAAAAATTACTTCGCCCTTGCTGAACTCGATCTACATGAATATCAATCCAGATGGTGTATTATCGCCTTATGAACCCTTAATATTTGATTAAAATGGACACTACGTCTTTTTAAAGTTTAATATTTATATAAGATTCCGTATATCTAGATAAGAGGGTAATGCAGGGTTTTGTGATCAAATGATGTGTGTAGCCACTCATACATTTTCAGATATGCATTCAATTCAGTTTAAGCCACGATATTCAATATTTTGAGTAACGCCTATACATTTTTGTCTCGTTTTTGAAGAAAATTGGAATGAGTTTACTGTGTGCAAAAGTGGCCTCCATTCTATACTCTTGACCACGGCACTTCTTCACTTCATTTCATGAAAACTTGCAGGTGAATTAACTACCAAGTGAAGTATGGACAGTTTTAAGGTTGAAGGGCTTGTGACCGCTCCCTTTACACCATTCAAAGGCAACGGGTATGTATACAGTTTCAGCTGCTACTGCTGTTTCAGCTTCTGTGAGAAACGAACCATGTTGCTACATGTAAATGTGATGAATACTTGAAATACTACTGTAAAAACCTTACCCGCTGTTTTTTTAAACGCAACCATGGAATCGCGTGACATATGATGGAGATGTAGCCTAACATTCTGCACTGATATGTTTTTGCGTTGATCGAAATAATAATAATAATAATAATAATAATAATAATAATAATAATAACAGAAAAGAAAACGAATAGGTAAAATGATATGTTAATAATTTCAGGGACATAAACTTTGAAATGTTTCAGTCCTATGCCGATTATCTAGTGAGCATGGAAATTTCTGCAGTTTTTGGTAAGTAATTGTGTGGGTTGAAAACTTAGATGATAATATCAGATATGGTGTGTGTGTGTGTGTGTGTGTGTGTGTGTGTGTGTGTGAAAACACCTATTTCATCTATAAAGTTTATTTAGGAAATTTTAAATAGCAGTAAAGAGGGAAAGCGTGTTGGAATCAGAGGTACTTAGGCAAAGCTAAGAAAATCGATGTTCCCCCACTTTTGTCCAATGTGTCTTTGATCCCAAATCCATCAAAACGCATTTTTCTCTCTGGGGAGACAGGATCAAGGAAGTGTCAAAAGTGTGATTATACGTGGCCACGAGTGCTGATTTGATGGATTTGCCACCAAAGTCTTTCAGGAACAAAAAGAGTCGGAAATCAATATTTGAATCTTGTATACGTGGTTTTTATACTGACGATGTTATTACTCATGTCTGTCTCTTGTAGAGCTAACTATTCTATTGCCCTTTAACATTTAAGCATGTTTGAAAATATATACATATACTGTTTGCAGTGAATGGATCCACAGGAGAGGGACTCTCTCTTACTGTTGAGGAGAGAAAACAAACACTTGAAGCTTGGGTAAAAGCCGTCAAAAACAGGCAAGTGATTGAGAACCTGTGCTGGCGTTACATAGTTTAATTGTTTTTCGGTGACACTTAATGACAAAAAATACTTTTATATATTAAGCAAAGCAAAACGATTGATAATTTTATTCTAACGAAAGATTCAACTTATCTCTTGGCAGTATTACATTAACTATCATCAACTCCATCATTATGAAATATTTGCATTTAACTTTTGTAGAATGACGATCATAGCACACGTTGGCGCTCTCAATATAAAAGACTGTCAAGCACTGGTGAGGAAATTTTTTTGGCATTATCCTCTAGAATTGTTTGATAAGAATAAAATAAAGCAACCACTTCTAAGCCTGTTTTTAAGTTCTGGCTAGTATTTGTACATGTATTATTGAATAGATAAAAAAGATGAGACTGAGAGAAGTAATGTCATACTTTTAGTCTCAACACGCCCAAGCAGCAGGTGCTGATGCAATTGCTAGTATGGCCTCGCTCTATTATAAGCCAGCCACAGAAGGTAATTTTCTGTTAAACTTAATTCCGTGCAAAACTGACAAGCTACTGGTTAGAATATACATCAGAGGTGTATGCGAGAATTGAAGTGTTGTTGTTAAATTTACCTTAATGTTGTTTGGCTGACACTTTGCCTTAAATATATTCTGGAGTTCCATTTTGGGGCAGATATTGGCTTTGATCTTTTATTTAAAAAAATAACCTTTTATTCTTGATTCAGAGGATCTTGTGGCGTATATGAAGGAGGTGGCGGCTGCTGCACCTAAGTTACCTTTCTACTACTATGACATTGACTTCATGACAGGAGTCAACCGTAAGTTACTCAAAAATAATTTATGATTTTTTGTACCACTTTTTTTCGAAAGTTGTAGTTTGCGTTTTCATTAACACTAATGACTAGTTCAGTGGAAAAAGGAAATTACCAGGCGTGAATGACCAAACCAGGTCCTTTTTGCTCGGTCTACGTTAAAAATTTACATTATATGCCCTGTTTTCAGTGAACAATGCGAAGTTTTTGCGCCTAGCCGCCCCAGCCATCCCGACTCTTAAAGGAGCAAAGGTTTCCTCGAGAAGTCTACAGGGCATTGCGGACTGTTTGACAGAGATTCAAGGGACCAAGATGCAAATTATGATGGGAAGTGATGAGGTGAAGGCAAATTATTACTTTCATATCTCACACACGAATCAATGGGGCCATTGCAGGTTCCTTCTTTTTTGCATTAATGACATATAATTATAGATAAATACAACTGAAATACATCTGAGTCTTTTCCGTTTACTCTCTCGATTTACCTCATCAGCGTCATCTCTAATCAACCCACATTGCTCTTCTTTTCAATTTTATGACAAAATTAAAAAAATATGGTAGATATGTATCCATTAAGCTGAACACAGAAGTATGTTGACAGGCCCGTAGCTAGCAATTGCAAAAGGTTTTTTTTCTGAAAATGTGGACCTTTTGTCATGAAACCTTAGTTTACCTAGATGAAATTAACCCAGAGTGGTCCTTTTCTTAGCAAAAAGGGTGATTCTTTTGAACCCCCGACCCCCCCCCCGGGCCTGTTTTATATCCCGTTAATTATTCCCTTATCCACCATACACGCTTGAACACCATTTATACTTTCTGTAGCAATTTTTGGCTGGGTTAGCCTTTGGTGTGGATATTCCAATCATGAATTCCTTTGTGGCTCCTATGTTCCACCGTATGATCAAGGCATTCAAGAAAGGAGATATGGATGCTGCTAAAAAGGAACAGGTATCACCCCAACCAGTCTTATCAAATATTATTTAGAATTTGTACTTCCATTGCCACCCTTGTTAGTTAATCACATAGTATAATAATACCCTCTACCAGGGCCGCAGATTTTTTGTATTGTGAATTAGCCAGAGACGCAACTGTGAATATCTAGTGAAAAATCAACCTGTGGCCTTGGTAGAGGGTAATAAATTAATGCATTTTTCACTATTGTTACTCATACTCAGTATATCTTAACGTGGCAGGACTGATTCCAGTATATTGTAATGAATTTGGAATAGTTAAAAGAGCCAAAATTATGAAAGTTATATAGAAGTTTTGAAAATGCACTTGGCAAACAATCTTACATGAAGTTCCGCGTAAAGTTTTATTGTAATATAAATAGTTTCTTACCGTCAAATTGGATCAAAACTTTAAGTTGTAAGTTTGACCATTGTAAGTTTTTTGTTAATTATCCAGATGCATTTATTAACATATACCAAGGTTATGAAGGAATATAAGCCAATATGTATTCAAATTCCAGTACCGTTGCTTGCAAGTTTCCAAGATCAAAGCAAAATATGGTAAGTACAGGTACTCGACAAATAAACATTTTATTAGGATTACAATCACATAATTTATTCATACCAAAATGTTTTTGCCAAAGGGTAATTAATTTTGTGGTAATTTTTGATGAAATACCGGTATGAAGTTGTTCAGTTTTATTAAAAAGTTGTAAAGTTGTATAAAGCGTTATAAATTACATGTAGGCCTACTAGCGATCTCCTTACATACAGCCACGGCTAGGCACCCCAAAGTTCCAGTTGGGTCCTGTTTCCTTAAAGAACTTTAGCCAAAAATTGACTTAATCTTTTAGACCAAGACTTGAAGTCTACCAACAATTCTCGCTTTATTCAATTGGACTATTGTAGATTTATCTTAAACTGAAGTGGGTCAAGCTTTTCGTCTAAATGTACAGAGCAATCTCGGCCTAAAACGCTTTTGACCACTCCTTACTGTGCTTACGATAACCGTTTTTGACATGAACACTGGACAACGCGTAATGGTATCGGACGAATCCATCCAGTCTCTCCCTATTTTATTGTAAATGTCAAATCCGCCTTTGAAAAAATGCATATTTTACATCTTTGATTTAATCAAAACCTGTATCATTTTTGCCAAAAAGGTTTTTTATTTAACCACTCTTTCGTCAAAGTCAAATTTAATATGCTCTCTTCGAGCTGATATTGCGTTGTTCCAGGCGGCGGGTTTGCAGCCAGTAAGGCAGTGATGAACGTGAGCAGCGGTCTGGACATGGGACCTCCACGACTCCCACTGAAATCATACAGCAAAGAAACCACGGAAAAAATCAAGAATGAATTAACGGAGGCCGGTTACTTTTACTGGATGAAAGAAACATGGAAATAGTTTATCTGGTCAGCAGATGTATTGGTTATCAGAAAAGTTATCACAAATACCACTTGCAAGATGAACAAGCATATTTTGTACGTTTTGATAGGATAATTGATATCTAATACATAAACCATGTGATACACATTGAGATTTTTCTATCTCAATATGTATCACATAGTTTACTTATTAGAAATGTTTCAAACTGAACGTGAAATTGTGAACACTTTATAGGATAATATAACAACTGACAATCTGATATTGACACTGAAATAAGTAAACTGAATGCTCAAGAAACAGATTTATTCAAGTGTACCTACATGGAAATATGCTACACTTATTCAGGGATGTTCCTCCGATTTCCAAATCTTCACACATACCTGTATCAGCACTGAATAAAAATTAGCAACTTTGCCTTGGCATTTCAGTTGGTTCAAAACTTAAAATTCTAAAAGGCACACTTCAAAGGGAGAAGTCAAATCAAGTAGTGAGTTTTTCAATTGACTCTGTCAGGCTTTGTGAAAGCCTTTGTCGCATTGCAATTAATAAATAAAGAATCCTTTGCTCTTAAGTCACTTTTGTCTTTACCTTGAAGTCTTGCATCTTTGAAAAAGTATGCTTAAAAACATTAAATTATTTTTTTAGTCACTGAAAGAGTAATTATAATTATACCATTTTCAAAGTTTAAGTAAATCTACTTAAAATGACAGAAACCACATCATGAAAATATGAAATTAGAAATAAACTTTGTTTCTTATATTCCATTGTCCTTCAACGTTGCATAGTTCAGCATTGGGTGATGTTTTCCAAATATGTATTCCCAAAAATATGGTAATCTTAATAACGATTCTAAACAAGGCTGGGTCACACGTGAGTTTCCATATCAATTTTGTAAAGCCTGTTATGTATGTAAAATGGCATGAAATAAGGTTTTGTGCCTAAAATCTTTGAAGGTGAGATCTTATGACATCAGGATTCTCTTCTTGTTCTTCGCAGTTGTGTTCTTCATTTCCTTCATCATTTCTTTGTCATCTGCTTTCAAATTGAGGTATGTTTCCAGACGACCAATCATGGAGTCAATCTTGTTGCCAAGGTCTTCACAATTGCCTTCATCACCTAATGATTGTAAAGTGTGGACACATCTTGTCAGGAAGTGAAAATCTTATTATATTCTAAACTGTGAAGTTCTCTAGACCAGTTTTTCACTGTCCATGTTTTATGAATTTCTCATTGTTTTCACTTTACAATGACATGGTTGAAACAGCTTAATGGTCATGATTTAAATATAGAAAATCGACTCTAACTTATGAAACCTTTGATGATTGAAATTTTTCAAAAGAAACAAGGTGTGATCTCTTCTGTAATTCCTGTTTTTCAATAATTTACACTAAATCAACTTTTTACGTTTTTTTTTCAAATAAAAAGAAAATTTGCACCCTCCCTGCAAAAATGATTAACTAAAAAGACAGATAAACATAAAATAAAAAATGAAATAAATATTTAAAGAACTAAATAAATAACTAAAGGAATGCATAAGAAATATTCCATTACGGTAACAAACATTGCACCAATGTGCAAAGACGAGACATGCAACTTTACAAATATACTAACAGCATACTTACCATTCTACACCCAAACTCTATACAAAACCTTAATAACACAAATAGAACTATTTATGACACAACTCTTACCTCCAACATACTGGAACTGGGATGGCACGTAAGGCTCTGGTTTCTTCTGGGTTGACATGCCAAATAGTCCTTTAAATCTGGACACCATGAAGTCGACAATCTCATAATCATTCTTCTGTTTGCTGAGGTCAAACTTGGCCCAGGCAAACGCCTCCATGATCAGCGTCAAGAACAGGTTCACCATGATGAATGACACTATCACCATGAAAGAGACGAACACTATCCGAGCAAAGAAGGGGTTGATTTCGTCAATCTGGTAGAAGTCAAATTTGTCTGAAAAATAAGATTTCAATTGTTAAAAATGATAATTACAAGTATCTTCAGTCATCAGGTTGCTTGAAAAAAGTATAGAGTTTTTCTGCCACCTAAACATTCCGACAAATCAGTATTGCTACCCAGTAATGAATATAGAACAATAGCCATATTTCAAGAAATGAGGTCTGTTCTTCAATTGGTCAAGACTGTTGGATCAAAACTTTCATTTTGTGGGTCTATAGTTTAATAAAAGTAAAGTTAGCCAAGAGGAGTGAACATATTCAAGTATTGCAGAAACACACAGTCATATAATAAAAAAAGCCTATTTTGCATATTGTCTTTTTTCAGAACTTTTCTTCATCTACAGAAGTGCTAAATATATATATATATATATATATATATATATATATATATATATATATATATATATATTAAACCTGGTATGCCAGTGCTGCCACTTTGTGGCCATACTTACTCAACATCATGGAGAACATGGTTTCACAGCACGTGATGAAAGTGCTGTAGTCCAAAAGCATGTGACCAAATATGTTGTACATGAGCTGGGCATAGGCAAAGAAAAGTACAAAAAACACAATGCCAAATGTAATCATGGGTTTGCCAGCCTCTTTCAAAGTGACACCGATGATGGACATTCGTTTGTTGAACCGCAGCAGACGCATAGACTTCAGAACTGCTAGGAACACCAGGATGGCCAGGAAGTAGCCATACATCTGAAAGAAAAAGACGTCTTAATATAGAATGACTATTTTTCAAAAATGCACATCAATTTTAAATCAAGCCATGATTTGCCTGAAAAAAAGGGAACAAGGTCACAATATTTAAGTGTGGGTAATAGATAAGCTAATGTATGAAGCTAATGCATTAAGTCTTAGTAAAGTATTTTTTATCCCTTACCTCATCCCAGTAGCCAACATACTGGAAGTTGACAAATTTGTGTTTATTCTTCTTGAACTCTGAAGATGTGAAGTTTCCAATGAGCAGGCGGTACATGCACATCACTATAGCCAACACCAGACATACAACCACTGTGAACTCAACAACATTCCAGAATTTCTGAAAAAAAAAATCATGATTACACATGAAAGGAGATTTATAACTTTAGAGTGATACCCACTGTTTACATTATAACAATATTTACAAAAGCACTTGAGTAGAGTGCAGATTTCTGCCGAGGCAGCTCAATTCTCATCATTTTTTCTGAAAAATTTATTAATTTATAAAATTTCACCTTATATATATATATATATATATATATATAAACATCATATAGCATACATACATATACAAAAAATATAGTATTTCTTTAAATATTTCTATACTAAGAGCGTACATATATGTACTATGGTTTTTTAACACACACACGCACACCTTCTTACATAATATACTGTATTAAAATGAAACCCTATATACATAATATATCATGAAAACCTCACTTCATTTTATTTATCAATTTAATCACCAAAACTTAAGTCCATTTCTGACCTTTTCTGAGAAAGTTATCAAATTCTGTCCATAACTTTTTCAATTAGCCTGTTAGCTAACAAACCAACAAAAGCAGAAACATCTCTGGCAGAGGTCGATAGTACTAATAGATACGGAGATATGCTCTTCTGAAAATTGATTCCAGACTCTCTCTCTGCTTCACTCAACCGAGTAATATTCAAAACCAAATCAGTTATTTTATGCAAAAAAAAAGTCAGCTGGTTTCCACTGTTCAACATATATGTATACACATCACTGAAGCAAATGAATGCTAGGATAACATCAGCATATCTACCTCCTTTTAGCAACATTTAAGTCCAGTACTCACCTTGAAATATTCTCTCCTTTCTTGCTTGATAAGTCTGATCTCCCTGACCAGGAAATAGATGATAAAAATTATAGTGATCAGCTCACAAGCCATCACTACAAACATGTACGTGCCATAGTAACGGTCAAGACGGAGAATCTGCACCTTGTAGAAAGGCCAGGCACCTGAATTCAAAAAGACATAAAAGAATAAATGGCAAAATAAGCACCATATGGTCTTACATATATATTTGACGTGTGCGTATGTGTGAGTGTACATCAAACTCAAGACTTTAGGAATCATGAAGGAATCATGAAGTGCCTATCCAGCTGAATTGAAAAAATGCTTAATTAGTGAAGCTTTCAAATATAAAGACACTTCACTAAATCTAGGGGTAACATCTCTACAGCTGTGGATTCAACTGTTATTAAAATATTTGTGAATTAATAACTATCACTTCAAAGCTCTTTAAAATTGTTACAAAGACTGAATTATTTGACTTTAATTTTCATTTTCTTGTTGCTGAAAAAAGTACATGCCAACTAAATGGAAAAAAAAAACATTTAAAACAGAAAGTTCACAATAAATATGCTCACCTCCACTCTCTGGGAACTCGATGGCAATTGAGGAAATAGCAAAAAGGTTGACATTGGGATTCCACACAACAAACTCCACAAACAGAGCTCTGGCATATCTGTCTACCCAGCGGTTATCATACAGTTCTTTGATGGCTGTTCTGGCAGACTCCATAGAGGTTCCTAGCTCTGCCACATACCCTCCTCCACCATACATGGTGAGGAGCCCAAACACTGGGTAGCCATCTGTCTCACCACTATCCCGGAAACGCCAATAGTTATCTGCTTGCATAGTTGGATCTGGGAATGCAAATATATCTAGTTGGTTAAATATACAAATATTCAGAAATTTTATAATAAATTTGACAATTAAAAGGCTAGAAGATATTAGATATTCTCTTTGAATTTGGCTCTGACGTAAAACTTGCAAAATAAAAAGAGTGATAAATATGGGTGTACCAGAGGTATTGAGTGGTTTCCAACCCTTCTGGTAGCTGTCCTCATCTTCACCAAACATGCTGTAACTTTCACGACACTCCTTCAACATTTTACTAATGGGATAAGCACATTTTCCTGAAAAAAAAATCATGTCCATAACAGACCACATTAGAGCATCACCATATATCATAAAACAATTCTATGATATCAAACAAAGTACACCATAACAATGTTAACCAATTGTCATGCATATTTGTTTCCAGCAAAACATGTAAAAACCCACAGGATGCATAAAATAATGATTTCTTATCACTTCTATACAGAGGATACTAGGCTGAGACAAAACATTAATTTGTGCTCAACAATTTATAAGCCAATTTGACCACCATTCTATTTGGACAACAAATCAACAATATGTTTTTAAGTAACACAAGCACTTACCAGGTTTGGTTCGGACCAGACGCAAGCGAGGTGCACCAACACGATAAGACTGGTAGTCTGCCAAAAAGCCAGTGAGGAAACTCTGGTCTTGTCCATCATAAAACTTCTCAGAGAAGATTCCTGGTATGACAGTCTGGTTGATGTACTTCCATACATCACCTTGAGTGCGTACCTGAAAGTAAAGAAATAAATGCATGCAAAAATAGTTATTAATTAAAATAAAACAGTAATATGAATTCGTCAAAAATCATTTTTCGCTTCAAAACAACTTTATAAAAGTGACTACAAAATGTGCAATTATGAAAAAACTTTTTCTTTGAGAAATAACTTCCACTGTTTTTTTTATAAATTGTAAAAATCACTACACTTGTTAATAATTAAGACACTGAATTAAGGTTTACCGAGCCGAGGGCAAATCCATCAGGCTGATGAGATCCCTTGGAGAAGACCTCCTCCACATTTGAGTAATAGAAGTACGACCAAGGATCCCTGTTGCCATAGCTCACAGTAAACAACATGTACAGGAAAAACAAGTACACCAAAATCTCCCGGATAATTTGCATCATGGCCATCTCCTTGAAGCGCTGTTCTCTTGCCGACTTTAAATACTCTTCATCTGGCGGTTCTGGTGCATACTTGGCCTTGGCAGGAGCCAGTCCCTTGGCAACATCCTTATCAGTGAAGTTCTTGTGCAGATATTCCTCGTTGCTCTTCAGACCCTCTTCAGGACCAGCATCATCCTCAGTATCAGGGTTTTTAATGATCAAGGCATAGAATACTGCCAGAATGAACACCTAGGAATTGAATGACAAATGATAGCAAAAAAAAAAGTGATAACATAAATGGTTCAAATATCCTACTAATGATGAAAATGCTGTTCATCTTGTAAACATTTTGGGTAAAAAAAATGAAAATTATACCTTTAAAGAAAAGATACTGACAACATAAAGAAAAGATCCAAAATGTCCATGTTGTTCTATTTCATGACATTAAGCCTACAAATAAGACCCCGTTCCCAGAGATTAGATCGGTCCAAACTAGATTGACTTAACTCCCTGGGGGTTCACGCTAAATAGCTGTCAGCCAAGTGGGCACAAAAGTTAATTACCACCTTACAGCTTGTAGTAGGCGGGACGGACATTTAAGCCGGATTATCTGACAGTTATCTAGTGAGACTCCCCATGGGGATAGATCGATTTAAATGTCTGGGAATACGCCCTAAATTAGTAATTAGGCAGAACAAACAAATCTCAAAATCTACATACCTTAATTGGCTGGGTGAAGCACACAGACTCTAGGAGTGAGATGAAGAAAGATGCCATCCATTCCGCAGACTTCTCTGCCCCAAAGGGACCACCAAACTCTGTAGTGAAATAAATAGAGACAACCACACTAATGAAGCAAACAACATAACCAATGTAGATGCCCCACCATGGGAAGCGGAAAGCAGTTTTCTTCTTTTTCTTGTCTTTTTTCTTGTCTGATTTTTCATCCTCTTTTGGTGTAACTGGTCTCTGTGGTGCAGCGTCTGGCATTCTGTTGTAGCTGAGGAGTGTTGGCTCTGGAGTTCCTGTCATTAGAAGTCGATGCTGATGATCGCCAGTTTCCAAAAACTCCTTCTGATGTTCTAGTTCTCGATCTAATGCCGAGTTGATGTTTGCCGTTGGTGGGCGCCATTCGGATTCAGTGATGCTCTTCTTCGGCTTCTCCTTGGAGAGTCGGAAAAGTTGGACAATCAGTAAGTTGATGGGGAACACAATTAAACTGGCAATGATTCCTGTGATGATACCTTCTAGTGTAAAACTGAAGGGTCCCACTTTGTAGGTCTGTGGTGTTGTATTACTGTCAGCCTTGTAGAACATGATGTTGGACAACATGGTGGTAAACAAGAGTGACAACACACAGGACAAGCGCTGAACACGAGTGAATTTGCTCCTGCGTGGGCGTGTGAAGATGGAAAACCAGATGTGGCCATCATACAGATTCTTCTTGGTTTGTGTCCAGAACAAATGATTGAATTGGGTCAGTTCTTCTTTGCCAGCAAGTGGAATAACACGATCAATCTGGAAAATAACAATTAATGCTATGTAACTTTTCAAGCCAAATAATGAAATCCAATCTTTTAAAATAAATGTTCCACAATATTCATGGAGATATATCATGGCATATTGTCATTCATTCTGTTTTCTGTATCTTTATTCACTTGATGTGTACTCATATTTTCATAGACATTAAAACAATTTTCTTGCACTACCTTTTAACAAAATACCACTCATGTATCCAAAACCATTGTTACAATACAGTAAGAAAAAATGTAATTTATGTACTCACCAGGCCATCATCTTCTTCAACAGCAAACCAGCGATCACAAATGAAGAAGAACTTTTGTTTGGTCTGAAGATCTGTCACCTGAAGCCTGCTGAAGAACCACGATGGACTCTTGCCAGAGTTGTCATGCCACACCCTGCATTATATCAAGTCAAACTGTTATAAAAGTTGCCACACCCTGCATTATATCAAGTCAAACTGTTATCAAAGTTGCCACACCCTGTATTATATCAAGTCAAACTGTTATCAAAGTTGCCACACCCTGTATTATATCAAGTCAAACTGTTATCAAAGTTGCCACACCCTGTTTTATATCAAGTCAAACTGTTATAAAAGTTGCCACACCCAAGTCAAACTGTTATCAAAGTTGCAAGTTCAGTCAGATAAAAAACATTTTCACTCTTACCAGTTTCCTGTGGAACATAAGAACATAATAAAAGCAATGCTGAATTAAAGACACATTTTAAAAATGTCCAGCACTCTACTGGCAATTTAAAATGGACTGTATGACTCTAGTACTGTTTTAAGTCATACCTGATATGTGCCAGTTGCCCGAGTGGGCGTGGACATGCCATCAGGAAACAATCCACACCTCCACGTTCAAACACTCTTCTCCTGTCATCATCAATTAGGCGTGGCTCAGTCTCATCCTCATCTCCTGTAAAGACCATGCTGACTTTAGCGGTGGTGCCGCCTCCACTCCTTCCTCCTGTGTACACCAGCAGTTCATACAGGTACTTGTGACGTGGATCATTATCTGGCAGAGGTGACGTCCCTGCCTATAAAAAATATGAGTAACACCGATTGAGAGGTGGAGTACAGTAGCATCTTGTTTTTTTTCTTTTCTATCTATCCGAAAGTTGATATTATTCCCAGAAGATAACGCATACTTTAAACACGCTGTGATGTCTATGCCACTTGACAATTATCACTGCTTCTCTCAAACTGCAAGTTAATATACTATTTTTGTGTACATAGCATGTCCAGGGACTATTTCATTTTTTGGATTTTACATGAATTATTTCAGGCAGGTATATTACTTAATTTGGTGTAATACTCTTTTAAATATGGATGAGCAAAATCCAAAATCCAAAGATCAACTTGGTACTCAGAAAAATATAAATCTAATTTTAACTATGACACTCATACCTTAAGTTCATCAATCTTATCTTGTTTTCTTGCCCAAATGCACATCACCATATAGAAGCACACAATGCCAATCATGGTGGCAAAGATAATGGGGTTCTCGTCCAACTTATTGAAGGCAGAGTCTGTGAAGTCAATAGTGTTCATAGGGATGGAGAAACCTCCACCAAACCAACTCTGAAAGAAAATAATGGTGGTTAGAAATACATGAAACCACAGCTGAAACAAATTATATAATTATACAGATTGATTCTGCATACTATTTAACTAAAATCATGCTGAATTTTTCACAATAAAGCCCACTTTGAGTCACTTTTATAAAATTATTTAAAGTTTATTTGTTGCATAATCTTACAATAAATCTAGAAAGTATTTTGCGACAGCAGAATAGTATTAATTTTAGCAATACTTGATAAAATTTAATTGTGCAGCTGTCACTAGCGCAGCAAGTAGCAGTGAAGACAAGGTATATATCACTGCCACATGAAAGTTGAACCACACCTTTGAGGCTGCCTTCTTAGGTGTTGCTGCCACAGAGGTGCCACCTGACGAGGTGCCACCTGACGATGTGGTATCTGATGTGGCACTTTCATCTTCAGCTGGGTCACTTAGATGGTAACAGATACACTGAATAGAGTCCACTGTGGTTAATGGACCAACCTTTATTAAAAAGAAGAACAAAATTAGAACAAGGTTTTCATATATCAAATATCATGGTGGTAATCAATAAACTTAAACTTAAGCAAGAAACCCACTTTCTAACAAACTGCCTCATAGTCAAACTAAAAATGATTTCCTTTGTTTTTCATTCAGTTGTTCAAAATCTTGTTCAAACCTTCAGACTAGCTATTAGATAACTGTAACAGATACATATAGCAGCACATTACAGATAAATATATCATACATTTTTTGGTCATTGTCAACTGGCTTATTTATATAAAGTACGCCTAAATATAACATAATTAAAGACAGTTCCATACAAATATAGTGTGACAGAATTGAATACTAATATTACAATCTACTTAATATCATTTGGTTTTTAATTCATAAGACTTACTTCACAGCCATCAGACACAAAAGCTTCCTTCACATCACTCCAATAAACGCAAGTGGCAAAAAAAGTAGACGTTTGATATCCAACACCCGTTTCTGTCAAATTTTCTGAAATCATATTTGAGATTTGATAAACATGGACCATGATTCAAAGACATCTAACTGAATACGTGATGCAGCTATTAGCATTTTCAAATTTATAGGTTACATAATGTATTTCAGATTGTAAAAAACAACACAATAGACGCGATGATGTACTTACTACAGACTAAGTGTATAAAACCTAAAAAATAACTGAAATTTATACAGCTAATTATTTGAACGGAAAAAAAGTTTGATAAAAAAAAAATTGCCAAAGAGGTATCACATTTAATTCTGATATCACTTACCATTCCATAATTCACTGGTGTTGTCAATATTCAACCGAACTCCCCAGTACAGAGTATATGGTTCAGACCTAATAAAACAAAAATATTTACAGTTTAAACATACTTTGTAGTAAAAAATATCCTTATGTGTCTGACAAAAAAATAAAGCTTCACGTATGTCTTATGGCATATTTGAAATACAATTTAACTTTGGAATCCAGAAAAGCTTCAGCAAAACTAAGACCATCAACTGTAACATTCATATTTCAGGATAATTTTAAAAATAAACACAACCATTAAATCACATTTATATGGTATAGTATTTCTGAAGCTCAATGTAGTAGTTTTATTCAAAATCTTACTGGTTAATCCAGCTGCCAGGAATATAACACGTCCATGGATCTGGAGGGATCCCGTAGTAGTATCTGTTACTGGTGTCATTCAGGTCCCCAATATCATCTTCAGTCCTGGGCACAGAGCAGTTGAAATCATGGTCCTCTTCTGTGGGACGTCTGTTCACTCCAACATAGACCATGTAGGAATAATTGGCAGGGGTCTCCAAAGTTTCATTCAATGTGGTACTATTAGAGTCCAAGGAGGAATTTGATACGGAGAGGAGTCTACGAAGGGTTGCTGAGGATGAAGAGTTTGTGGATGAGGATGAGGAGTTGGTGGCGGTAGTGTTGGAAATTGAAGTATCGTCAGTTTCATTACTTGGGGGAGGTGGAGGGTCCCAGTAGGTGCATAAAATAATGGCAGCTGCATAAGCCGGAGATGACACTTTGTGAACGACAAACTTCTTGCTAGTTGGGGTTGTATAATTTGTGGAAACCTCTGGCATTTGTGGATTTTCCACTATGATCACTAGGACGACTGGTACATCCAATTTTGTAGCATTAATTGTGCTTCCAGCATCATCAGTCATGGACAAAGCAACCAGTCCAGTGGTAGGAGCTGTTGGGGCACTTGAGGAGTTGCTGCTATTGCTACTAAATGGATTGGATGTCATGCTTGTCATCTGAAAATACACAGACTTAATGTGATCATTGTGTAACATCAACATGGTATTGCGCATGTGCTTGGTATGGCCAGAGTAGCAACTGGAAATATATGGGTAGGGAATACCTTCTGCGTTCCACATGATTGGCCTTATTTTTTAGCATGATGCTTTATTTGAGCCCAATATTCTGCGTGAAACGTGATTCAGGAATTCTTGGTGATTGACCCGAATATATCTTCGTTATTGGTGATTGAGCTGTTTTAATTCTTGGTGATTGGTGATTAAGGGAGGGGGGGGGTATTCCCTACCCTCATATACCTATGCATCAATTATCAGGAAATCTTCCAGGTAATTTGACAAAAGCATAAGACAAGTCCAAAAAGTCACATATATTTCAAGATATCTTATTGTTGGTCCTGACTGCTGAGCATCATAAAAACAAACACAATCATTTGATTCAAACTGGTAGAATATACAGACACAAATGCAGAGATTTTATGTTGCACAATGTGAGTGCAAATGCGGAGCAGCATAAGATAATGTGATCTATATAAGAAATACATTTTACATGGTGGTGGGGGCAATTCTTTCTTAAATCATTTTCAAAGCTCTGTGTTGCAGTTTTACTCAAAATTACCTTAATGGAGAGAGTGGAGGAAGTCTCATTGCCAGTTCCAAGGAAGTTTGAGGCAGGTGGAAAGTTGATTTTTGTGTTACCAGCAGACTGTGAATCTGATAATAAATGAAAGAATAAAAATGATTGTCTACTTATTCAAATCAATTCATAAACAAACATGACAAAATATAGCATACATGTAAACTAAGTACTCCTTGTTTTCTCAAGAGACAATCTAAAATTCAAGTGTTTACTAAAATGTAAACTCACTCATGTCTTCTGGATATATCCTGGTGATATTGGTATTCATGCTGGACGAGTTCACTGTGATTGGAGGCTGACTGGTAACCATGACACTGGCCAGCAGATCAGTCACATCGTCCATTACAGCAAACAGTCTCTGCAGATAACATAATTACAAAAGATGATCATATCTTTTATACACTGACATACTTGTGTGCATGTGTCTGCACACAGGTAGAGAAAATATTTTATTTTTACTCATCATAAATTACTTAATTATAAATATCACTGAAACCATCAGTTACATGTCATCAAGGGTTGTGCAAACATCATTTTCTCCGTTTTAATGCAAAGAAGCAACCCGACTCAGTAAAAAGTTTGCTTAAATTAGTTCAATATTTCAATATTCCACACCAGAACGAGCCTACAAAAAGATATAGATACAAGGCACAGGCATACTCCACCCATGTGCTGTCATCCCAGGTATCACTTCAATAAGGTGATATCAGGAAAATCTTCTAAGATCTATTGACCAGTATGTTTATAAATGTAAGTACATATTTGCAATAATAAAAACAAAATCTTCAACTTACGGTATTCAGGGCATTGATATCACTTTGCAGAACATCACCACTCTAGAAAAACAAAAATTTCTTTTCAGTAGATTGAAAAAATGTCAAAATATGTTATATAATCACTGACTTTGGCTGAGGACAATTTGTTGCTTTACTGACCTCTGAAAAGTAATGTTGACTGAGGCACAGCTGAAGCTGATAATTTTTTATTATCTAATTTAATACAGTGTAATTATTCCATAAATATATGTGAAGCAAATGGGAAACCAATTTTCATATTTTATTGACAGCTACAACTCAACTTTGCATCAACATCTGGTTGTGCCATTGCGCAACAATGGGAAAGGGGTGTCAAAGGTAGAAAATGTCTTTACCTTTTGCAAATTGTCCATATTCAAGTTGAAAATTAAAAAAGATTTGAAATAATTTTTGACAACTGCTTATAGTGATCAAATTCAAGTACTTTTCAAGGACAAAAATGACAAAATAAAATTCCCTTATAGCAATTTTAAGTACTTTTCAAGACCACAACTGAACTCCAAGGTACTGAACTAAATTTAAGCCTGTACAACCCTGCCAAATACACATGCATCTAAATATATGACTCATTAATCCAATTAAATTAACCCTGATCATTTTTATGATCATGTATAATACATATGCTAAATTAAATTTGTTACATGACTTACAATTTTAATTGACAGATAGTAATTAAAATATAAAATCAGCGTATTACAGGCATTGAAACTTCGCAAAAAAAGCTTTACTTCTTACCTTCCCAAGAGTTTTTAGTACCACTGTCAAGGATCCTTAAATAATGAAAACAAAATTACCATTTTGCACATATTTGTATTTGTAAGATTGTCTTTGGCAAGCTGTACAGTTCCATTAAGAACATAGGTATATATTATGTGGAAATGAAAAAAAATTATGTCAAACTACATATGTATAAACAAAAGATTTCTGCCTAATAGCCAAGGTTAATCTTTAAACATTTGACATATCCTGAACAATAATTCAAAAAAGTAAGCAAACCATTACAGTGACTGTAACATTAGAAATTACACCAGTCTTTCATAAGATCAAATAAAATAAAATCAACAAACCAATAATCTCTTGGATCATCTGGCAATTGGGCATCAATACAGAGGGCTCCATGTCATCTTTGTTATCATACAGTACTTGATATGCAGATTCAGTGAATGTTGTAATACTGGCCTAGAAAGTAATGAAAATAAAATTCAAAGTAACCATCCTTGATTACATAAATGAGTCTTTAAAACAAATTTTGTATCATAAAATTCTATTGCATGTGTAGCAGTAAAGTTTCAAGGTGCTTCAACAGCATTTGGTTATACTAGGATCTCATAGGTCAGACATGGACTGGGGTATCTTAGGTGTATGGAAATTACTTACCACAGCATCATAGGTAATCTCATTAGTAATCTGAACTATGCTTGCCACTCCAGATATAACAAGACGAGTGATAGATAAACTGGTCACAGTCAGATCCCCTATAACTTGACAAATTTCAGTACGGATCTGGAACAAAAATCAATATATATCATTATTTCATGGATTGCTCAGGAGTTAAAGAGAGATGTACAATGCAAATTTATGTTGAGATTGCCAAAATATGTTAAACAAAAAATATCTAGTGATAGCTTTGAGATAAAAACAATCAGTTTGCCTGGGAAAAATCTCATTAAAAACTGATCTAAATTGTGATTGGGAGTTTCTGACTTATCAATATCTGAATAAGAATATTTTATGAGAATTGCATGACTGTATTTTTTTCAGTTTTTCTTTTACCTTTCTTTTCTCCACTGGAAATATAAAATTAAAGCAAAAAGTGTGTGTGTGTGTGTGTGTGTGTGTGTGTGTGTGTGTGTGTGCGCGCGCGCGCGCGCGTGCGTGCGTGTATCTGACATATCTTTCTCCAGAGCAATAATCAAGTTGAAATCTTTATTTGACCTAATCTGTAACCTGCAATGCTTATTAAATAGCAGTCAATCCCATGCTCCTTATAGATGTACATAGATGGTGTGTGTTTCAAGTCTTTTCTTGATTAAAAGAATGGCATATGGGATGAAAGAAATTAAGTTAGCAGCTGCTTATACCTGTGTCCTTAGTACTAGCCAAGCATTGTATCCAGTGTTATATTCGAGTTGAAGACTGGAAAGGCTATTTTGGTGGGTGGTGATTTCTCCATTTTGTGCATCTGTGCGGTCTGCCTCAGGCACCAGCAGCAGCTCACTGAGGGTAGCATTGGTGGCCTGGATTGCTGTGAAAAAAAAAAGAAAAATCTCCAGGAGTTGAAAATAAGGTTTTGAGGCACTTGTAAATTGGGAAAGTGCTCTTTGTAACTTAACTGCCCTAAAAAATTGCCCAAAGTGTAAATGTACTTCAAATTCATTTTACCCTGCACACACGCTTTAAAATTAAAATTCTTTCAACAGGAAAAATTATACAAACTCTATAAAACTGGTAATATTTTCCACTTGACACTTGAATTGCTTTGGAAATCACTGACAGAATTCATAAAGAAACTGGTACAAATGCTATAACTTTTTAAAGCTTATTTTCCAGAATTTACCAGTTAAAAATAAAAAAAAATCTTTTCAGTCTACATAGTCATATGAATGAAAAATATCATTTCCAATTCAAAAATGAAAGCTCCCAAACCAAATAATAATAATAATAATAATAATAATAATAATAATAATAATAATAATAATAATACTTACAATCCATTAATTCAGTCCGCCCTTCATACTGGTTATTGACATTCATGTACATGATCAGGACCACCAGTGTTTGCATCATGCCACGTATATCCCCACTGTTGCTGAGAGTTGAGATATACCCCTCCGGACCAGTCATGTTCCCCATCATGGATGCCATGACTTCTGCTGCTGGAGGGTTCACCTTGAAATAAACAACATTAAGTGGTATTAATCCATTTTCTTATGATGGTCTCACTCCATCACAATTTTAGTTTTACCCAACTATTCAACTATTAAGTTGCCAATTTGACTATTCAGTAAAATTGCATCTTTTTATTAGCATTATATCATCTTACATAAGTGCAGTTATATAACTAGAGGATCAGAGAGGCGATACCGCCTGGTATTGTACCACCAGCTGGAGTAAGAGCATTCGTATGGGAAGGAAAAAGAAGGGGGAGGGGCTGTCTCACTAGCTGACGATCTTTCGCAAACAAAAGCCATTGAATGAATATACGATTGCAACGATCCCCCACTGTTCTTCCTTGCTCTTTGGCCAACGAAGACTCAAATATGAAAATCGCGTCCTCATCTCTTTCACATTGGGAATGAACTTTCGCTAGCNCAATTCTGCATACTATTTAACTAAAATCATGCTGAATTTTTCACAATAAAGCCCACTTTGAGTCACTCTTATAAAATTATTTTAAGTTTATTTGTTGCATAATCTTACAATAAATCTAGAAAGTATTTTGTAACAGCAGAATAGTATTAATTTTAGCAATACTTGATAAAATTTAATTGTGCAGCTGTCACTAGCGCAGCAAGTAGCAGTGAAGACAAGGTATATATCACTGCCACATGAAAGTTGAACTACACCTTTGAGGCTGCCTTCTTAGGTGTTGCTGCCACAGAGGTGCCACCTGACGAGGTGCCACCTGACGATGTGGTATCTGATGTGGCACTTTCATCTTCAGCTGGGTCACTTAGATGGTAACAGATACACTGAATAGAGTCCACTGTGGTTAATGGACCAACCTTTATTAAAAAGAAGAACAAAATTAGAACAAGGTTTTCATGTATCAAATATCATGGTGGTAATCAATAAACTTAAACTTAAGCAAGAAACCCACTTTCTAACAAACTGCCTCATAGTCAAACTAAAAATGATTTCCTTTGTTTTTCATTCAGTTGTTCAAATTCTTGTTCAAACCTTCAGACTAGCTATTAGATAACTGTAACAGATACATATAGCAGCACATTACAGATAAATATATCATACATTTTTTGGTCATTGTCAACTGGCTTATTTATATAAAGTACGCCTAAATATAACATAATTAAAGACAGTTCCATACAAATATAGTGTGACAGAATTGAATACTAATATTACAATCTACTTAATATCATTTGGTTTTTAATTCATAAGACTTACTTCACAGCCATCAGACACAAAAGCTTCCTTCACATCACTCCAATAAACGCAAGTGGCAAAAAAAGTAGACGTTTGATATCCAACACCCGTTTCTGTCAAATTTTCTGAAATCATATTTGAGATTTGATAAACATGGACCATGATTCAAAGACATCTAACTGAATACGTGATGCAGCTATTAGCATTTTCAAATTTATAGGTTACGTAATGTATTTCAGATTGTAAAAAAACAACACAATAGATGCGATGATGTACTTACTACAGACTGTGTATAAAACCTAAATAATAACTGAAATTTAAACAGCTAATTATTTGAACGGAAAAAAGTTTGATAAAAAAAAATTGCCAAAGAGGTATCACATTTTATTCTGATATCACTTACCATTCCATAATTCACTGGTGTTGTCAATATTCAACCGAACTCCCCAGTACAGAGTATATGGTTCAGACCTAATAAAACAAAAATATTTACAGTTTAAACATACTTTGTAGTAAAAAATATCCTTATGTGTCTGACAAAAAAATAAAGCTTCACGTGTGTCTTATGGCATATTTGAAATACAATTTAACTTTGGAATCCAGAAAAGCTTCAGCAAAACTAAGACCATCAACTGTAACATTCATATTTCAAGATAATTTTAAAAATAAACACAACCATTAAATCACATTTATATGGTATAGTATTTCTGAGGCTCAATGTAGTAGTTTTATTCAAAATCTTACTGGTTAATCCAGCTGCCAGGAATATAACACGTCCATGGATCTGGAGGGATCCCGTAGTAGTATCTGTTACTGGTGTCATTCAGGTCCCCAATATCATCCTCAGTCCTGGGCACAGAGCAGTTGAAATCATGGTCCTCTTCTGTGGGACGTCTCTTCACTCCAACATAGACCATGTAGGAATAATTGGCAGGGGTCTCCAAAGTTTCATTCAATGTGGTACTATTAGAGTCCAAGGAGGAATTTGATACGGAGAGGAGTCTACGAAGGGTTGCTGAGGATGAAGAGTTTGTGGATGAGGATGAGGAGTTGGTGGCGGTAGTGTTGGAAATTGAAGTATCGTCAGTTTCATTACTTGGGGGAGGTGGAGGGTCCCAGTACCGGGTTGAAATAATGACAGCTGCATAAGCCGGAGATGACGCTTTGTGAACGACAAACTTCTTGCTAGTTGGGGTTGTATAATTTGTGGAAACCTCTGGCATTTGTGGATTGTCCACTTTGATCTCTAGGACGACTGGTACATCCAATTTTGTAGCATTAATTGTGCTTCCAGCATCATCAGTCATGGACAAAGCAACCAGTCCAGTGGTAGGAGATGTTGGGGCACTTGAGGAGTTGCTGCTATTGCTACTAAATGGATTGGATGTCATGCTTGTCATCTGAAAATACACTTAATGTGATCATTGTGTAACATCAACATGGTATTGTGCATGTGCTTGGTGTGGCCAGAGTAGCAACTGGAAATATATTGGCCTTATTTTTTTAGCATGATGCGTTATTTGAGCCCAATATTCTGCGTGAAACGTGATTCAGGAATTCTTGGTGATTGACCCGAATATATCTTCGTTATTGGTGATTGAGCCGTTTTAATTCTTGGAGTTTGGTGATTAAAAGGGGGGGAGGGGGTATTCCCTACCCTCATATACCTATGCATCAATTATCAGGAAATCTTTCAGGTAATTTGACAAAAGCATAAGACAAGAGATTTTATGTTGCACAATGTGAGTGCAAATGCAGAGCAGCATAAGATAATGTGATCTGTATAAGAAATACATTTTACATGGTGGTGGGGGCAATTCTTTCTTAAATCATTTTCAAAGCTCTGTGTTGCAGTTTTACTCAAAATTACCTTAATGCAGAGAGTGGAGGAAGTCTCATTGCCAGTTCCAAGGAAGTTTGAGGCAGGTGGGAAGTTGATTTGTGTGTTACCGGCAGACTGTGAATCTGATAATAAATGAAAGAATAAAAATGATTGTCTACTTATTCAAATCAATTCATAAACAAACATGACAAAATATAGCATACATGTATACTTAAAGTACTCCCTGTTTTCTCAAGAGACAATCTAAAATTCTAGTGTTTACTGGAATATAAACTCACTCATGTCTTCTGGATATATCCTGGTGATATTGGTATTCATGCTGGACGAGTTCACTGTGATTGGAGGCTGACTGGTAACCATGACACTGGCCAGCAGATCAGTCACATCGTCCATTACAGCAAACAGTTTCTACAGATAACATAATTCCAATAGATGATCATATCTTTTATACACTGACATACTTATGTGCATGTGTCTGCACACAGGTAGAGAAAATATTTTATTTTTATTCATCATAAATTACTTAATTATAAATATCACTGAAACCATCAGTTACATGTCATCAAGGAATGTGCAAACATCATTTTACCCTTTTAATGCAAAGCAGCAACCTGACTGAGTAGAAAGTTTGCTTAAAATAGTTCAATATTTCAATATTCCACTCCAGAATGAGCCTACAAGAAGATAGATTCAAGGCTCAGGCATACTCCACCCATGTGCTGTCATCCCAGGTATCACTTTAATAAGGTGATATCAGGAAAATCACTTTAATAAGGTGATATCAGGAAAATCTACTAAGATCTATTGACGAGTATGTTTATAAATGTAAGTACATATTTGCAATAATAAAAACAAAATTTTAAACTTACGGTATTCTGGGCATTGATATCACTTTGCAGAACATCACCACTCTAGAAAAACAAACAATTCTTTTCAGTAGATTGACAAAATGTCAAAATATGTTATACAATCACTGACTTTGGCTGAGGACAATTTGTTGCTTGCTGACCTATGAAAAGTAACGTTGACTGAGGCACAGCTGAAGCTGATAATTTGTTATTATCTAATTTAATATGGTGTAATTATTCCATAAATATATGTGAAGCAAATGGGAAACCAATTTTCATAATTTACTGACAGCTACAACTCAACTTTGCATCAACATCAATACCTGGTTGTGCCATTGCGTAACAATGGGAAAGGGGTGTCAAAGGTAGAAAGTGTCTTTACCTTTTGCAAATTGTCTATATTCAATTTGAAAATTAATAGATTTGAAATGATTTTTGACAACGGCTTATAGTGATCAAATTCAAGTACTTTTCAAGGACAAAAATGACAAAATAAAATTCCCTTATAGCAATTTTAAGTACTTTTCAAGACCACAACTGAATTTCCAAGGTACGGAACTAAATTTCAGCCTGTACAACCCTGCCAAATACACATGCATCTAAAAATATGACTCATTAATCCAATTAAATTAAACCTAATCATTTTTATGAACATCTATAATAAATATGCTAAACTAAATCTGTTACATGACTTACAATTTTAATCGACAGATAGTAATAAAATTATGAAATCAGCATATTACAGGCATTGAAACTTTGCAAAAAAATCTTTATGGGTACTTCTTACCTTGCCAAGATTATTTAGTACCAATGTCAAGGATCCTAAATTAATGGAAACAAAATTACCATTTTGTACATATTTGTATTTGTAATATTGTCTTTGGCAAGCTGTATAGTTGCATTAAGAACATCGGTACATATATTATGTGAGAATGAAAAAAATTTATGTCAAACTACATATGTATAAACAAAAGATGTCTGCCTAATAGCCAAGGTTAATCTTTTAACATTTGACATATATTAGACATATTCTGAACAATAATTCAAAAAAGGAAACAAACCATTACAAAACTGTTACATTTGAAAATAACTCGTCTTTTGTAAGATCAAATCAAATCAAATCTACTAACCAATAATCTCTTGGATCATCTGGCAATTGGGCATCAATACAGAGGGCTCCATGTCATCCTTGTTATCATACAGTACTTGATATGCAGATTCAGTGAATGTTGTAATACTGGCCTAGAAGGTAATGAAAATAAAATTCAAAGTAACCATCCTTGATTACATAAATGAGTCTTTAAAACAATAAAGATATTCTATAAAATGTGAAGAAGAAAAGTTCAAGATGACTCAACAGCAGTACTAAGTGGTTATACCAAGATCTCATAGGTCAGACATGGACTGGGGTATCTTAGGTGTATGGCAATTACTTACCACAGCATCATAGGTAATCTCATTAGTAATCTGAACTATGCTTGCCACTCCAGATATAACAAGACGAGTGATAGATAAACTGGTCACAGTCAGATCCCCTATAACTTGACAAATTTCAGTACGTATCTGGAAAAAAATCAATGTATAATTATTTCATGGACTGCTCAGGAATAAAAGAAAGATGTGTAATGCAAATTAATACCAAGACAGTCAAAATTTGTTTAACAAAAAATATCTAGTAATAGCTCTGAGATAAAAACAATCAGTTTGCCTGGGAAAATCTCATAAAAATTGTGCTTGGGAGTTTCTGACTTATCAATATCTGAATAAGAATATTTTATGAGAATTGTGTGACTGTATTTTTTCAGTTTTTCTTTAACCTTTCTTTTCTCCACTGGAAATATAAAATTAAAGCAAATATATATATAGCTATATACTCTAATGCAGAAGGTGAACCCAAAACATTCCTCTCTCACTGAATTCAGGGTGGGCTAGAAACAGTATTCCCATGCTGAAATTGCTGACATAACTAGTAAATCTGACATATCTTTCTCCAGAGCAATAATCAAGTAGAAATCTTTAATTGACTTAATCTGTAACCTGCAATGCTAAATCCCAGTCAATCCCATGCCACTTATAGATGTACGTATATGGATTGTGTTTCATGTGAAGTCCTTTCTTGATTAAAAGAATGTCATATGGGATGAAGGAAAATAAGTTAACAATACCTGTGTCCTTAGTACTAGCCAAGCATTGTATCCAGTGTTATATTCGAGCTGAAGACTGGAAAGGCTATTTTGGTGGGTGGTGATTTCTGCATTTTGTGCATCTGTGCGGTCTGCCTCAGGCACCAGCAGCAGCTCACTGAGGGTAGCATTGGTGGCCTGAATTGCTGTGAAAAAAAAGAAAACACTCAAGGAGTTGAAAATAAAGTTTTGAGGCACTTGTAAATTGGGAAAATTCTCTTTTTAACTTAACTGCCCTGAAAAATTACTTGCCCAAAGTGAAAATTTACTCAAATTAATCTTACCCGGCACACACTTTGCTGACTTTAAAATTAAAATTCTTTCAATAGGAAAAAATTATAAAAACTCTTTAAAACTGTTAATACTTTCAAATTGATGCTTGAATTACTTTGGAAAGCATTTACAGAATTCATAAAGAAATTGGTACAAGTGATATAACTTTTTAAAGCTTATTTTCCAGAATTTACCAGTTAAAAATAAAAAATATATCTTCTCAGGCTACACAGTCATAAGAATTGGAAATATCATTTCCAATTCAAAAATGTAAGCTCCCAGACCAAATAATAATAATAATAATAATAATAATAATAATAATAATAATAATAATAACACCTACAATCCATTAATTCCGTCCGTCCTTCATACTGGTTATTGATATTCATGTATGTAATCAGGACCACCAGTGTTTGCATCATGCCACGTATATCCCCACTGTTGCTGAGAGTTGAGATATACCCCTCCGGACCAGTCATGTTCCCCATCATGGATGCCATGACTTCTGCTGCTGGCGGGTTCACCTTGAAATAAACAACATTAAGTGGTATTTATCCATTTTCTTATGATGGTCTCACTCCATCACAATTTTAGTTTTACCCAACTATTAAACTATTAAGTTGCCAATTTGACTATTCAGTAAAATTGCATCTTTTTATTAGCATTATATCATCTTACATAAGTGCAGTTATATAATTATTAATCAGCACTGATACATTGTATCACCAGTCCCAAATTATCTGTTTGTCTCATCTCAAAATCATTCATATTTGATATTTCCATCATTTCTATTTCAACAGTATTTCATTAAATTAAATCTATTTTCAGTCATTATAAAACAAATTCTTAGGGTGCATTCCCAGAGATTTAGATCGATCCAGAGATTTAGATTTAGATTGACCTAACTCCCTAGGGGTTCACGCTAAATTGCAGTCAGCCGAGCGCGCACAATTGTTAATTATCCCCTTACAGCTTTTTGTAGGTGGGACAGACGCTTAAGCCAGCTAAGCTGACAGTAATCTAGTGAGACTCCTCCCCACAGGGATAGATCGAAGTAAAATCTATGGGGTCTTAGACTCACTGTTGTCGTCATCTCTATGGAAACTACACCCTTTATGGCATCAGTGGCTTCAAGCTTCAGCTGAAGAATGAAAGAGTTCTCAGAGTTCCCTTGTGGCAAATATGCATCTTCTCTCAGAAAAGGATTGGGTCCTGAAAAATATTTTGTTATTCATATAAAAATATATAATAATTGACAAAAAGGATTAACATAATTCAATTCCCATCAACGTGTGTCTAAATGACACCTGTCAGAAATTAAGAAAAAGGACTATGCCTTCTAGACCTACGTTAAAAAGCAGTCTCAGTAACTATAGCAATTTGTGTTCCTTTGCCTGCTTCTAAGTTCACAAGTCACTGCATGCCTTTTGCCTAACCAACCTTCATCAACCATGGACCATTCATCAGCTGACGTGATTCTGTAGAACAGCTTGTAGCCCAATGGCAAGTCTTCATCTAAGAAGTCCTCGAAGCACTCCACATTGTACTTGGTTTCCAGTGCTGAGCCATTGGACGGCACAACTGTGCAGTTACCTGCTCTTGGAGGTTCGTTAATGGTAAAAGTTCTTCGATTTTCACCTAAAAATAATAGAGACATTGTAAATTATCAGCAGGAAATAGTGATAAATATATTTTAATAAGTGCTAGTTGGACCAAAAATGCACACGCACCTCTTCAAAGTCAACCACAGCTGCTTTCAAAGCCAAATGATCCACTTTTGTCATTGGTCATTGCTTTGTTGCACTGCACAAGGATAAAATAATACTTCACGAGAGAAAATTCTGTTAGATGGATGTTCTAATCATGTCTGAGAACAATCAAAGTTCTAATCATGGCTTTTAACCTGATACCTACCATAGTTATCAGACTGGCCTGGACGCCATGCTTTAGCAATCAGATGATATATGCAGCGGTCAGTCTCCTGGAAGAGGGTGTTGTCCAGATATAGTCCAGATGTGGTGATTCCAGTTCCCTGAACTGCTCCTATCCACTGATCATGGGGCCAGTAGGGGGTTGTGTAGGGATTTTGGCCTATTGTACAAATCTTCATCAACTCCCATCTATAAAGCCATGAAAATAATGGCATCAGGAAACTCTTGATTCACCTGTATATATTTTGTTTATCCCAAATATTTTTTAAGGCAAAATTTCATGTCAAATGACAGCTTGGTCAAAAATGATTGATTTCTGAGCTTAATTTAATTTTTATCAACACCAGTTGCTGCAATATTGCTGCAAATTGTAATTCCTTCTTGAAAAATTGCAGCAAATTTGCTGCAAAATGGCTGTAAATTTGCACAGATAAATTTTTCCTTGCAAACTCCTGCAAACTTGCTACAGCATACTTTGCCTTTTCATTTTGCCTACTGGAAAAAACCTTAGTGCCTAATTCATTTGCCAATGAAGGCCAATATCTTGGCTTTTTTGATAAAGTACCATATTAAAAATATCACTTCAAACTTAAATAACAATACCTCAATACTTGAAAATTAATGACTTACTGATATTCATATGCCTGGCCTCTCCTCCTTGCTTTAATGGAAACTTCAGTGGTGAAAGCTTCCTTGGGGTTCAGTTTTTCAGCACAATTGGCCTTACACCTTAAAACGGTTGAGAAAAAATGTTCACAGATGTTCATGCTAAAAGAATCTGACTTGTTAGAAGTAGGTTAAGGTGACCAAGTCACAAGGCGATGACAAGGGGTTCATTATAATTAAGGAGATCTAGGTTGCAATATGATAGACAGCTTAGCAGCACCAGAAAACATTTCCAAATGTATCATATGGAAGAATTAAATAACCTCAGAAAATAAAAATTTATGTTTATGTTTATTAAATTTAAAGAAGAGGGAAAAAAACTTACACGATATCAATATCTGGAGGATCTCCCATGGTGACGTTAATCCCATGAGTTGCCACACAAACCCTGTCATCTTTCTGAACAACCACTGTGAGTTCTATAACTTTCAACTCATACGTTTGGTCTGAGTTGAAGATGATTTCTCCAGTGGTCCAATTGTCCATAATACCTTAGACAAAAATAGTTACACTTGTTAAACAGCATATTGTAGAATGATACATTGCAGAGCAGTAAATCATCAGATAATGAATTTAAAACTTAACAACTGACAAAGAGCTTTGTCCCTATACAACAGGCCATATGGTAAATATTGAAATGTTAAAACAAACTGCATGATGCCAAAAAAAGAAATTCACAGCTCCACAAGCAAATATGATGCCTGAACTACATTCTGAAATGAAATGCAGAATTTTACTTGATTAAAAATGTATCCCATTCATATTTTCACACATGAAAAGGGGGATTGTGAACTGTACCTGGTGTGTCAATCATGTCGAACCTGAAGCAGCCTCCTGGATCAGCACCTGTTTCAATATCATCACAGGTGGAGGAACTTGGTTCTGTTTGTTGTGTATAATTTGCATTATACTTAGGTAGCTCCTCACAGGCACGGCGGCAGAGCCATTTGTAGGTTATACCAGTCTGATTCCCTTGGCCAACATCGGGGTCATATGAATTGGTAAGCGCATCAATTGTGAAGTTGGTTCCCCATTTTCTTCTAGAAAATTGGCCTATGCAAAGTAAAAAATTAAATGAATAATGTTTTTATAGTTAGTTCTGGGCAAGGAGATATTATAAAGGTGATAGTTTTCCTTTGACTTGTTTGTAAGTGACACCTTCATATTTAATCATTAACACAAATGATAATTCAACATAATCTTTTTCAGACACCTCTTTAATATTAAACTAACCTGCAGCAAAGCCACAATGCAATGGTGACTTCACAATCCGAACATAAGTAGAGGTCACATTCTCAATGCCAATCTCTCCATCCATAGACACATTAAGTGTAAATTTATAGCAGCCATATGGCAGGGTATTGGGTGGAATAGTTAGAGTCGGGAGGGGTTGGTCACTAGAGTACAGGGTCAAGTCTGGCAGAGGGTACAGCTCCTCTACTAGTGTTTCACAGTCCAGTTTATGCACAGTCCATGTGTAGTGACTTATCTTGGTAGAGCTGCAGTTGATTTTCACCGAGGCTTCTACGTCTAGTTTCTCAGACTTGTAATGCCTTTTGGTATTAGGCATGAAGTTATCACAGTCCACTTGACATTTCATCAGATCAAAGCTGACCTGTGGCCACTGACAAGGTCCTCTGGTCACTCCAGTCACTTTAAATAAATCCACCCTAGACACAATATTGTCGATCTGAAGGGAAAGGTTGAATACTCCAGTGGTCTGAAAGATGTTCTCCACTGAGATGGAAAAGGCCACAGTAGGATTTGCATTCTTCAGGTCTTCCAGTTGTGTGGACGAGGCATCTGTGAAGCGTGATGAATAAGAGGCCCATAGTGCACTGTGGCTAGACTGACACTGACTCTGGTCCCCAAGGAAAGCGTAACGTCCTCCGTCACTAAGTGAATCCTTGAAGTCAAAGAAGTAGCAAGCATCTGTAGGAATAGATGCACCCCCGAAAACCACTTGATACAGGAAAGTAGTGTTCCTTGCTGCAGAGCTTACACCTTCTAAGACAATACCAGGGTTGGCTTTAGCACTCTTCTGAAGAGTTATCACCTTAGACACAGCTGCCCAACTGAGGGGATTAGATGCATTCAGGGTAACATTGTAGGTGCCAGGGTTGAGGAACAGGTAGGCAAAGGTTGGATCGCCAAATTTTGTCTGCGTACCGCTACCGTCCCCCAGGTTCCATGTATAGTTGACTGAGCCGCCCCCTTTTGTAGTGCTGGCATTCATGTACACGTACTTCTCCAGAGGAAAGTAGTCTTGTTGTGGACCAAATCCAATGGAGTATACATCTATACTATTGACTGTCTCAAATGAGTACACCTCCCACTGGAGATTGGTGATCTTCTCATAGATATCAATCACAAAGGGGTAGATCACCTTGCTGGCCAAGTTAAAAATCTCAACTGACACTGTGTACCTGTCACCACGATAATATCTGTGGGAAAAGGAAATGTAGAATGAATAATCAGTGAGGTTTCCAGTCATATTAGTTGAAACTTCCAGAGGTCTGACTTCGGTGCTGTTGCCGTCACCAAAGGAAATGTTATAGAATGCATCCGAGGGCAAGAGCACGCCATTTTCATGGAGCAAATGAAATTCCATCTCAATCATCCACTCTGGTTCCAGCACCATGCCCATTGAAGGACCAGTCAGCTTGAACCCGTCCACAGGAACCTGGACGATGATTGGTGAAGGGGCGGAAACACGGGCACTACTTACAGAGTTCACTGCTGTGGCATTTAGGGTGAAGTTACCACCACTGGTATAATTGTGAAGGAAGCAGTTGGAACCTGTTCTATTGTATTCAAAAATCTCCAAAGGTGTTCCGTCACCATAGTCCAGTGTGACATTGAGTCTACTTCCCCAAGTGACTTCAACACAGATGTAGGAATTGGTGTTTATGACAACAAAATAAGGATCTGCTGTAATAGCCAGACCAAGGATGGGTTCATCTACTACCAAAGTTGTGGCTAGGATATCATAGCTGACACAGTTGGAGATGTTCAGGGTGACATTATATGTGCCAAAACTGGGGCAGGTATCATGGTCAGTGACTGGAGAGGAGGTACTGATATTCAAGTATGTTTTACGCCTATGTAGGAACGTGGGTTCTACGGTGGTTGGTGCAGAGGTGGTGTTTCCACTGCTGCTGTCATTACCACTGCTACTCACAGCACTAACTGCAACAGTAGTGACAGTTCCATTGCCACTGGTCTCCACCACATGGTATGGGATTTCATACTCATAATAGGCATCTGTAGCCACCGGTACATTTCCACCAAAAGCAATGGTGAAGAAGGCATCACAGGTACCATTTGGCCAGACTGCAACTGGGGCGTTGGAATCCAAGGAGAAGTCTTCAACAGCATGTTCAATTTTCACCGTCACCAGTCTCTCTTGTCTGTCGACTGGGTTAACTGCTGTGAAGTTGACCACATATGTACCAATATTGGACCATGAATGGCAGTAGGTCAGCATGGTGTCGTTGGAGATGACAGGATGGAAATCTTCAAAAATTGTCCCATCTTGATAGTCGATAGTATTGCTTACTGTGGAGGCACGGGTCACAGTGTAGTTGAAGCACACCTGTGTGTTGGGGGTGACGCAGAACTCACTGGATACTACATTCAAGTCCTCAATCCCATAGTCAATGCAAACGGTTGCGTTAACAGTGTATGCTGGTGTCACCAGGTTGGTTGCTGTGACAGTGACATCATAGCAGCCAATTTGTTCATCGTAGTCCTCTGGGATGATGTGGACATAGCCAACCATGGGGCAGCAGTTGGGGATGATGACCTCACGGGTGCAAACTTGGGCAGTGGTTGTTCCCATTGTTGTTGTTGTTGTTGTGAAGTTTGCATCCATTGTGTAATTCAAAGTCAAATCATCAGTTGTTGTACTGAAAAAACCTGTTGTGGAATTCATATCACCTACAGTGTTTGCTGGCATCGGAGTGGTTGGCAATGGAGTTGTTGTCGAGCATGGAATCTCTTCAAGAATGACCCCTCCCGTACATGCATCTGCCATTGAGAAATTCCTGCTGCTGTTTCCATTGAATGTAGAATTAAACTCTGCGTTGCTGCCATTTGCCGTGTGGATCTGGATGATTGTTTCACTCATGTACAGAACGGGTAGGGGCGGGGTAATGGCCATGCCAGCTATGACACACTGTATCGGGATGAAGACAGTTGCCTCAGCAGAGTTGATGAGATTGCTGGCTGTCACAGTGACTGAGTAGTTGCCAATCTCTTGGAAGGTGTGGTTCAAAAAACCACTCAATCCTGTACATAAAAGACAAAACAATTAACCAATGTGGGCATATTTTGAAAGTAAGAAAATTTTAGATATTCTCCTTAAATAAGCTAAATAAGTGTACAGTATAGCAAGACTCAAATGGCAGTTTACATTGTTACACAACGACAATGATACAAAATAATCCAGTGATTAACAAAAGCAGAGTCACATTTTTGATTTACAGCATGTAAAACAAATAAAAAAAACAAAATAATTATACTGGGGTGATTAAAACAGAACAAAAGGATAGCTGATGCAAAAATTTGTCAAGTGAGAAAGAGTATGTGACACATGATATAACACTACCCAGGTTTTCTGCCACAACAGCATTGTTGGTCTCATCATGAAGCAACTGGACTGTGGCGCCATCACTCATCACAAAGTCCCAAGTCACATTGGTGCCTATACAAAATCATTGAAATAAAATCATAAAATGAGCAATGAAATCAATTAAATCATCAAATCAGATAGTACGGTTATTTGGTTAAAAGAGCTGAAATGCATATACTGAAAGCCTGAAAAATGGGTGTATAGATGAATCTATGAATACGTACTCAAATTTTAAAGCTGCATGTGCTTTCAGAAGACCAGTGCAATGACAATGCAATGATATTGATTTACTATCATTCTGTACATGAATGAATTATAACCAAGAAGGTTTTAATAGACCACGATCTCTCTTGGATTTATAACATGCAGTGAAAAGGACATACCCTGAGCAATCTCAAATGTCACCTTTGATGGCTGAGTCAGAACTGAAGCTACTTGTTGTGATGTAAGTGTTAAATTTTCAATGGTGTCTTGAATGATGATTTCTTGCTGAAAACAATGATGGATAAAATAAGTTATCACTGTTTATTTTCTAGCATTGCAATGTGCACAAGCAATGCCAAATTGAGCATAAACTTTGATATTGTATATACCTGAAAATTATTCAACAACTTCAGATTTATCTTACCTGACATGATGCAGAGCTAATGTCATTGTAAGCATACATGGTGACATTGTACACTCCTGCTGTGGTCCAAACATGGGTCATCTCGCGCACATTATAGGTGACATTGTACGAATCATCACCAAAGTGCCATTCATAATACACCTTGTTGCCTGGATGAGGTGGAATGGACAATCTCACCACCCCATTAGTAGGTTCTGAAATTACAGCAGCCAAATGTCATCAACACTTTATTTTATTAAATACACAGTGTTAATTTACCAATATTAGACATCTGAATTTTTGTTTACTGGGTATATTAAAAGATTACAACTAACTGAAATCTAAGACTTTTTCTGTTCTTGGCCAAGCGCAAGTTGTGCAATGTTCCCCAAATACAAAATGACTTTTAAAACATACAATAACATTCTAAATATTGAAATCAATAATGATAAAAGAAAACAAAATATTTAACATATCTAATTACCTGATTCGTTGAACACCATACAGACATTGGCCACTTTAGCCTGCACATCAATTAGACAAGATACTGTCTCCTGAGTTGCATTAGCCCCAGTGTGACGGTTTCTCACAGTGAGGGAGACATTCTTGGAAAGATTGGCATCGGAATAAGAATGAGAACGCCTCCCTGTAACATTCCTTGTCACAACAGCTTGGACATGGTGGTAAAATGTTTCTGAAGCCTCTGACCCTGACAGAGTGTAACCGCCTGTTGTACGCGTGCCGAACCCAGTCCCACTATTATGGAATCTCTGAATGACACCCACTGAGGAATCTGAGATAGCAATGGTGACTGCGCTGGGCTGGTAAACTGCAATGACATCTCCAGGTTGGACGGCGATGTATTCGTCCTTGGGTAGGCTGAATGTCTGCACTCCTTGCTGAGAAACAGTGATCTGCGTTTCGGCAACAAAATCAAATGTCGTGAGTCCGCTCCAAGCTGCAGGTCTGACGGGCACTAGAGGCTCTGCGTCAGAGGGACAGGCTCTCTTGTGAAGGTCAAACTTGGCTGTGCACTGTCTGCGCCAAATACTGGTCTCTGCATTGCAGTTGGCAGTTTCACTGATACACGTGTATGACCGTAAGCAAAATTTGTTTCCAGAAGTGCATGTGGGCCTGAAGACCTGTAAAAAATGGACATTTTTAAGTCTGCTATGAAAACCGTTTTGATGACAATTTAGCTCAACATGTTCTCACTGGTTACCAAATGGCATTTGAACTATCAAAACCAGAGCCAAAATTAATTTGATTCATCATAAATATCCACACAAATGCCTGCCATTTTCCCATTTACATTAAAGACTTACCTGGAAGTACACATCTCCATTTGCGATGCTGTTATATTTCCATCTGGTTATGTAGCCATGGGTCTTAAAGATGTAGTTCTTTTGAAAGTAAATTTTAGCTGCTGACTGACTTGTAGCAGCAGCTGGTATGTCAACTAAGCCAACCTTTACTTCTGCAGCATCTGGAAACCATATATAAAAGTGTCTTCTTACATCCTTTTTTTGCCTCCAAAGAAATTATTTTCTTTCCTAATCTTATTATGAAACTTAACGAAAGATGCACAGTGCAAAGTTCCTTGTTAAAACCTGCTTAAACTTTTACAAGATATACATGTAGCTCTGCTGTAGTCATGTGCATTATCAACTTAATGAAGGGTAAATCTTATGGTAAAGCTAGAAAGCCTATGACCTATGGTTGCACATTAAAGAGATAAAAATGCATTTGAGAATGTTAGCTTTCAAAGGCACCATACCTTGAATGTGGAACTCTAGAGGGGCATTGCCATCATCCATATTCAGGGCCACATCCATGTTGGTACCAAATGGCACGTCAAATGTCACATTGAACTCTTCTCCCTGGGCCACATGAAGAGGGCAGCTGATATTTGTGCCTGACACAGGGGTGTGAACCTAGGGAAGAAGCAGAATGATCTCCAAGTAATTGGCTTCTGAATCAATACAATCAAAGTCATATGAAATCCAATTATGGCAAACAAACTTTTGACAAGACATATATTTTGCAGCCTAGACCATCTCAGATAATTTAATTGCTTAAAAAGTGGAGCATTACATTACATTACACCAAAATGGCTCTATTTGAAGTGACACCAATTATTTTTCAAAGGCATTTTAAAGCCTAAATGGCTATGGGCAATTTAGCTAGAAGGTAAATTTATACATTTAAGAGGATTTGTACTTTGTTTTCATTGTTGTTCGAGTGTAATTATGATAAAAAGTAACTTTCTTTTTAAATTACTTAATGTTTTTTTTTTTCTACCTATGAGCTCATAGTGATGTGGCAGTTACGTGATCAAGGTCCTTTGATGAAGGTTTGTAACAAAATGCATCATAGGAAGAAAAAAGTTTAATATCTTAATTGCTTAATCTGATAAACCATTCAGTTTTTTGTAAACCTGACTCAATTAATGTTACTAAAAGTAAAACCATTTGAAAATGGATATGAATATATATAAAACAAATAAAAAATAAAAATTACAAATATACTGAATAAATTAATTCTTACCGTCACTTTTTTGGTGGCCACGGCAGTCTTGCCATAATCATCATATGCTTGTACCAGGACCTTAGAAGATCCTTGCCTGCAGAACACATGGTTGACAATTCCCCCTACAGTGTCATTGAGAATGTGGGGCGAGGAGTTGCAGTCATCACTAACTTCCACTACATAATCTACTACAGCACCAGCTGTGTTGTTCAGTTCAATGGCCACTGAGACCCCTCTCTCCACCATGGCTTGAAGAAAAAATGTGAAAGCTTGTCTTATAATATTATCTGTAATTTTTCAATAAAATGATGGTACTGACCCCATTCCCCTGGTTTGAGCTCCTGTCCCAGGCTGAGAGGTCCTAATATAAATTGAAATACTACATGTACTGGTATTTGGATTCTCTTGGCCTTTTTATATAATAGCTTTTACATGTTCTGGTAGTAGTGGAATCTAAAATAATAAAGGACTGAAAGGCATTTCCTAGATTTAATATACTCATGACAGTTTCTTTTCATCAATGATATTGATTAACTGTAAAACGTTTTACACCAGTAGATGCTATCACTGAGATGAACCACTTGGCAAATGGTTGCTCTACTATTATTAGCACGAAAATTCATGCGTTAGCACTCCTATTGACGATTCTGATATCAGATGTGAGAATATCACAATCGTCAATAGGAGTGCTAACGTATGAATTTTCGTGCTATACTATTATCTGTATGTGTAGTAGGCCTACTGCGATGTGGTTGTTCCGCATGGCCAGAAATGTGCAGCGTTCACGCGATACGCGAGGGCGCAACAGTAGGGCTTCACGTGACTCAACTAACCAATCACAGCACAAGAATGTCATCGCACACAGACTCTGTGATAAGTGCTCAGCCCATTGTCAAGTAGTGTTAGTTCATGGTAACAAGCGTCTGATATGTGCAGAGAAGTTTATTATTATAATATTATAATATTATAATATTGTTCTTATTGTTACATTATTAAATCAAACTCTGTATCCAAGTAGTAACTATACTGTGCCAAGTCAGGTGCTGATGATGTGCAGATGTCATATATTCCAGTATAAGCCATTACCACTGATTTATAACTTTTATTTTTGTTTAATATGTTATTCGTGAAAGAGTTCATGAAAGATTATTTTAATTTGTTAAATCGTGATCTTATTCTTTTTATATTCAAATAATTGAATAATGTGGGTAAAATTGGTCTTCCACTTCTTATTTGCATTTTTCCTTTACTACAAGATTATTTTGGAACAGTTGCAGCATTAAAAATTTAAATAAATAGCAATCTGAAAGAAGAATTTTCCATAATTATTAAATGACGATAGGAATTTTGGATTAAGAGATTATTTAAATACTGAGTAGTGATATGGTCAGTCAATTTATGTAGAATCTGATAATATGATTGAAAATACTGATTGAATTCTTGGCCTTGCACTGGGCAGTTGTACATTTGTGGCAAGTGCTCTTTTTGGACTCCATTGTACAGTGGTAAAAAATCTTCAATTGCCATGAAAGTTTTTCATCAGACTCTGTATGGTGCTGCTATCTGCTGGTGCTATCGGCAACGAATTAATTTGCCTTTGTTTCTGAGTGAATTTACCGTCTAAAATCACTATTACTGAAAATATTTGCGTTTTGCTGAGGGCAGGCTAGGCAATATACGGCAAACTTCTTAGTACGTGTGTACAACAGAATTTTTTTAAAAACCCTAGCGATTTTTGGTCAGGAGTTGCTTGAAGCATAGCACAGCGTTTCTGTCTATCGGCATCAGGCCGTTAGTTTGTCAATTCTCACGAATTACCGACGAATCGCGAACCCATTCATTTTCCTATGGCAATCTAGCAACTCATTAAAAATGCACGCATGCGCAGTGGGTTAGGCGTGACGTCATGCAGTGCATTTCTGGGGATGGAGATATAGGCGGGTTCCAAAATATCAATAACGAATGTATAACCAGTATAAAACACAAGAAAAAAATACTTACCAGGCAAGTTAGCGATAGTAACAAGCTTAACAGATACGGAACTGTTGTACACGGACAAGTACGTCGGTGTTCCGACCGACCCTCCGCACATTTCGCTGCTGTCTCCGACGCAGGGCACATCACACGACGCTGAAACTGCTGGTCCTGATCCGCCATAGCTGTTGGAACAGGAGCACATCTTGCCGTTCCATAGTCCTGCATAGCTAAAGATCAAGTGTCAAAGTATAGAATATTATATGAGTTATCAAGCAGACTAAGCTTCTAGCAGCTATTGATATATGGCGGTAAAATGCCTTGGTTTATCGAGACGCCCCCGGTTTGACCAATCAAATTGCACCTTCAAAAAGACGGACCCTGGGTGGCAGGGGGTTAGGTAGGATGACAAGGGTTGCAAAGTTGCCTTTTTTGCATTTCTACAAATGAACGGCTCTGATATTGCAAACACATTCAACATATGAACAGATAACATGAGATATTGAGAGCAAAAGTAGGCCTACCAAATCTTCAACCAATGCATTCGACGGGGCGGATTGGTTTTTATGGAAGGGCCGCGGTGGGTGGTAGTGAGGGAGTGGAGTAACACGAAAATCCATGCGTTAGCACTCCTATTGACGATTCTGATATGTAGGCCTACTGGTTTTTAGCACAGTATGCCCGAGGCTGTTAAATTATTCGGACTCAAGTAGGCTGTGCTAGGACAGATATAACAGGGGCAGATCCAGGGACAGGTTTTAACGAATGACAGGCCGCGGATGCGAAGCCGACTCTGCCCCCCCCCCCCCCCTTCTTGGCGTGGGGTCAGTGGGCCCCGAAAATTATTGGTATTTTAGAGGGTGAACGGTGCCATTTGATACTGATTAGAACTATGATTCAGCTAGGCAAAATTCTAATTTCAAAAGGGGACCATAGGTGTGATTTTTTTTTTCAGAAATCGAAGGAGGGGGGATCAGGACCTCCCCAACACCCCCCTAAAGCTGCCACTGTATAAAATAGGCGTAGAAAACTCGTGTGCGGTAGAATTAACGAATGATTTTCGCTTTTCGAGGCGCAGTCGTGTTTGGAGAAAGAAAGCTTTTTCGAGTGTGCTGCTTACGATTTTCACGAGCTTTTTTTTCCAGTCGGTTTGAGAAAACCTTCTTACGATGGTACGCGGCTTCCCCTTCTAGGCTATCGGCTGAGACAGAGGAAGTTACCCTCCTCCCAATTCATCCACTCGAAATCTCAGCTGAATATCCATAGTTTCTTTTTTTTATTTTTGTTTTTATTTTTGATTTTTGTCAATTATTTATTTTTTCTTTTATTTATTTGTTTTGGTATAACTTGCGCGCATGGATAATTCTGAAAATGCAGCGTTTGTAATTCGGTATTATATGTCTTAGTGAAAACGGATTTATATATCAAATGCCATTTGTCTGTTGCTTTTTTAAAAAGTTTTTCAAGTTTTTGGAGGTACTTATGATAGAAATACCTCACAGGTTTAGAAATGCTGTTTATCTTCTTGCACTTTTTTTGTGTAGACATTTACCGTTAACCAGAACATAAGGAGGCCTATACTTACAGAAATCCAGCTTCTTCACATTGCACTTGGCAAAGTTTCGTCGTCATTGCGTTTTTGGAGGGCGAGTGTCCTATGACAACCTTAAATTCGCTTGATTTGACATCTCGGGGGTAGCAACCAAGCAAAGCTGGAATCATTCATAAAAATATGTACCTGGCAGCGAGAGAGAGAGAGAGAGAGAGAGAGAGAGAGAGACTGACTGTATGCTCCTATTGACAGAAAAATTCATGTAACACGTCCTCTTAATTGTATGTGCATTCTTGTCAAATAGCTGTTTGAATTGATTTAAGAAAAGTAAGTGAAAAAAATAAGAATGTTTCCTTTATCCTATATTTTTCCCGTTCCTTTTTTTTTTATCGAATCCAAACCGCTTTTTGACAAGAACGTGACCGTAAGCTTTTTAAAACAGGCGAAAGGAAAACAAACGCCTGTTATCAAGACTTGTTTAGATCCTTAGTTATTAAACCAATTCCGTTTAATCACTCCTGGAAAGATTGTAAAATATTTTGAAATCACTTACTTGTTGAACTGGCGGCATCCCACAGTACCTGAAAATATAGAGTGCGATATGAAACTGTATACAAGTTACAACATAAAATGTCGCCGTGGCGGGGTGAATGTGTTGGGTGGGAGAATCAAGACCCAAATTGCATTAGATGAGACCGAAATATATCCACCATTCTTGTATCAGCATTTCTTGCCAAACTTTAACCTGAAGGTTATTTGTTATTGAAATTTGTGAGTTTGAGGAGATTTGGTTTGTGTTTAAATCCTTTCATCATTGAATCAGATGTAGAGTTGTGGATAAATCTGATAACAATACAGTGTTATATGAAAAAGATAGTATAGGGCAAGCTGGATTTTTGTTTACATACACACACACACTGGACAATAGAAGTGTCACCCCTACTGAACCAATACTTTGGGGGAGACAAATGACTGTGGAATGATATGCTCCTGGTATCATTTTATTTACATCAATTTCACAAAAAGACCAACAATACAATTCCATGGTACTGCGGTTTTATACTCATTAGTCACATTATAAGTAGACCAGGCATTATAACTTTGATTACTCTGATTCAGGGGGTGACACTTGTATTGTCCAGTGTGTGTATGTTTACATGTAGGTAGAATAGTATTGTCACGGATCCAGGCTGTGTATTTTTCTTCGCCAAACAACAGAAGGCTTTGTGTCAAATCATAAAAATGTTTTAAACAAATCTTTCCTTCCCTTCCCTTCCATGAGTATAATTGTCAGCCGGCAACACGGTCTGGCCGACTGTTTACGCTATTGTATTATTTTTTATATTTTAAAAAGGAAAACAAAGCCCTCACAGTGCGAAGTGAACTTTTGAATTTTCATCAGTTTGCCGGATGAATGGTTCTTTTATCGCTTATATTATGAGATATCTCAAGAGAAACAGTGACAAAAACCGTGCGAAATAAGAACATCTACTTTAACAACAAAGCAACCGTTGATCATCGATATTCCCACGAGGATTGCCTGGGACACACAACGCAACACATTTTACAAGTGGAAGAAAACACCACACATCAAACATAGATCCATTATGTCATGTTTACTGCTAGGCTATGATGTAAATATACTTGGTTTGAGTTTTGATGCAGGGTGTCCCGACTGACGACGTAAGTCCGTCTGTACACTAGCGGGCCTAGAATTTTAATACGGGGGGAGGGAGAGGGAATGATGCGAATATTTTGCCTCTCTTCGCCATTTTATTGATGTAAATAAAGCACAGCGATGCAAAAAAAAAAAAAAAAAAAAAAAAAAAAATTGGAGAAAGGAGTACCTCCGAAACTGAGGGGTAAGCATGTGACCCACTGTGTCGCCCCGCCCCAACGGAGCCGCCTTTTACGTGCCATAAAATAGCGAATGCCCGTGTGAAGCCTTAAGTCTCGGTCACAACCGGACGCACGAGTTTTTCGTAATTTTCGATATTTTTGAAACGTTGTACACGAGGCACAAGCGACGTTATTTGTCGAGACACGAGCGTGCATGGTGAGAACGCCTTTTTATACTGTTGGTGCGGGGGCGACGCACTTCCGCCGTCCTTTCGACTTTGTTCGTTAGCTGTGAGGGCGTGCGTCGTACTCAACACGCAAAGGACACTTGCTCTTTCATTGTTTACGACGTGCGTCTTGGACCTCGCACGACTCACTTGCATACTTCTCGCGAACTCCTTGCGAGTGGAGCAAGTTAAGTTTGCGGCCTCGCTGTTCGCAGATTATTCGTAGAATCATTTGGACATGTCCAACATCCTCCGTACGTGCTTACGGACTGTCTGCAAATTCCAAATTTCGCAAGAAGAACTTGCGCGGCACGTGAGATTCTGCGAAAAATTTGGACGCAAACAGGCCGTAAGAGCCCGTACGGCCGGTTGTGACCGAGGCTTAAGTTACGTTTGCCGAGCGCTAGTATCCGATATATTTTGTAAAGTGCCCGTTTGTCCTTTTTCGAGCGGGGGCAGTTGGTGGCCGCAAGGAATCGTTCGAAATTTTACAGCTTTCTGTAGCACGCTGAAACACTTACATGTCAAAAAAAAAAAAAAAAAAAAATCGCACAGAAAATCATGTGCGTTTTCATCGTACGGCACCCGTGGCAAATGAACCCTAGGCTTAAATCGGTAAACAGGAATAAACAGCGGTCAAGTCCAAATCTTGGAAATAAGAACATTCAACTCCATGCGAAGGCATGAATAAGGACTACAAGGTGCAAACGGAGGACATAGATGCATTCGAAAAATTGAATTTACAACAGAAGTGAAAACAAGGATTTCTCAGTGGACATGCACCGCATAACAAAATTGTCGTTTATAATCATAGTAATGAATAGATAAGAAAAACGAAGTAAAATGAAAGACATTCAAACTAAAAAGGGTAAATGAAATGTAACAATCAAGAAAAATGAATAAATAGACAGACGAATTAAGATAAATGAAATAAATTGAATACAAGTGAAAATAAAAATGATAAAAAAAAAGAATGTGCCAAAAACATATTCTTTGTATTTATAGAACAAAGAGGCACTTCATTTTTTTATTTCTATGGAGGGATTTTTAATTTTTTAGTCACTTTTTACGTACGCCGTCTCGTCTGTTTGCGTTTGAGCTAAACCAGCAACCTTACAGTGTATGATGCAATATTTCAAAACAAACCAAGAAAAATTATATCATAACGTTGCAGCATCGCTCTTTCCTTAGACAACACATGACTTTTAACTGAATTAAAATAACAAATTAATCAATTTTGACTAAAAATACCAGGACATTTGTTTTTGGTAATAATCAACATATTTGCTTATCTTTAAACCTATCTATTTAAGATATTCAATTAATCTTTGTTTGATAAATATTGAAATCTTTGTGAGGTATTACTTTGTCGATATTAAGTAACTGGCGACATACAGTACCAAGTAGATGCAGTTGAACTATTTATCGTGACAGAAATCATAATGAAGTCTTAATTAGCCAAGTAAACGTAAGACCGATAACCTGTCGGAATATCTAATTACTTATTAAACATTTTTAATTCATATTTGTTCGGTTGATGACAGAGGCAAAATAAAAAAGGAATAAGTAATAAAAGGTAATAAAAGGATTTTTTACTTGTAGGAACCAAAAATAATTTAATTTTCTAGGAGAAGAGAGAAAAATGTTTTGCTTTGACAAATTTGTTTCACGACTCTTCGTTACTTGCATTGGTTCATGCTTGAACTCATCAAACTAGCAGTTATTTTAATGGGTCCTAGGTTCGTGTAACGTATTGGCTGTTTAGCGGTGAGAAAAAGATCACGCCTCTTTCTTTTTGAATTGAGTGTAAAAAGATAATAAAAACAACTTAAAGTAAACATAGTTGTATTCTTAAATTGAAATTTTATAGTCCTGAAGTATTATACTTGTATAAGATAAAAAAAGAACACTGGAAAGCAGAATTTTCGTGGAAAAGAAGTTTGGGTTCACCTACCCCAATATGAAACGCTATGCGGTTCAAGACCGATAATGAATTTTCTTGCTCTAAATTCTCTACATAAGACATGTTCGAATTTTTTTGTTTTCTTTTTTCTTTTTTGATAAATAAGCACTTACCACTATTAGAAGGAACCCAAAAATCCACGCTCCCTCTGGCCTTCCCATTCTGCCGGCGGTGTGGCGTCGACGAAGTCGTCAACTGGGAGTCTGTATTCGCCAAGCCAAGGTTAGCCAACTGAAGGTAGAAAATCTAAAAAGGGCGATGCCGTTCATTTGCATTAGGGTAAAAAATTATATTGATTTTTGAGTTTCCACCTCTTTGTATGAAGGATTGCACCGTAACGTCGTCAATACAAAATAATTCTATGGAATAAAACAAAAATCAATATTTCTGGATACCGTTTCACTTTTTACCTCACCTCGCCAGGGCAGTGAAAGTTTAATCAATTTTATTGATTATTCGTCTGTTTATGAAGTGGAGCTCATGTAATTTTTATGTACAAACAGGAACAAAACTCTTTTTGTTTACAGTCTAAAACGAATAGCTATTTTTTTCTGATTGGTTAGATATAATCACTTCAGTTTTTTGTTCATGTCCATGGACATATCATGTCAAATGTATTTCGTAGGCTGTAAATGGGCTCTCATCCAAAGCCGCTATGAAAAAAAATATCCTCACACGCAGCGTTCCTATTATTGGTTAAACGTCTAAATCGATCAACCAAAACATGTTTTGTCGAAGTGAAATGACAACAATTGATTTCCAGTTGCGTAAGGAAAGGTAATCAATGTCAGTTATCCGCAATTTCAATCAAAATGATTAAAATTATTAGCGTGGACGCCAGGGAAGTGAAAAGTAGTCGATGCAAAATATTGACGTGGGTAAAAAAGAATGCATTATCTGCCGAGTTAGCGTTATTATTATTATTTTTTTTTTTTTGCTTCAGTATGATAAGAAAATGCCATTTATTATTGATAATCATTAGTAATACTTCACGTTTAATGGTCTTATTATTTTTGAACAATGCATGTGAATGCTGATCACTTTCTTTGTCTTTCACTGACCTGGCATAGCAGTGATCGATTATTTTTATTTTTTGGACAAGTTTCAGTATAAAATCACTACAATTGTCTTTTTGCGTGTCTCATCTTCTGGGAGACTAAACATGTTTAATACGTGTGTTGGAATACATACTCATTACCAGCTAAGGGGAGTTGCCCGCAATAAATTCTCTACTAGCAAGAACCCTAATGATAAATTTGAAAATTATTTAAAGTGTGAATTGTTTCCTTAAATGTATATATATAGGTCCTTTTTCTTTATAATTTCCAGGAAGACATCTTCGATGGAACAAATGGACAACACATCTGATAGTGATAAAAAAATAAAACCTTCTCTGAGGAGAACTCTGCCATCGGTTGTCAAGGCTGACCCTCAAGACCTTTTTTTAATAATTGTACTTCTTGTACGATGTATATAGATGCTCAAAATTAAAGGATTGATTTTTCAAATGGCAAAGCGCATCTTAAGCTTTCCACATAAAGCTAAGTTGAATCACATTCGAACTTGCATCGGTGTGTTTATAACCCAGAACATCCGCCCATTACTAAAATAACTTCATTACTATATTCTGTGGAATCGGTCATTGATTTGAACATGTTTGAACAAAGCATCGCCGTCTTTTTCTCTCTAGCTATCTCTTCCTTTTTTTGCTGCCCTTATTTTTCTCAGAAGCACGCACGCATTCACGCATACACACGTACGCATACACATACAAGCGCGCGTGCAAACCCGCATGAACTCGGTCACACACAGATACACACAGTCTTGAAAAGATGACTAAAACATGATTGCTTTGCGAAACACTTTATTGCATGATAGATTTCACACTTAAGAAGTTAGGTGCCGGTTAATGTTAAAACTCACATGATGAAAAGAAGACAACTGACAGTGCAAGCTATGTCCAGAAGCGATCAAAATATCAACCAGTTCAACAGTGTTCATAAACGAAGAAAGACAATTATAAAAATAAGGAGAGATGATTGTCCCTTTAATGATGGCTAACATCCGTACTTGACTTATTGTAATTGCGCACAATATAAGCCAACCTCTCTTTTCGTATCTATTGTCGCGCCCTCTCTCCCCCTTCATCCTTATACTTGGTTTTTTCAGGAAATAATCCACCAATGCAGTGTAATTCCTTCGTCATTAATGTTTTTAGATTTAAAAAAATTGCAAAGTAATTTAGAATACCTCTCACATAACTTTTAAAAAACCTTGAGGCCATAGTATGTTTTTTGACAAAAACTGTCACTGGATAATGGATCAAAGCGAAAAGTTTCAAGAATATGTAAAAGCATGCTCTATAAACTTAAATCTATTGTATTTGAAGGTAGCATTTCGATTTAGAGAAAATTCAAATAAACCAAATGTCAACTTCACACGCAATTACCAATAACTGAGCAGCATTTGTCACATAGAAGTTTCATAAAATCGATAAGACAAGAGTTTTTTTTGTATGATTAGTATTTGGTAACCTCCTCCAACGGCTTTTTGATAATTAATTGTTTGTCGCATATCGGTATGCATTGTATTTCACTACATCAATCGATGAGAAAAATAGATTATTCTTGAATAATTAATCAAACACTTAACTGATTCCAATATCAAAGTCTCTGAGATATTGATTAATGAGATCGCTTAAATGAGGTTCAAGAAAGGAGTGGCCTGTGTGGCCTCGTATCATAGCAATGGATGTTTTTAAATTTGAGTATGACACAACTATAAATTTTAACACATTTAACCTTGAGTTTATAGAACAGTTTCCACTTAAAAATTTAAATAAGTTAAAATCACACACATTTCTTCAGAGAGTCCAATATAATCTACATGGTTCAAGGTATTTCAGGTAAATATCATTTCACAGACGCAGGCTTAGGCCATCAGAATTTTCCGTTTAGCAGGTTTCATCGCTTCCATCTCTTTCATAACCCTCTTGTCTGTGGCCTGGATGTCCAGATAATTTTCCAGCTTTCCGATCATGCTTTCTATCTTTTGATCTAGATCCTCAACCGTGCCTTCTCCGCCGTCTGGAAAACAAATGAAGTCTTGATTTAACAACAGAGAAATAAGAGTAGACTGTAGGCTTTAAGCATCATTTCCATTTATTGCTCTTCTTTTGGCATTATCGTACCCAAGGGGCATTTCTGCGCAAGAAATACACGAAGGTGATCTGTGTTTTGAAGTTCGAATTCTTTATGGCTTCAAATGTATAATTTGTAGAAAGGGAGGAAATGACAGAATTTAAATGTAGACATATGACGAAATAAAATAAATTTCAACCAGCGGGGAATAAAGAGAAAAGCCCGTTGCCGCGCTTACAGGATTCCAACAATTGGCACAACCAAGTTAAACCAACACAATTTACATAGACATCTATCGCATTGCTCTGAATCTCAACAACCAACAATATATAACAGTATGTAGAACAATTGCTTTACACACCTTGATATTGGAACTTGCTGGGCACATAAGGCTCCGGTTTCTTCCCTGTGCTAATGCCAAACATTCCTTTGACCGCGTTCACCATGTATTCCACAACTTCAAGCTCATTTTTCTCCTTGGAGGTCATGTAGCTGACGTAGGCAAAGGCATCCATGATCAAGGTTAGGAACAAGTTTACGACGATGAACGACACAAGAACCATGAAGGTGATAAACATGATTCGCGCAAAGAAGGGACTCACTGCGTCGATTTCGTAGAAGTCAAACTTGTCTGCAAGAGGTGAAAGGTTGATTAGTTAATCAATCTCACGTTGATTTGAGAGTAAGATGATTCAAAGTCTTTATGCGAAAATGTACATTCTTCAAACGTTACAAAAATACCTGATAGTCTAAAAACAGACAATCTTGAAAGAAAAAAAAATGACCACAACAAACCATTACGTGTAAGCGACAAAAGACAAATATAAAAGAACACAAATACTTACTCAACATCATGGAAAACAAAGTCTCCAACGTTGTTATAAATGTGCTGTAGTTGAGTAGTACTCTTCCAAACAGGATGTAAGCAAATTGGCCGTAAGCAAGGAAAATGATGAAGAAGGCCATAAGGTACACAAACATGGGTTTGCCTGCCTCTTTAAGGGTTCTGCCAATCACAGACATTCGACGGTTAAATCTCATCAACTTCAAAAACTTGACGGTGTAGACAAAAACCATGATACCCATGAGGATTGTGTAACACTGAAAAATAGTCAAGTATTTACAGTGTTTTAATTGGGTATTTAAGAAATTGATTCATAATAGAATAATAAGACTATGCTTAAAATAAGAAAACGGAATCAAATTACTTTTTTTTAAATAATGCATGTCTGTCTGTTAGGTGAAATCTTAATATCGCAACAGCATTTAGAATCGAAAAAGATGACTGAGGCTATCTGACAAAATATAATAGAAAATGGGGGTGGGGCAAAATTCTTCCTCACCTCATCCCAATAGGCAGCGTATTGAAAATTGACAAATTTATGGGGGTCCTCACTGAATTCTGAGGAAACCATTTTGGAAATAAGTAGACGGTAAAAGTACATCACAATTGCTCCAATTGACACAATGAGAATGAAGAATTCAACGGCGTTCCAGAACTCCTGCAAAAGACAAAAATCATCAAATTGATGCATTTTCGGGGTAATTCTATATAATATTGACAATATGCCAAGCGGACAACAAGCACATTTATCAAATGCAATGATTTTTCTTAAACTTAACTTATTTCGTTTCCTAGATGAGCTAATGCCCAGCCGGTTGTTCAACCTACTGCCTTTACGACAAGATGTGCCAGCTATAATAAAATCTTCTCTATAAGTACACATATAAAACTAGAGGATCAGAGAGGCGATACCGCCTCCGAATATTGTACCACCAGCTGGAGCAAGCGCATTCGTATAGACCCCCATATACACAAAATAAGGGACACAGCCACCAGTTTTGTGCTTGACAAGCTGTAAAAATGCAATCAACAAGAATTTTTAAACTATTGCAAAAAATATATATGGTACAATCAAATTTAAGTTCTTTGTAAGGTAGGTCAAGGGTCAATTTCAAGGTCACAGTAAATTGCCAGTATATGACTTCCTATTCAAGTTCAAGAGTAACTATGGANAAGAAAATCCACAAAGAATTAAACCACGATACTAACCTTGATGTAAATTTTGAATCCCTCTCTCCTTATATCTCTTATCATCTTGACCAAAAAGAAAATAATGAATGCAGCGACCAAGATCTCTGCACCCAAGACCATGAACATGTAGGTTCCCACGTAGCGGTCCAGCCGCATCACGTTCACCTTGTAAGACGGCCAGGCACCTGAGTGTAAGGAAGGTTAAAAAAACTCAGTTTTAATCCTCTGCCTACTGAAGGCTGATTTTTTATTTCAATCATTTTTCTTCCAATCAATCTTTGCTTTAGATTATTTTTATTCTCGTCCATTAAAAATGATAAATTGTATCGACCAATAGAGATTAGTAAACTCAAGTTCTCCGTGGCAAAGGTTCACTTTTAATATCACTGTGAACATTAGATACCTGTGAGGGAAGTTAAAGGCGATTTATATGTTGATCAGTCACACCCAAATTTAGTCTTGTCCGATGTAATACGTTTATTTTCTAATTTAGACTAAAACAACATTAAAACTAAAAAGTTCAATTGATAAAATGATTTTATGCTTTATTTTACTTAAAAAATGCTTAATGCGGTATATTTAATAAAATATATTCATGCACTCCATGATTTCAGCTTTATTTAAGTGCCAAAACGTATCATTAATGCCACTTACCTCCAGACTGAGGAAACTCAACGACGGAGTACGATATGGCAAACAAGTTAATGTTAGGATTCCACATCACAAATTCCACAATCACGCCGCGGGTGTACCGGTCTATCCACAGATTATCCTTGAGTTCTTGTATCACAGACAGAGCGGTGGCACTATCCGTTCCTAGCTCAGCCACGTAACCTCCGCCCCCATAGGTGGATATACGACCAATTATTGGGTAGCCGTCGGTTTCGGAACTTGTACGGTAAGTCCAGTGTGCATCCGGCTGGGAGTTGGGGTCTGCAGTTTTAAAATAATGACTACAGTTGATAGGAATGCTCTTTCAAAACAATGGTATTCGTTGGTTGGATATCCAAAGTTAATGTGAAATTTTTTGAAATATTACTTAGTGTTAACTTGATGTGAAAATTAATTTCTGCTGGCGTCCGGTTATAATGTTGCTCTTCTTAAAGGATCACTGTTGGGCCCAATACTCTTCAAAATATTTTTCTTTTTTGATAGCAAATACAATAAAATATTATAATTTACCTGACGTATTAATAACTTGCCATCCAATGCCATAGCTCTCTTCGTCTTCTCCAAACATGCTGTAATCGGGACGACACTCGCGGACGTACTTGTAGATAGGCGGCATACACATTTCTATAAACGAATTCGAAAATATTGGATTGTGAAAAAGTATATGCACTCCCAGCAGCTAAATGATGATATACAGTATTCCACTTAAAAGTGACACCGAACGGTGGTCTGTTATATGCAAATACTGCTTCGGCAAACGAAAGGGTGCGCTTAATAGAAAGCTCCCATATTATAATACATCAACATTATTTTCGTATCTAAATGTAATGATATCACAAACACCAATCAACATTTGACTTACATATTCAACTGTGTATCGCTGGAAAAATAAGGTACGATGTAACTTTAATCGAAAATAGGGTGCTGGGCTGAATAAGAAAAATGTATAACGCACGATAGAGGGGGAAAATAAAATATTGTACTTACTTGGCTTAGTTTTCAGAAGACGTAATCTCGGAGCGCCTACACGGTACGTCTGCTGGTCCGCTAGGAATCCATTCTGCCAAGTGTAATCCTGACCGTCGTAGAAAGGTATACCATATATGGCCGGGACTAGAGTTTGTTCAGCCCAGGACCAAAAGTCCTCGCTCTTCAGGATCTGTGAATGTGTAAGGAATGAATACAGTATTACTGCCCTGCTGTCATGATCAAGAAAATCTAGTCTAGCAGTAGTCTCATAAAAATGATGAAAAATGCTAGGAATCAACGATTATTACTGAAATTAATTAAGAAATAAATATATAAGATCGCATTGTGATAAAAAAGGCAGTCACACGTTTCAAATACAATTTGAATAACGATGAAAATACAATTGCACAATGTTTGACAACCATGAACAAAAATAGTTACCGAATCAAACTGTGGTGGACTATCTGTATCTAGGAAAGATCCTTTGGAGATCATGTTTTCAACGTTTTCATAAAAATGGAACGACCATGGATCTCTGTTACCATACCCAACCATGAATAGCAAATACGTGAAGACAAAGTAGATGAGAATTTCTCGGATTACTGCTTGTGTCTTGATTTCTTTAAATCTGAAATACAAAATAAAAGTTTCATTAATCAATGGAAAAAACTTTTTGGAAATTATAACTTGTTTTTTTTTTTCATGAAAAAGAGTAAATGTCAAAGTCATTAGAGATCCTACAGGCAAAATATTAGTAATATAACGCATGAATATTTCTATCCAAGTACATTATGTTCAAACACCCAAAACGAAAAAAAAACCTCATCACAAAAAAGTAATTTCCAAAATTGCATGGAAAGACGCGTTACACACTGTATAAATAAAATTATTTAAAAACTTATTACTTGACGATGCCTCACCTCTTTTCTCTGGCTGCTCGTATATACTCTTCATCTGGGGGTTCTGGTGCCAACGAAGGCTTCATGGGTTTGGCGACGCCGGTCACTTGGTCTTCGTGCAGATATTCTTCATCGGGTTTTAGGTTATTGTCTCGGTCTTCGTCGCCCTCTTCGTCTACATCCGGGGACTTGATGACCAAAGCATAGAATACAGCCAACCCAAAGATCTAGCGTAACAAATATATACATAATTAGTTAAAATGCAGTTCAGTCAGGTTGTCAAATCGCGTGGAAGGTGTAACATGTGAATGAAAGATTTTGATCCATTTATCCCTATAAACTTTTACCATTAATTTAATCATGTTATTGCCGTTTACCAGAGTCACAGTATTATATTTCAATAGATAATCACAGATATTCCTCTGGCTATTTCTATTCGCTTTTCTGGACTGTGAAAATTTATGTAGAGCATGCACAACATTACTCAGCTGGCCTCTAGCATAGGATATCATGATATTATGTGCGACGGCTAAGTAAGCCTCTGAACATAACTACGAAACGTGGCGTAGGTAATGTCACTGATATAATAAATACCCGGTATTTAATTAACGTTTGAATAACACTGAATGGTACGACTGTTACTTGAATATATGCTTTAAGTTATTCCAAAAAAACCATTACCTTTATTGGCTGTGTTAGGAAAACGGATTCCATGCAAGAGATCATAAAAGACCCCAGCCACTGCTCAGCTTTCGTTGCCCCCATGGCCCCAGCAAACTCTGTACAGAAGTACACTGACAGAACAACGCTGCAGAAACTGACAGAGTAGGCAATGTAGATAGACCACCAGGGGAAGCGTATTCCCTTCTTTTTCTTCTTCTTCTTGGACTTGTCCTCCTCTTTGGTCGCATTTTTGACAGCCGGTGTGCCTTTGTCCGAACCGATGTAACTGACGCCCACTGATGATTTTGGTGTCGGGGTCATGAGCAGGCGTTTAGAATGGTCACCCGTTTCCAGGAACTGTTTCTGCTTTTCTAATTCGTCACTCAAGGTTTCGTCGCCCGTTTTGGTATCATTTCCGTACGTTGACGTAATGGGCTTCTTTGGCTTTGGTCTGGACAATCTAAACAGCTGGACGATCAACAAGTTAATGGGGAAAACTATCAAACTGGCTATGACTCCTGTTATAATGCCTTCCAGCGTGAATTGAAGAGGCCCGAGTTTGTATACCTGTGGTGTGGATTNCCCTCTCTCCCCCTTCATCCTTATACTTGGTTTTTTCAGGAAATAATCCACCAATGCAGTGTAATTCCTTCGTCATTAATGTTTTTAGATTTAAAAAAATTGCAAAGTAATTTAGAATACCTGTCACATAACCTTTAATAAACCCTGAGGCCATAGTATGTTTTTTGACAAAGACTGTCACTGGATAATGGATCAAAGCGAAAAGTTTCAAGAATATGTAAAAGCATGCTCTATAAACTTAAATCTATTGTATTTGAAGGTAGCATTTCGATTTAGAGAAAATTCAAATAAACCAAATGTCAACTTCACACGCAATTACCAATAACTGAGCAGCATTTGTCACATAGAAGTTTCATAAAATCGATAAGACAAGAGTTTTTTTTGTATGATTAGTATTTGGTAACCTCCTCCAACGGCTTTTTGATAATTAATTGTTTGTCGCATATCGGTATGCATTGTATTTCACTACATCAATCGATGAGAAAAATAGATTATTTTTGAATAATTAATCAAACACTTAATTGATTCCAATATCAAAGTCTCTGAGATATTGATTAATGAGATCGCTTAAATGAGGTTCAAGAAAGGAGTGGCCTGTGTGGCCTCGTATCATAGCAATGGATGTTTTTAAATTTGAGTATGACACAACTATAAATTTTAACACATTTAACCTTGAGTTTATAGAACAGTTTCCACTTAAAAATTTTAATAAGTTAAAATCACACACATTTCTTCAGAGAGTCCAATATAATCTACATGGTTCAAGGCATTTCAGGTAAATATCATTTCACAGACGTAGGTTTAAGCCATAAGAATTTTCCGTTTGGCAGGTTTCATCGCTTCCATCTCTTTCATAACCCTCTTGTCTGTGGCCTGGATGTCCAAATAATTTTCCAGCTTTCCGATCATGCTTTCTATCTTTTGATCTAGATCCTCAACCGTGCCTTCTCCGCCGTCTGGAAAACAAATGAAGTCTTGATTCAACAACAGAGAAATAAAAGTAGACTGTAGACTCTAGGCATAATTTCCATCTATTGCTTTTCTTTTGGCATTTTCGTACCCAAGGGGCATTTCTGCGCAAGAATACACGAAGGTGATCTGTGTTTTGAAGTTGAATACAAGTATGTACACACTTCGAATTCTTTATGACTTCAAATGTGTAGATTGTTGAGAGGGAGGAAATAACCAGAATTTAAATGTAGACATATGGCGAAATAAAATAAATTTCAACAAGAGGGGAATAAAGAGAAAAGACCGTTGCCGCGCTTACAGGATTCCAACAATTGGCACAACCAAGTTAAACTAACACAATTTACATAGACATCTATCGCATTGCTCTGAATCACAACAACCAGCGATACATATATAAAGTACAGAACAAGTGCATTACACACCTTGATATTGGAACTTGCTGGGCACATAAGGCTCCGGTTTCTTCCCTGTGCTAATGCCAAACATTCCTTTGACCGCGTTCACCATGTATTCCACAACTTCAAGCTCATTTTTCTCCTTGGAGGTCATGTAGCTGACGTAGGCAAAGGCATCCATGATCAAGGTTAGGAACAAGTTTACGACGATGAACGACACGAGAACCATGAAGGTGATAAACATGATTCGCGCAAAGAAGGGACTCACTGCGTCGATTTCGTAGAAATCAAACTTGTCTGCAAGAGTTAAAAGGTTGATTGAGTTAACCAATCTCACGTTGATTTGAGAGTAAGATGATTCAAGTCTTTATGCAAAAAATGTCCATTCTTCAAACGTTACATAAAATACCTGCTCGTCTAAAAAGAGGTAATCTTGAAAGAAAAAAAAAGACAACAACAAACCATAACGTATACGCGACAAAAGACAAATATAAAAGAACACAAATACTTACTCAACATCATGGAAAACAGAGTCTCCAACGTTGTAATAAATGTGCTGTAGTTGAGTAGTACTCTTCCAAACAGGATGTAAGCAAATTGGCCGTAAGCAAGGAAAATGATGAAGAAGGCCATAAGGTACACAAACATGGGTTTGCCTGCCTCTTTTAGGGTTCTGCCAATCACAGACATTCGACGGTTAAATCTCATTAACTTCAAAAACTTGACGGTGTAGACAAAAACCATGATACCCATGAGGATTGTGTAACACTGAAAAATAGTCAAGTATTTAGTGTTTTAAATGGGCATTTAAGAAATGGATTCATAATAGAATAATAAGACTGTACTTAAAATAAGAAAATGGAATAAAATTACTTTTTTTTCATAACGCACGGCTGTCTGTCTGTTAGGTGAAATCTTAATATCGCAATAGCATTTAGAATCGCAAAAGATGACTGAGGCTATATGACAAAATATATCACAAAGATATTTTATAATAGAAAATGGGGGTGGGGCAAAATTCTTCCTCACCTCATCCCAATAGGCAGCGTATTGAAAATTGACAAATTGATGGGGGTCCTCACTGAATTCTGAGGAAACCATTTTGGAAATAAGTAGACGGTAAAAGTACATCACAATTGCTCCAATTGACACAATGAGAATGAAGAATTCAACGGCGTTCCAGAACTCCTGCAAAAGGCAAAAATCGTCAAATTAATGTATTTTCGGGGTAATTCTTCATGTATATGATGTTGACCATATGACAACCTCAAGCACTTTTATAAAATACATGTTTTGCTTTTTCTTAAACTTAAATTATTTTGTTTCCTACATGTAGATGAGCTAATACACACCCACTTTTTCAACCTACTGCCATTTACAACACGATGCGTTCCAGCTATAGTAAAACCTTTCTCTATAAGTACACATATAAAATAAGAAAAATCCACACAGAATTAAACCCCGCTACTAACCTTGATATAAATTTTGAATCCCTCTCTCCTTATATCTCTTATCATCTTGACCAAAAAGAAAATAATAAATGCAGCGACCAAGATCTCCGCACCCAAGACCATGAACATATAGGTTCCCACGTAGCGGTCCAGCCGCATCACGTTCACCTTGTAAGACGGCCAGGCACCTGAGTGTAAGGAAGGTTAAAGAACTCAGTTTTTAGTCTCCGCCAGCTCAATTTTTTAAATCATTTTCATTCCAAACCAATCTTTGCTTTTCGTCATTTTTTCTCATCCACTAAAAATGATAAATTGTATCGACCAATGGAGAATGGTAAATTTAGGTTCTCCGTGGCAAAGGTCCACTTTTAATATCACTGTGAACATTAGATACCTGTGAGGGAAGTTTAGGGCGATTTATAAGTTGATCAGTCACACCCAAACCTAGTCCTGCCTAAATGTAATACGTTTATTTTCTCATTTAGACTAAAACAACATTAAAACTAACAAGTTCAATCGATAAAATGATTTTATGTTTTATTTTACTTAAAAAATGCTTAATGCAGTATGTTTAATAAAATATATTCATGTACTCCATGACTTCAGATTTACTTAAGTGCCAAAACGTATCATTAATGCCACTTACCTCCAGACTGAGGAAACTCAACGACGGAGTACGATATGGCAAACAAGTTAATGTTAGGATTCCACATCACAAATTCCACAATCACGCCGCGGGTGTACCGGTCTATCCACAGATTATCCTTGAGTTCTTGTATCACAGACAGAGCGGTTGCACTATCCGTTCCTAGCTCAGCCACGTAACCTCCGCCCCCATAGGTGGATATACGACCAATTATTGGGTAGCCGTCGGTTTCGGAACTTGTACGGTAAGTCCAGTGTGCATCCGGCTGGGAGTTGGGGTCTGCAGATTTAAAATAATGACTACAGTTGATAGGAATGCTCTTTCAAAACAATGGTATTCGTTGGTTGGATATCCAAAGTTAATGTGAAATTTTTTGAAATATTACTTAGTGTTAACTTGATGTGAGGTTAACCTTTCAATCATTCCTGCTGGCGTCCGGTAATAATGTTGCTCTTCTTAAAGGGTCACTGTTGGGCCCAATACTCATCAAAATATTTTTCTTTCTTGATAGCAAATACAATTAAATATTACAATTTACCTGACGTATTAATAACTTGCCATCCAATGCCATAGCTCTCTTCGTCTTCTCCAAACATACTGTAATCGGGACGACACTCGCGGACGTACTTGTAGATAGGCGGCATACACATTTCTATAAACGAATCCGAAAATATTGGATTGTGAAAAAGTATATGCACTCCCAGCAGCTAAATGATGATATACAGTATTCCACTTAAAAGTGACACCGAACGGTGGTCTGTTATATGGAAATACTGTTTCGGCAAACGAAAGGGTGCGATTAATAGAAAGCTCCCATATTATAATACATCAACATTATTTTCGTATCTAAATGTAATGATATCACAAACACCAATCAACATTTGACTTACATATTCAACTGTGTATTGCTGGAAAAATACGGTACGATGTAACTTTAATCGAAAATAGGGTGCTGGGCTGAATTAGAAAAATGTATAACGCAGGATAGAGGGGGAAAATAAAATATTGTACTTACTTGGCTTAGTTTTCAGAAGACGTAATCTCGGAGCGCCTACACGGTACGTCTGCTGGTCCGCTAGGAATCCGTTCTGCCAAGTGTAATCCTGACCGTCGTAGAAAGGTATACCATATATGGCCGGGACTAGAGTTTGTTCAGCCCAGGACCAAAAGTCCTCGCTCTTCAGGATCTGTGAATGTGTAAGGAATGAATACAGTATTACTGCCCTGCTGTCATGATCAAGAAAATCTAGTCTAGCAGTAGTCTCATAAAAATGATGAAAAATGCTAGGAATCAACGATTATTACTGAAATTAATTAAGAAATAAATATATAAGATCGCATTGTGATAAAAAAGGCAGTCAAACGTTTCAAATACAATTTGAATAACGATGAAAATACAATTGCACAATGTTTGACTACCATGAATCAGACAAAAATAGTTACCGAATCAAACTGTGGTGGACTATCTGTATCTAGGAAAGATCCTTTGGAGATCATGTTTTCAACGTTTTCATAAAAATGGAACGACCATGGATCTCTGTTACCATACCCAACCATGAATAGTAAGTACGTGAAGACAAAGTAGATGAGAATTTCTCGGATTACTGCTTGTGTCTTGATTTCTTTAAATCTGAAATACAAAATAAAAGTTTCATTAATCAATGTAAAAAACTTTATGAAAATTATAACTTGTTTTTTTTTCATGAAAAAGAGTAAATGTCAAAGTCATTAGAGATCCTACAGGCAAAATAAGTAATATACCGCATGAATATTTCTATCCAAGTACATTATGTTCAAACACCCAAAACGAAAAAAAAACCTCATCACAAAAAAGTAATTTCCAAAATTGCACAGAAAGACGCGTTACACACTGTATAAATAAAATTATTTTAAAAAAACTTATTACTTGACGATGCCTCACCTCTTTTCTCTGGCTGCTCGTATATACTCTTCATCTGGGGGTTCTGGTGCCAACGAAGGCTTCATGGGTTTGGCGGCGCCGGTCATTTGGTCTTCGTGCAGATATTCTTCATCGGGTTTTAGGTTATTGTCTCGGTCTTCGTCGCCCTCTTCGTCTACATCCGGGGACTTGATGACCAGAGCATAGAATACAGCCAACCCAAAGATCTAGCGTAACAAATATATACATAATAAGTTAAGATGCAGTTCAGTCAGGTTGTCAAATCGCGTGGAAGGTGTAACATGTGAATGAAAGATTTTGATCCAATTTATCCCTATAAACTTTTACCATTAATTTAATCATGTTATTGCCGTTTACCAGAGTCACAGTATTATATTTCAATAGATAATCACAGATATGCCTCTTGCTATTTCTATTCGCTTTTCTGGACTGTGAAAATTTATGTAGAGCATGTACAACATTACTCAGCTGGCCTCTAGCATAGAATATCATGATATTATGTGCGACGGCTAAGTAAGCCTCTGAACATAACTACGAAACGTGGCGTAGGTAATGTCACTGACATAATAAATACCGGTATTTAATTAACGTTTGAATAAGACTGAATGGCACGACTGTTACTTGAATATATGCTGTAAGTTATTCCTAAAACACCATTACCTTTATTGGCTGTGTTAGGAACACGGATTCCATGCAAGAGATCATAAAAGACCCTAGCCACTGCTCAGCTTTCGTTGCCCCCATGGCCCCAGCAAACTCTGTACAGAAGTACACTGACAGAACAACGCTGCAGAAACTGACAGAGTACGCAATGTAGATAGACCACCAGGGGAAGCGTATTCCCTTCTTTTTCTTCTTCTTCTTGGACTTGTCCTCCTCTTTGGTCGCATTTTTGACAGCCGGTGTGCCTTTGTCCGAACCGATGTAACTGACGCCCACTGATGATTTTGGTGTCGGGGTCATGAGCAGGCGTTTAGAATGGTCACCCGTTTCCAGGAACTGTTTCTGCTTTTCTAATTCGTCACTCAAGGTTTCGTCGCCCGTTTTGGTATCATTTCCGTACGTTGACGTAATAGGCTTCTTTGGCTTTGGTCTGGACAATCTGAACAGCTGGACGATCAATAAGTTAATGGGGAAAACTATCAAACTGGCTATGACTCCTGTTATAATGCCTTCCAGCGTGAATTGAAGAGGCCCGAGTTTGTAGACCTGTGGTGTGGACTGACTGTCTGCTTTGTAGAACATTATGTTGGACAACATGGTGCAGAAAAGGAGCGAAAGCACGCAGGTGAGACGCTGGACTCTTGTAAAGTGACTCCTGCGTGGGCGTGTGAAGATGGAAAACCAGATGTGGCCATCATACAGATTCTTCTTGGTTTGCGACCAGAACAAATGATTGAATTGGGTCAGTTCCTCCTTACCGGCAAGTGGAACAACGCGGTCGATCTGAAAAATAACGCGCAAACAACTGTAGTCACATATAATTGTTTAAACAAATCCAAAATTCATTATTTTTACCATAAATCAGAAGTGGATTTTGAAGCAGTTTTTATGCAAATACAGTAACTTAAATTCTTTTTACACCGCAAAATATTTAAAACATATTTACAAAAAAAAAGCGTCTCAAGTGCAGTCACATAAATTTTGTTTATTTGGAACGGAAAGGTCAAGTAATGGGTCAGGTTACTTAATTTTATGCACAATGAGTAATTTCAATGAAAATTATTTCTGTAGTCTTACCAGGCCGTCGTCTTCCTCCACTGCTAGCCATCTGTCACAAATGAAGAAGTACTTGGCTCCAGTCTGTATGTCTGTCACCTGTATCCTGCTGAACGCCCAGCCTGGGCTTTTACCGGAGTTATCATGCCACACTCTATAAAAAATAATAATAAAAAAAAACATCTTAGAAAAATGTAAAGAATAGACAAAATACATATATGTATATCTACCAAACTAAACACAGATGTTACAGTGCTATAATTAATGCACAATAAAATAAAGGAAGCATTAGGTAATCCGTGCTCGACTCCGTGCACGCAAAAGATTCTATATAAAAAAATAAGATCCCTCTCCCCAGTCCCCTCTCTGTGATAAAAGTCTCACCTAGCCAGTGACAGGGATCCTAGAGGGCGCGGACATGCCATCAAGAAGGAATCCACACCACCGCGCTCAAACACAGGTCGCTTAGGATCCCAGAACAGCCGTGGTTCAGTCTCATCCTCGTCTCCCGTGAAGACCATGCTGACCTGAGCCGTGGTGCCGCCCCCTTTCCGACTGCCAGTATACACTAGGATCTCGTACAGGTACTTATGGCGAGGATCGTTGTCTGGCAGTGGGGTGGTGCCAGCCTATAGGCATGGATAAATGCATGTACATGAACTGATTTGATGAAGTAATGCACAAGGCTAAACAAAGAAGGAAGAAACGAATGCTCGGACAACCGACCAACCAACACGATGAAACAGACAGGCGCACAGTTTAGATTTTGTGTGAGGTGTGTTTTTTTATCCAGGCAGTTTTTGGGAAATTTTAAGTTAAAATATAATATTTTGTAAATACGAATAAGCTAACCTGTTACACAATGAAATACAAACTTACCTTCATCTCGTCAATTTTATCCGCTTTCCTTGCCCAGATACATAGAATGAAGTAGAGGCACGTAATGGCCACCATGGTAGAGAATACAGCTGGGTTTTCATCAAGTTTATTAAAAGCGGAATCGGCAAAATTGATCGTATTCATGGGCACGACCATTCCTCCACCGAACGCTGTCAAGTGATTGCACAGACACTGGGTACTGTAGGGCGTGGTTAGCTCGCCCACCTGTTGGAGACATAGAATTGTATTAATACCGGGATATAAGGTGCAAAGACGTCTATTTCAGGATACAGTCTTTCTGATGCGCCTAGCTCTAGTTTTACCCTAGCACAGGCCTTTTTTAATGAGACAATTTTGTCTCAGTAACCATTAATAACTTTGCGTTTAGATTCAATGTACATGTAGTTCTCCCCTGTCTCCTTGTTAGGCTGGTTTATGTTCTCATACTTTATCTCCCTTATGATACCTTATGTTTTATGGAAATGTTTGTCCAGAATGGGCCTCCACAACGGTAAAAAGAAAATATATGCTTTTAAAATAATCAGAAAAATACTGGCTCACCACTGTACAAAAACCAAACTCAGGTATACGATGTTGTTTCGATAAAGCTCAACAGTCGTACAATTGCAGCAGTTAAGATGAGCGTAGGCGATAAACATCTATATTCCTACCTCACAACCATCGTAAGACCAGACTTCATTCTCTTCATCCCAGAAACTACACGACGAGGCGTAGGTCTGCAGAGCATAGCCAACAGGTGTGTACGTATCTACTGCAGTGTCGGTGGAACCACCTGTAGCGTCCGCAGCTACAACAATGAAAAAAAAAGCAAAATGCATGAATGATAGTGTAAATATTCAAACAAACGAAGTAAAAATATTTTTCTGAATTGTCTACGGTTCTTAAAATGGCAATAGTGTTCAAATAAACATTGTACAGGAAGTTGGCGTGAAACGAATAGGCCTACTGAGAATTTTACCTGGAGCCACAGTTACTGTGGTAGCATTCGTCCCGTTTGCACCCATTGCCTTAATCCCAATGTAGAACGTTGTTTTGGTGGTTCTGCAATGTAGTTAAGAAAATTACTTCACATAGAACTAGACTGAACAGTAGGAAAAGGGTAAATGTGAAAATCCATTTTTTCAATAAATTAAATGTATATACAATAACTTTCAATCTCCCATGCTTACTTTAAAACATCTTCGAAAACAGTATCTTATGTTTGAAATCAAATGAAATATTTTGTGAGCAAACCTGTCACACACAAAAACTATTACTGTCCAGACACCAATGATATAAGTAACGTAGTGTTGCATTTGTAAATGATCATATTACCTGTTTAGAAACGCATTCGACATGAAGCAGACACTAGGGTCCGGGAGACCATACTTATTCCTCGGATGAGTGGTGTCATTAACATCAAGATCGCTGAAATCCATGGGCAGGGTGCAATTAAAATCATGGACTTCAACAGTTGGTAACCGCCCAATGCCTACAAATACCATGAAAGTGGTATTATCGAAACCGGCAAGCTCCTCCGTTGAGTTCGTTGCATTGAAGTCAAACGTTGTGGTTTCCATGTCGAAAGTCGTGGTCTCTGGGAACTCGGTGGTGGTCAAGTCGTCAGTGGCGTTGCTGACGTTCTGTGGTGGCACCGGTGACCAGTCCCAAACCTTGATGCTAAGACCGATGTTTCCAGGAAGGATGATCTTATGTATCACCATCTTTTCATCCCAGGCTGTGGTGAAGTTGTGAACCTCTGTCAGTTGGACTTTGCTGGCATCTCGGTTGATGTAGATATTAAAGGGATCGTCCAAGTCTTGAACTTTCATTTCACCTCCTAAGTTTTAAAATACAAAATGTGCCTAGCGTTATAAATACTGCGTAATTCAATAGTGATCTGGTTGTGTCTATTCGAATATAAGCAAAAAAGTGTACATTGTTTTCTTTGTATCGATATCGAATGAAGCCTTATGTGTGTCCGTTCGTGGGTGTGCACGAGCGCCCTTTACATATCTTATAAAACGCCAATATTTCCAACCAACATTTTCAGAGAGTTATTAATTCCACAGAGGTTGGGATGACAGGAATATATTATTTAACTTAAATTGACTTGCCCGTTTCATTTTTGAAATCCAGAGATATAACCGGTGAGTTCGGTGTGAGGTCTTCAACCACGTCGTCGGCGCTACCGCTCGTGTTGGTGGCATTGGCCCCAGCATACGGGTTGCTCTTCATCGCCGCTACCTATTGAAGTGAAAAAGAAAATTTCAATTATCTTCTGAGCGATTGTGTTTTCCATCATTCTAAGCAGCTGCATTCAAACACCTGTCCTATGACACAGTGGAAAATGAAAAACAGCAATTTTTGTGATTCTTAAAATTGAAATGGATATATGTATTTGAACACTTTGCGTGAAAAAAGTGTATCCAGTAATTACCATGTATTTAAGTGAGGACGTAGTATCGTTTCCGGTTCCTATGAGGCTGTCCATACCAGGCATGTTGATATCACCACTGCTGCCGGCACCAAGAGTTGCTGTGTAAGAGAGATGCAGAAATACTTAGCAAATATTTCACGAATTGCAAATACAAAATTACCAAAACAAAAGTGCCCGCCTCTTTTCACAATTTAAAGTTCTCAAATATCTCTGTAAAATGCAATTTTAGTAAAATGTATTCAGAAAAAAAGAAACAGAATCTTATTTCCAAATTAAGGGTCATCGCAAGGGAAAGATAGCGGTGAGCTAGGCAAGAGTGATCCGAAACTTCACGCTTGAAATAACAGTAATAAATCAAAGTTGAGGATGACGGTCACGGTGACGAACAAGAATGTACAGCACTGTTAGTGAAGAGGATTTTGGATAAGGGTCATATCAACACAATCTTTTTACGTTGGCGGCGAGGAAAAAAAGGGGCTATCGATACACTCACCTTTATCGAGCTTATCAGGGTATTCCAACTGAGTGCTGACCTGCATTTTAGTCGTGGAAATGGTTGTTGTGGGTTCGCCCACCACTTTTTTGTCCATCACGCCTTGACCGATGTATTTCGTCATAGTGACAAGATTGGTCTGAAGTATAATATAGTGTATGACAGCCAAGACAGGTTATTGAAAAGAATATTAAATGGATGATTTGCTAGAAATCTTTTAAGATTTTTAATAAATATGGTTTGCAATTTATGATTTATGGAAAGACTATATTTTTCAGGATGAATGTAGATTATGTTTTTACTAGCAGCAATTATCCCCTTACCCGCTTAATGCTTAAAAAACATTGAATTACTGAAGAATCCTCCTCTATTATATATTTGAAAACTCAAACCACGTAAACACGAAGTGCAAACCACATTTATCAAAAAATCAACATCAAAACTTCACGAAACAGATTTGACTTGTTCTGTGATACCAAGTTGAAACAGTTAAGTGTTAGCCATCCAGATACCTTAATCGCTAAGAGGACGACCCTCGGTTGCTCCTAATCAAACACTTCTAAATTCTTATCACAGATTGGTGCTCTGGAATAAGTGTACTTCTTGTCCTTATGGCCTAACGGATTCTATGCACACATACTAAGAGTAGGCTATATATACAGACTCACATATACTAATCTACATGTGGTATCGACATGGGTTCACTTAGGCAGTTCCTCTACTTCTTTCTGTGTTTGTATCTGGTAATGGCGAGGGTACCTAAGTTGAACCATGGGCTCAGTCTACCAACAGACCGGCCTCTAGTGATTGCACACAGGGGAAGCTCAGGTATGCGTCCCGAACACACCGTGGAAGCGTACGAACTGGCCGTCAGACAAGGTGCAGACGTCATTGAATGTGACCTGTGTGTCACCAAAGACCTACAGCTTGTCTGTCTACACGAGCCGTGGCTAAACGCCTCAACCGATGTTGCAAACTTTACACAATTTGCCGAGAGAGTCAAAACATATTCAATTTTTGATGAGGCCAATAATGTCACCATTGTCAAAACTGATTATTTTTCGGTGGATTTTACTCTGGATGAACTGAAAAAATTGAGAAAAAGACAGTACCGCAAATACAGAGATCAGAATTACAATGGGCGTTTTCAAATTGCATCGTTCGAGGACTTCTTGCAAGTTGCAAAGACTGCGGAAAGAACTGTGGGTATTTATGTCGAAACCAAGGCACCAACGTGGACTGCAACTCTTCCAATCATGAACAATACGACATTTGAGGATTTGGTTGTAAAAGAAGTACAAAAGTATGGCTACACGGAGGCAACAGACCCATGCTTTTTGCAATCTTTTAGCGAAAAAAGTTTGGAAATTTTTGCTACAAAAACTAAATTGCCACTTGTTATGCTGGTCAAATATTCACCTAGTAACGAAGAATTCGAAAGGTTTTCTAGGATATGCTACGGCGTGGGACCATGGAAGACGCTAATTGTGCCGTCTTGGACCTCCAGAAATGGGGATAAGAATTACATCAAGAACAGCACGGATTTCATTGAAAAGGCGCATTCATTTGGGTTAAAAGTCCATCCTTTCACATTCCGCAACGAAGATGAGTTCCTTCCGTGGAATTATGGTCAAGATCCCTACGCAGAGTACGAAAAGTTTATAGAACTCGGTGTAGACGGACTTTTTACCGATTTCCCCGCTACATTGAAAAGATATTTAAACTGTGGAAGCGAATTTTCTTTAGTTAACAGTGCCACCATCAATAACTCTTTCAAACTGAGAGTTTTTCTCTCTACGCTGAGTATCATACTGAAATTTTATTGTAGCTAAATGACCAAGAACTAATATAATAAGGGTATTATTATTATCGGATTTCTCTTTCCATTTTTTCATTCATACTTTATTTATCTGTCCACATAAGGTTTATTTAATCTAAGCTCACCTTTGGTTTTTCTAATTTTGTCATATTTTTCGAAAATTTAAAAATGGCCTTTGATCGTATTCTTGACTACATGAATGTGTGTGTGTGTGTGTGTGTATGTGTGAAAATCGAATAATAACTGGCACAAGACTTCAATGAAAACCTGTGATTCGCAGATTTTATTCACCGAGCAATATTGTCAGATGATAACAAATCCAGCCAAGAGTTGTTATCCGGACATTCACTGGACATTCACAGGTGCAGGACCAGAAAATAATCTCACGGTAAAAAAAAAAGACCAGAGGGCAAAATGAGTCTTTACATAGATGCAGTTAATATGTGGCAGCATAACATGTACTTATAAAACTTATTAGTTAAACATTGTTATTTGTCAGAAACCCTGTAGTTTTAGTATCTTTTGCAAATAGATACGCTGCTGTGGTTATGACAATACTTGTGCTAGAACTAAATGTAGCCGAGCACAGAACGACACATAGGTTATACTGTAATTCAATTACCAGCTTCTTTATTCTTACTGTTGAAGTACATTTGCACGTATGTTATACAGTTGATGAGTTACGACTGACTGATGAATGACAAGAAAGACACGTCACAGGGAATATATATTTCCCACGACCCACGTGCCAAGATAAGCGGGACTCGATATGTGACAACTTGTCCACCGGTTACATATGCACCCCAAAAATAAGGATGGCGTCCCGACATTCCCATTATAAAGTATGTACACAAAAATTAAAAGAAATATTTACAGAAATATTAAAAATATTAAAAGAATTATGTTACATTATAAATTCACACCCGTGAGCATTCTCTGTTCACATTCACAGCCGCGTACATGCAACCTTCATCCTAATGAAACGCGATTAAGTACGGCAATTTGTGAAAAAAACGTGATATTTTCTTCTCTTCTTAGAATAAAACCATTAAAACAGCTGTAACTGACGATATTCCAGCACATCACTAGACAATAAGCAACATCTCCCACAGCACTAGACGATGCCCATCTTTATCCACACCATATCTATATCCACACCATGAGTACAACACAAATAATAATTATAGGGAAATGATTTTACAAAAAACTTTGTGTTAAATAGATAAGCAACTGTTACACACAGAAGCACAAGCAATGGGTCAAATAACGGTCATGTGAAACAGCGCAGAAATAATCACATCCAAACGGAATTTAGGTAACACAATAGCATAGCCTGAAAAAAGCTGTCGACCAATGGTAGCTGAGTATAGTGACACATAGGCTATACTGTTTATTTAATCACCAGCTTCTTCATTCTCACTGTTGCACATACTTGTTGCACATACTTGCTGGGGTGACGACTGACTGACGAATGGCGAAGAATGATGTGACTCAGTAATGTCTTGTCAGCCGGTTTCGTGAACCTCCATTGCTTCAGTCTCGTCACCGCCCTAAAGTCATGCGCACCTCGGTTTAAAAATATCTACCATATGCTACCTCCAACAGCGTGAAGATGTTTACGCGTGTGTGTGCAATTTTCCTTGTGTACCTACGGTTTGCA